CCAACAAGATAAGCCCCATGAAGCTTAAAGAGTTCAATGCTAAGGTGAAATCACTTCCATTCTATGTCACTTTTGAAGAAGCTTGGGATAAACATGGTCTAGTGGAGTTCTTTTTCACAACTAGTGAAAACAAAGAAGAGATACACCAACTTTTCAGGAAGGCTCGATTTCCCCTTGCCCCTCATGGAGTCAATCAACCACCATCACCACCATCATCACCACCACCCAGTGGTATGTCAATTCCATATCAAGAGAGAAGCTTGCTGAGTTCAATCAGTTTGTCCAAACTCTTCCAGCCAGCATGTCTTTCAAAAAGCTTGGCGCCACTACCCATTCACCACCTTTCTTCCACAACTGCAAGGAGACACCTGAGGACATAAAAGAGCTTTTTGAGAAAGCTAAAGTTCAGCCAACCTTCAAGACCCTCTACAAGATTGAAGACCCAGGTCAATTCTCTATTCCCTGTCAAGTAAATGGTCATTACTTTGATAGAACACTATGCGATTCTGGCTCTTGCATAAACCTCATGCCAACCCAAACCGCCAAACTCCTTGGCATCACACGCTTGCAACCTGCTCAAATTAGTATTGGACTTGCTAACCATACTATAGCCAAGCCAAGAGGAGTTGTTGTTGATGTTCTTCTAGAGATTGGAGATATCAAGATCCCGGTGGACTTTCATGTCATAAACATTCAAGGAGGATGTGACACACCATTGATACTAGGCCGACCCTTTTTGGCCACTGCTGGAGCTGTCATGGACCTTCCAAACCGGCGAATGTCCTTAGCCAATGTTGACAAGACAGTCTTTTACAAGACCATACCATTCATCTCACCAAACAAGCTGTCTTACCTCATCACTGCCCAAGGCCGCCCAAGAGAGCCACCAGACCACACTCAAGGTCACAATGAGACAAGAACTAAAAGACTATGTCTCAGGCCGTGCCCTTACCCCATCTCCAACTAAGAGATCCTATCAGTCAAGCTAATGACTCAAAAGAAGCGCTGCATGGGAGGCAACCCATGAAAGGTGTTTTTCTTTACTTTTCTTTTCAATTAGTTTTAGTTAATGTCTAGTTTTGTTTTGAGTTTTGGAAACAGGAATCTAAGAACCACACAATGGTAAAGAAGATATACCACAAGAAGAATGTTCATAGTTGGCGCGACTTAGATGGCCGAGCAGAACCTCTCCACGCTCGCCCATGTCCTCTCAAGCCGCCCAACACACCATCCCATCTCATTCCATCTGCATCTCACCCATCCCACCTCACCACACTTGCATTCCATCACTACCATCATTCCACTGCATTCACCATTCTTCAAGTAACACCAAATCAGGTTACATCTTTCTTTTTACATTCACAACCACTTTATTACCTCTTTCTTTAACTCCCTTAATTGGATTTTCTTTCACCGGGACGGTGCAAGTTAAGTCTGGGGGGATTGTCGGTACTAATGTGTTTGTTCATGGTTGTTTTGATCTTATAATTGGTTTTTCCTAACCCACTTTTTCAAAACTTCTGTTTTATTGAGTCAAAACCAGTCCGGGAACAATGAACTTGCTTTGAGATTTGATAGTGTCATGCTAACAATCTATGACCCTAGAGCAAACATCAGCTGAAGGCACAAGCCTAACAGAAGCTCCTAGAGTGGATCGCATGCTAGCTCAGCGAAATTTCTAAGGTAACCAAGCAATCTAGAGTTAACCTCACCCTTAATCAATCTTAATAACTCTTGTCAAGGGGATTGGCATACATGTCGACAGTTCCTTGCTTGATTTTCAATGAGATTTGTCTAAAGAGTTCACCTCTCTCTCCCATCCCAAATGGTAAGTAATGTTTATGAGAAAAAGCTCAAAGAGCACAAGGAAAACAAGTAAGCATGAGGAATGCATATGTCTGTACCTTCATGTCTTATGGAATACCTTATCAAACAAGGAACAAGCTAAAGACTTATCCTGTGGTTGAAAGAAAGGTCAATAGAAAAAATAAAATGATACCCTAGAAAAGTAGGGAGAAATTGACCTTTCAAAGTTCTGATGTGAGAAAGAGAGAGGAAAGGAACTCATTGCACTTCAAAGACAATCTTGGAGAAGATCAAGTGGGTAAGAACAAGTTCAATTGATCGATTTTCCCTTGATAAAGAACTCACGCTTTAAATTTCTGCAAGAGGTTAACAATAGAGAGTTTGGATTGCTGGATGAGACTAGTTGGGTTGGTATTGTTGCTAAACTTGCAGGGTGTATGTGAAGCTAACCTTATGTTGACTATGTTCTTAGTGGAATACAGGAAAGGAACCTTTCACAGGATTTTCAAAGAAGCAAGAGAGTTCCCACGTTTTTCAAAACCTCTTCACTAGTTTAGATTCTTTTTGCTTGGGGACAAGCAAAGATCTAAGTCTGGGGGAGTTGATATACCTCTATTTTACCTACTTTTTATGCTATTTTACTATGGTTTTCTAATGGTTTTCTAGTGGATTCTTGTGTTAAAAGGTAGTTTTTATGGATTTATAGTGCAAAGAGTCATTTTAGGTAAAAAGGTGCATTATGGAGCAAAACAGGAGATTTGGACTCTAAACCAGTTCAATGCCCCTGCATCAACTTTGGATGGAGCTAGAAAAAGATCTACTCAATGGATTTCATCAAGACCAGTTCCCTGCGTGCTCTGATTGAGTTAACTTTCCAACGCAACTGGAATGGCTTCATTTGGATGAGTAGAAAAGGAGTTATAGCCAAAAGAGTGAAGGCTGCTCCAGACGGCCATATCGAGAATCAGCGCCGAACGCGCAGACCGGCTGGCCGAGGAACGAATGTTCCGCGCTCGGCCAAAACCGTATCCGTCCGACTGAAGTCTCGGCCAAAGTCCAAACCATCGGCCGATCACGCATACGACCCGGGAAACATTGTCCCGCGGTCGGCCAAGCAAGCGTCACGCCACGCCGCGCACGACCAAGCGCGCGCGAGCCGGGAAACAAGCCTCGCGGCCGCGCAACCCGTTCCGCGTACCACGGCCGATGCATCCGTCCGAGCCGGGAAGAACGTCCCACGTCCGGCCGAGAAACCATCGGCCAAATCCATCCGCCGACCAAGCCGGCCGACCGAAATCATCCGGCCCGACCGTTCCGACTCGGCCAAGACCCGACTGTCCGGCCGACGTCCCGACGACCGTCCGAACGCCGCGGTCGACCCGAAGCCGTTTTTGAAGCCCAATCCGCACAATTCAAGCCCAAAGCCGGCGCCGACCTAGCTAGATTAGGTTTAGCCGCCTTTCATACTTAGAGCATTATAAATACTTCTTTTTAGCCTTGTAACTCAAGAAGGAGAGAGACCACAATCTATTTTACATCTTAATAAAGTTTTGCTTGCTTTTACTTTGTTCTTGCTTGTTACTCTTTCTAGAGAGGATTCGAATCTCTGTTCTTATGAATATGAATTCGATTTCCTTCTCTATGTCTGAGTAGTTTACTTGTTAAGTGATAGGAAGTCAAAGGATAGCATTCATGTATGCTTGATGATTGATCACAATTAGGGTTTTACTTATAATCTCCATCTTTGCTTATACTTAATGCTTGTTGTTAATCTGGCCAATTAGCATATGCCTTTAGGTTGATTTGAGCCTCGACAGTGCTGTATCATTCGCCTGAACTAGTATTTGGTGGGCAATCTCTTTTAGACTGCGACAGTTGATCTACTTGTAGGTTGTGAACAATTGATCTTGATCGAACTAATGCTTGATTTAATCACCTAGGGACATACCAAAAGTTTAGCGACTAGGTAGATTAACAAAGGGGTCGGAGCCTCGACAGTGGAATGATCATACCATAGTGTTTCAAGTTCTAGATTAGCACCTAAGTGCGGTAACCCTAATTGATTGATTTCATGCTTCTTGAATTGCTTATCTCAAGACTATCCTATTGCTTAGCCTTTCTCTCCTATTGAATTCTCACTTTTATTACTTGCATGCTTTACTTTCTCTGCACTCAACCAACTTATACTTTTGCCCTAGCTTGTTCTCAAACTCATAACTTGTAGTGTGCAATCTGGTCCTTGTGTTCGATACCCGTTTACTACTTCTGACCTGTGCACTTGCAGAATCAGGGATAGGAAAGGGGAAGACCTGATCCCGCACATCAACTCTCCAGCCTTCGACACATCAGCACCCCAAGAGAGTGCCACATCAGCTTTTTCAGAAAATATTTTTTTTTTCATCGCTGGCTCCAAAACGACGCCGTTTCTGATTTTTTTGTTTTTTTTCAAATCTTTGACAGAAAAAACAATTTCTCAGCCCAATCGTTGTCTACGAATCATCACCCTCTCATGCGTTACCCGTCTCCTCGCCTACGGTCTCGCTTTTCTATTACTCTTGCTGTCTTTCAGTTTTCTTCTCCGATTTCAGTACTTTCCACCATTTGCACTATTTAATCCCGTTTTTAAGCCTCTTCAACATCGATGACGCCAGAAACGCGGCGAGAAGAGTGTAACAGGACGTGTATCCAATATCCATGAAAGGTCTGTATTATTTTTTTAATCATTCAATCATCTTACTTTTCCGAATCCCAAATTGGTGAATCTCGATGACCATAATTCTATTTTCTCACCACAGATCATGATCGCAAGGTGCTCCCACATAGCGGCAGACCTTATTCCGAATAGTTTTATAGATAAAAGGTCACACTCTATATTATTCTTCTCCTTCCATAATCGTACCATAACACTTATTCCGATTAGTTCTAAACGCTTCTTTTCAAAACTGCAGCTTCTCCCTAATAAAGGACGAGATCAGCTCTGATCACGGATCTGTCTATCTGCAGAAAGTTAACCGTAACATTATAAAGTGATATTTAAACAAAACAAATAATATCAACAATAACAATAAACTTTTAGAAATATAAATTTGTGCAACCCGCGCATTGCGCGGGTGCTCTCCTAGTAATTATATAATTTTTCTTGAAAATGAAATATCACCATATTAGCCCTTTTAATTCGTTATCATATCAAAATCATGAAGACGGACGTTGACCGATATAATTTCCCGGAGGATTATATAGCTACAAATCCCCCAAATATACTCATCATTCTTAAACTTCACCGAGCCACAACCAAGTCGGATCCTGTCACGCCACACGAACTTCTTGTGAGTACATTTGGTTGTCTTCTTGTAGCAGATGAGTTTCTTGAGTCTGTTGAGAACATTGTGACATCTCAGCGACCTTCTTGGCGAGCTGATGCAGAAAGCGGTAAATCGATTTCGTATATTCACCTTTTGACGAGGCTCTTCTTTTACAATTACATGCTCTATTTGACTGCAAGTAAAAGTTTAGTGCTTAAGTGTTTAAAGAAAGGTGTTCTTTATCTATAAAAAGAAAATGGTTTCTACATAGTGATATCAAGATTTCGACAAAATCATTTGGAAGGCCCCACTCTTCTCCTTCTCATAGTAACAAGAACCAAATATATGAGTTTAACATTTGAAGAATCCTATCTACAAAATATGAGTGATCTTTCTTGCTAACACATTTCATCTCAGTCTTTGACAATCGCTCGTTGTTTGATATAAAACGACAACCATGTTCTTTTCTAGATAAAAATATTACTCAGACTATATATTTAAAGTTTTTAGCTTATGATTTTGTTCTTAAGAAACACATCGACGCATACACAACAAATGCAATTGCAAGATATATATTATCATTCAATAAGAAATCCTCTTAAGAACATAATAATAAGTTAGAAAGTTGCCCCTAAAACATAACTTTCACTTCAATTGAGGGATTAAGCATCTTTGCTCTAGAGTCTTGTCCACTTATACTCTAATTTGGGAGTATCTTTCCCATGTGTGAAATAAATTCCATCTTCTCTAGCATCCCAAAAATTCTCTTTGCCATAATGAACAATGATACCACCACCTTCATATGCCCTAAATTTTGCATAAAACTCGAAATTAGGTCCCTGCCATAGGTCACAATCGACTTTGGTCTTCAACATACTTTCCTTAAAACTAAAATCGTAGGTTTGTCCACAACTCAAGATGTGGAGACCTAAGACGTCTTGGTCCGAAATACAACGAATCTTGAGCATGGTGTTCGGACGAAGAGAATTTTTGAAATGCACGGAATCTTTCTCCCATATCGCGTTACTCGACCCAGTGCACAATAAAATTATAAGCATAAAGAAAGAGAGAAATTTCATCTTTGTGTGTGTGTGTGTGCTGTGTGTTTTTCGCTCTATGATAATAGGTTCCAATTTATAAAAATCTGATTTACAAGGTCATATTCATACATTCCATTTTTCTCATGATTTGCATATCTTATCAAGGCGTAAACGTAGCGTTTATGATATGCATTAATGACATACAGACTTCCTAACATTAGAGGCAATTTTTTTTTTTTGTAACTACATTAGAGCCAAATTTCTTTAGACAAGAGTTATAAATTCCATTCAGTAATTAATGGCTTTAATTTCGCAATAAATCGATAAGGGAAAAATCATGATTGAAGATTACTCCTAGATCTTCTGATTTTCGCCAAATATCCAAAAAGTTCAGTATCGTGTCATTTGCTTTTCCACCAAGTAATTGCTAGATATTCTAATTGGAATAATTTCTGTAAAACAAACCGGACAACTGAAAATACAATTGATTTGGTTTTCTTTCATATGGTAGATTACTCTTGCATTATTTTCATAGTTGTTTCGTTTTTTGTTTTTTTTTCCGGTATATGATAACAAATCCTATATATACGGTGGAAACTCTATAAAATAATATTTTTTTTCCAGTTTCAAGTCGGGTGAGTGCCAAAATTAGCAAAACTCGATAAGATGATAAGATAATAATATTTTTGAAACTCTTATGTAAATATATAGTCTCATTAATATCACTAGGGATTACAGCCCCGCGCAAGTGTATGGTTATTTACGATAGTTTTCATATTTAATTTAATTTATATTTGTTGTTTTAAATTATAATGACTTTTTGTTGAAAATGTATTGATTATATTTTGAGTTAATCCAACCACTTACAAGATATATTACATTTTTTTTTTGAATTTTAAGATGTCAACTCCATATATCATCTCCAGCTTTCTATTTTGAAACTTAATATCGCTTTAAAATGTTATATTTATTTATCTTTTGGGTTATTTACAATAAATTGGTCTTTATAAAATAAGACTGTTTTTTAATCTATAATTTTATTTATTTTCATCTTTGTACTCATTTTACATATTTTCATCTTACAAAAATATTTATATACTATTAAATCTTAAATCAATAAATACCTACTATGTTAGAATAGTCATGTGTGATGCAAATCAATGCAATTCCATTAAACATTTTAAATAGGACAAATAAAAATACATGTTTGGTAACAACTATATAATATTTTCATAAGAAATACAATTTTATCTAATTAAATTAAAATTTAACAGCCGTAAGAAAAAAAAAAGAAATGAAAATTTAACAAATACTATTTTGCTATTTATTTAGTTAGATTTTTGTATTTGATGTTTTCTTTTTTGGCCACAGATTTTTATATTTGATTTAAATTGCAATTTATATGTAAATAAAAGTATCAATTAATATAGTTTGTTATGTATTAAATGAGTATTCTAATTATAATAATTCAATGTTAAAATTGCTGATATGGACAGCTTAGGAGGAGAGAGCACTCCCTAATTATATATAAGATAAATTAATAATTACCATAAATAATCTTATATATATATATGATAATATAATAAAATATAAGTATAATTTTTATTTGTTTTTTATTAGAACTGGAATATATTTTAATTAATTATTAATACAAATTTATTTTATTCAAAATTCATAATTTAATAACTTTATAAATTAATAAAATATCAAAATCTCATCATAATTAATTTATAGAGTATTTAACTGTATTTATAAGAGGAACATTAAAGACAATTTTGTTGATGTGTTGCACTTACAATTTACGTGTTATTACTGAGGTAGTTAGAAAAAAATTAGAAGATTACAAATTTTGTAATTTAACTAGGGGATTGCCCAATGTAGGTTTATTTTATTTGCAAGTTTTCCCCATACCTGCTTCTAGGTGAATTTGATAATATTTACATTATAGACAATAACTAACATCACATTTGTTTTTAATACATGCATCGGCATGGAGAAATTTCAAAACTACACCTCTTGAGATGTCAATTTTCAAAAATACACCTCTATGGTGCCAATTTTCAAAACTACACTTTTTTTCATTTAGTAAAAGAATTCTAAACCCTAAAATATAACTCCAAAACCCAAAAATCTAACATTGAACCCTTAAATCTAAACCCCAAAATCTAAACCCTAATATAGGATTAGTGAACCCAAACATATATATTAAAATTGGGAAAAGGTGTATTTTTGAAAATTTCCACACTATAGGTGTAGTTTTGAAAATTTGCACCTCAAGAGGTGCATTTCATAAAATTTCTCCATCGGCATTGGTATCAGATAAATCTATGAAGCAAATTGGTAGTAGAAGATTAAGTTATTGATTTAGAATTTAGAGGCTGTAGTTTTTGTCCTAACTTTGAAACTATGAAAATTTGAAGGCAAAACTGGAGTTAGATTTATGCTCTCTGACTTTTGCTTTGAAAGTGTTATGTTGTTGTTTTCGTTGATGCTCAAATATTGGGGAAATTTCAAAACTACACCTCTTGAGGTGCAAATTTTCAAAGATACACCTCTATGGTGCCAATTTTCAAAATTACACTTTTTTCATTTAGTAAAAGAACTCTAAACCCTAAAATATAAATCCAAAACCCTAAAATCTAACATTGAACCCTTAAATCTAAACCCTAAACCTCAAAATCTAAACCCTAATATAGGATTAGTGAACCCAAACATATATATTAAAATTGGGAAAAGGTGTATTTTTGAAAATTTCCACACTATAGATATAGTTTTGAAAATTTGCACCTCAAGAGATGTATTTCATAAAATTTCTCTCAAATATTAGATGAGACTATCTCTGCAATTATCTCATTGCTATACATATTATGTAATGCTTTTCCTCCCGTTAAGTAAAAAATGTTCTTTATTTTATTTCTCTGGAATGAAAACATTTAAGTCTCCTTTTTATGAGATATCCTTGTACTATAGTTGACTTTAAATTGATTAATAAACTATTGATTGTTCTTGTTCACAGCTGTTATCACTTATCGTTAATCATTATATTCATCTATACGAGTATATTTTAATAACAAGATAACCCCATTAGCTACTGAAATTCTATGGCTTTGCTATTGATTATAATACTTTTGATGCAAGTTGCGTGACCAGCGTACACTTTAAATTGCAAGTTGGTGATTGTTTATATGAAATGCTTTTGTTAGTACTTAACTTTTGTTTTTCTAACATTCACTTCACTAAGTGGCAGAAATATTTAAAAGCACACAGTCCAGCTCCACCGTAAAGAAGTGAAAAGAAAATGGATGATGAAAATGGACCGAGATGTCCTCTGTCTCATCCATCTCATCCTCACACCCTTTCCCATCAATACGCTGCTGACTACTGTCGTTTCGGATGCTTTACATGTGGCGTCAAAGAGATCGAGCGGGCGAGTGAGGGCTCTCAATACTTCTGCACCATCTGCGATGTAGAGTTCCATCAAACTTGTCCCAAGCATCCGAGAAAGATAACACATCCTTACCACCTTCAACACTCTCTCACTCTTACCTACCGAAACCCTGAAACCAAGATCATATCTAGCAGCGGGTCCGAATCCAAGGGATCTGAAGACGTGAAGTTTGAGTACGTCGAGATCTCTCTGTTCCAGTCTGATGTCATATTCAAGAAATGTTCTTGGTGTGGTCAAGATCTCAAAGGTGATTGGTTTTATCGTTGCTCTATCTGTGCCTTTTGCTTGGATCTCACTTGCGCAGAAACATTTCCACCTCTCACTATTCCAAACCCTAAAAACCATCCCCACTCACTCCTTTTCTTCCCTCGACCATTCTCAACTCCATGTGATGCTTGCGGGTTAGTCAACGTGTTGGAACCGAGTTACATTTGTTTACTTACCACGAGTGATCAAGATCACGCGTCACTCGCACCGTCTCTCTCACACTCCTTACCGTTCACCGGAAATCTCACCATGCCGGGTTTGCTACAAGAAAGTCGACATCAAACACGGCCAATATTCTTGCAGCCACGAAGATTGTTCTTACGTAGTCCATTCCAAATGCGCAACGCATGACAAAGTTTGGGATGGAAGAGAACTCGAATGGGAACCAGAAGATTCCGATAACGAAGCTGAAGACATCGTTCCACCTTTCAGGAAGCTAGGTGATGGTTTCATAAAGCATTTCAGTCACAAACATCGTTTGAAGCTCAAGAAGCACGATGGCGTACGAGACACGGAAAAGCAATGCCGAGCCTGCGTGTTCCCAATCGTCTCTCCTCAATTCTATCACTGCAGAAGATGCAACTACTCTCTCCACGAGGTATGTGCTGGTCTTCCTCGGAAGCTGGATCATGCATTGCATAGACACACACTTTTGCTAGACACTTCTCCACTACCACTAAAACACTACGCATCCATTTATTGCTCAGCTTGTTCCCGAGCATTCACTGGTTTTCGATATATATGCTCTAAAGAAAGTTGCAAATACAGTTTTAAGCTAGACGTTCGATGCATTTCGGTTTCTGAGTGTTTCGTCCATAAAAGCCATGAACTTTATGACCATCCACTGTTCATATCCACATCCAGTAGCAGCAAAGCTGAGATCTTATGTAAAGGCTGCAAGAAAACATGTTCATGGCCTCGTCTACAATGTATGGTGTGCGAGTTTGCTCTGTGTTATCCATGTGGTACCATTCCAAATGAATTACACTACAAGTATGATAAACATCCTCTCACTCTCTGCTACGGAGAAACCACGAAAGAAGAAGACATATATTGGTGGTGCGAGGTGTGTGAGAAACAGTTAGATCCGACGAAATGGTTCTACACGTGCAACGAGTGCTGCACCACTGTCCATCTTCAATGCGTATTCGGATCCTCTGCTTTTATGAAACCTCGTTCCGTGTTTAGTCACTGGAATGGAGTTGTGAGAGTTTTCCGCAACGGTAGTAACACTAGACAGGTTTGTTATAAATGTAACAAGCTTTGCACAGATTCCATCTACTACGAAGGCTACAAATGGGGGAAGACGGAGGGTTTCTACAACAACATCTGGACTTTTAGACTTGTGTTTTGCTCTTTGCATTGTATGGAGATGAAAAAATGGTAGTTAATGTCTCTTTCGAGGTTGGTGTTACGTTCCTTAATGCTCTGAGTTTCCTCTTTAATCATCAGCATTGAAGGCAGCATTTTGTGAAGATATTAGAAATTGGCAAAACAAACATTCGTTTCGCTGTTTCCTTCCAAAGTTTTTTTCAGTTTGGTTCCCTCTTTGGATGTAATGATTTGCAAAAAAAGGAACATATGTGTGTTATTCCTTAGTACAGATTGATATGTTATGATTTACAAAAAGAAACGAAAAGAAAATAAAATAGATACATTTATTGTTACACATTTGATATTTACCACGGTGTAAGTTGTACAAAGGGACGCAAGTCACGCAACACATCGTTCAAAAATTTGTGATTTATATGTAGATAAGCTTGGGATGAACTTGTAATTGCAACCCAAGAAAGAAGAAGAAGCATATTGAGACTGGGAGAATCTGAGTCCATGTGTAGATTCTTTGGTAGAAAATCTGAGAGCAGAACTGGAGTTAGATTTATGCGCTATGGCTTTTGGTTTGAAAGTGTTTGTTGTTTACGCTGATACACAAATCATAAGTATATGAAAATGGGTCAATTCTCTCCATATTTTGGACATGTGAACACACTAACAATTGATATGTGGCATGACTTTTTATATTCTTTTCAATTAATAGCTTTAAATCTAAATTAACAACTTTTCTTTTTCTTTTTTTTTTACATTTAACAACTTTTCAATTTCCTTTCAATTAATGATGTAGAAGACGTTTAAGAGATTTTCTTTTTGAGATTTTCCTAATCTTCATTTTCCTTTAATTCTGTTTTTCCTTTTTAGTTTTGGATATTCAAGGGTTTTATTTTCCTATATAAACATTTATAAGTTGTAGCCATGAGGCATATCTTATTATTTTAATTAATCAAAGCAGAGAGCTTTTCTCTAATTTGGTGGATTTCCAGAGTTTTCTCTTCAAGTTCATGCTTGTGAACTTGAATTCAATCTAGGTTTAGTGCTTGCTATTCCTAGGGTTTTCCGACTGCGTCAAGTGGTATCAGAGCAGGCTTTCTCCTGTCTCTTTTTCGAACTTGAACAGCTATGGGAGATCAACCGTTGACCAAAGCAGATCTTGAGGGTATTTCGGAGGCTTTAACCACGAACCTCACTGCTTTGAGGAATCAGATGGTGGCGTTAACGACTCAATTAACAGCTTTTACCAATCAAGTTGTTAACGCAGGACAAAGAGATAGGGGAAGAGAACCAATTAGGGTTCAACAGGGCAGAAACAATCGTGCCGCAGAGCCAGTTAGGGTTCAACATGGTGGAAACAATCGTGGTGTTAATGTCGAAATCTCTAGTTCTGATGATGAAGATCTTGAGGACGAAGAAGAAGCTGATCAAGAGAATCGACAAAACAATCATGATTATAGAGTAAAGGCTGATATTCCATTGTTCTATGGAACTATGGGAGTGGAGAGTTTCTGGATTGGCAGATTGATGTTGATAGATTTTTCGATGTGATGGGTGTTCCTGAGAGCAAACAAGTTAAGATGGTAGCAATCAGGCTGAAGAAAACTGCTGCTGTATGGTGGGATAAACTTGTTGTCCAAAGACAAAGGCAAAGAAAAGGACCAGTCAAGACTTGGCGTAGAATGAAGCAGTTGATGCTTGATCGGTTCTTACCAGAAGACTATGAGCAGATTCTCTACAAGATGTATCTCGAATGTGTTCAAGGTAAACGAACAGTGACAGAGTACACAGCTGAGTTTGTGCGTTTCTCTGAACGCAATGATCTAGGAGAGACAAATAATCAAAAGGTGGCTAGATACATCAGTGGTTTAAGAAGCTCTATACAAGAGAGAATTTGGTTTGCAGACCGTATGGACTGTGCAAGAGGCTTCTAGTTTAGCTTTGAAGGCTGAGCTAATGGAGAAGTCAACTCGCAGTTTTTCTTCATTCAAGAGGTTTACACCTCAGAATAACTACGAGGCAGCAAACGAAAAGGAAAAGAATGTGTAAGCAAAGATCCCAACCCGGGAAATAAAGGAGCTAGTAGTTCTAACATTACTCAACAGAGTAAAGCACCAGCTCAAAGACAGAATAATCCTTATGCTAAACCATCTCTTGATAAGTGTTATCATTGCCAAGGACAGGGTCACAAATTAAATGTTTGTCCAAGCAGAAGAACTGTTGCTTTGCTAGGAGAAGAAGAAGACGAAGAACAAGAGTTTAATGAGGATGATGAATATGAAGGGGTTGAATTTACTGAAGAGGAATCACATGAGAAGATAAACATTGTGCTTCAGAGAATCTTATTGTCATCTAAGGACGAAGGACAACGCAAGAATTTGTTTAGAACACACTCCTCAATTCAAAACAAAGTGTGTAATGTGATTGTGGATAATAGAAGCACAGAGAATTTGGTTTCTCAAAAGCTGGTTGATTTTCTGAAGTTGCCAACAAAAGAACATGAAAATCCATTTCCTCTTGGGTGGATAAAGAAGGGCTCACAAGTTCGAGTAACAATGACTTGCAGAGTTCCCATCTCCATTGGGAAACACTACAAGGAAAAGATAATTTGTGATGTTCTTGACATGGATGTTTGTCATGTTTTGTTTGGTCGACCTTGGCAATATGATAATGATATCTGATATACCTCTATTTTACATGCTTTTTATGCTATTTTACTATGGTTTTCTAATGGTTTTCAAGTGGATTCTTGTCTTAAAAGGTAATTTTTATGGATTTATACTGCAAAGAGTCATTTTAGGTCAAAAGGCGCATTATGGAGCAAAACAGAGGATTTGGACCTCAAACTAGTCAAGTGTCACAGCTTCGACTTTGGGAGGAGCTAACAAAAGATCTACTCAATGGATTTCATCAAGACCAGTTCCCCGTGTGCTCTGAGTGAGTTAAATTTCCAACGCAATTGGATTGGCATAATTTGGATGAGTATAACTCAAGTTATGATCAAATTAGTGAGAACTGGTCCAGACAGCCTTATCGAGCATTCGCGTCCTGAACCGCGCACATCGGCCGATCGAGGAACAAACGTACCGCGACTGTGCCGCGCAAATCATCCACGTCCCGCTAAGTCCACGGCCGTTCCCACGTACCGACCCGGGAGGCATCATCCCGTGGTCGGCCAATTCCCTTCCACACGACCATCCGTGCACGACCGCGCCGCGCGAACAGGAAGGTAAAGCTTCGCGGCCGCGGCACAATCCGTGTACCGCGGCCGACCCATCCGCGCAAGCAGGAAGGCAACGTCCCATGACCGGCCAAGTCTCATCGGCCAAAACTTATCCATCCGTCCGACCCCGTCGGCCGAACACGAAAACTGTTGGCCACGATCGTTCTGATCGTACCGATAGCCGATTACGATCCGACGACCGGCCGATCATCCCGACCGACTGTCCGAACGCTGCGATCGACCTGAGGCCGTTTCTGAAGCCCGTTACACACGAGCCGCCGTCGACTTACTAGATTTAGGTCTAGCCGCTTTTTTACACTTCTAGCATTATAAATACTTCTTTTTAGCCTTGTAACTCAAGAAGGAGAGAGACCACAACTATTTTACATCTTTAATAAAGTTTTGCTTGCTTTTACTTTGTTCTTGCTTGTTCTCTTTCTAGAGAGGATTCGAATCTCTGTTCTTATGAATATGAATTTGTTTTCCTTCTCTATGTCTGAGTAGTTTACTTGTTAAGTGATAGGAAGTCAAAGGATGCATTCATGTATGCTTGATGATCGATCACATGAATTAGGGTTTTACTTATAATCTTCATCTTTGCTTATACTTAATGCTTGTTGTTAATCTGGCCAATTAGCATATGATCTAAGGTTGATTTGAGCCTCGAAAGTGCTGTATCATTCGCCTGAACTAGTATTTGGTGGGCAACCTCTTTTAGACTGCGAAAGTTGATTTACTTGTAGGTTGTGAACAATTGAACTTAATCGAACTAATGCTTGATTTAATCACCTAGGGAGATTAACAAAGGGGTCGGAGCCACGAAAGTGGAAAGATCATACCATAGTGTTTCGAGTTCTAGATGGCACCTAATTGCAATAACCCTAATTGATTGATCCTTGCTTCATGAATTGCTTATCTTAAGACTATCCTATTGCTTAGCCTCTTCTCCTATTGATTTCAACCCTCTTTACTTGTTTATTACTTGCATGCTTTACTTTCTCTGCACTCAACCAATCTCATACTGTTTGCCCTAGCTCGATCTCAATCTCATAGTTTGTAGTGTGCAATCTGGTCCTTGTGTTCGATACCCGTTTACTACTTCTGACCTGTGCACTTGCAGAATCAGGGATAGGAAAAGGGAAGACCTGATCCCGCGATCAATATCACATATCGAGGACGAGATAATGTGATATTGTTCACTTGGGGAATACATAAAATTGCTATGGCTCCTGTTTTGGATTTTGATAAAAGCGCAGGAAAAAGAAGTCCAATTTCTTGGTAATGACACATAGTGAAAAGGAGCTAGACGAAGCTTTCAAAGAAACTAAATGTTTCTTCCCTGTGGTAGTTAAAGGGTTAATGAGTGTGGTGAATGAGGAAGCAACAACTCCAGAAGAAGTGTTAGAGATTCTAGAAGATTTCAAGGAGTTGACTGCAGATGAATTGCCAAATGACCTGCCTCCTATGCGAGATATTCAACATCATATTGACTTGATTCCAGGTTCTAGCTTACCAAACCTTCCCACTATCGTATGAGTCCGAAGGAGAATGAGATTTTAAGGGAACAGATTGAGGATTTGCTGAAGAAAGGGTTTATTCGAGAGAAGTATGAGCCCATGCGCAGTGCCAGTCCTTCTTGTTCCTAAGAAAGGTAACCAATGGCGAATGTGTGTTGATAGTAGAGCTATTAACAAGATAACCATCAAGTATCGATTTCCTATCCCTCGACTAGAAGATATGCTTGATGAGTTGGCGGGTTCTAAGATATTTTCAAAGATAGATCTTCGTAGTGGATATCATCAAATTCGAATCAGGCCTGGAGATGAATGGAAGACAGCTTTTAAGAGCAAAGATGGATTGTATGAATGGTTGGTGATGCCTTTTGGGTTGTCAAATGCTCCTAGTACTTTCATGAGATTGATGAACCAGATTCTTCGACCATTCGCTGGTTCTTTTGTGGTTGTTTACTTTGATGATATTTTAATTTACAGCAAGACCAAAGAAGAGCACTTGGATCATTTGAAGCAGGTTTTGCAAGTCTTACAAGAAAACCAGTTGTACGTTAATCTGAAGAAGTGTACATTTTGTACCAACAAGCTGGTATTTCTAGGATTTGTTGTTGGTGAAGAAGGGATTCAGGTTGATGAGGAGAAAGTGAGAGCTATTAGGGATTGGCCTGCCCCTAAATCAGTCACTGAGGTACGTAGCTTTCATGGTCTAGCTACCTTCTATAGGAGATTTGTTAGAGATTTTAGTACCATTACTGCTCCTATTACTGAGTGTTTGAAGAAAGGGAAATTCTTTTGGGGGTCTGAACAAGACAAGAGTTTTGCTTTAATTAAGGAGAAGCTATGTACTGCACCAGTCTTAGCATTGCCTGATTTTGATAAAGTGTTCCAAGTTGAATGTGATGCTAGTGGAGTTGGAATAGGTGCTGTCTTATCTCAAGAGAAAAGACCAGTAGCTTTCTTTAGTGAGAAGTTAAGTGAAGCTCGCCAAAGATGGAGTACTTATGATCAAGAGTTTTATGCAGTATTTAGAGCTCTAAGGCAGTGGGAGCATTACTTGATTCAGAGAGAGTTTATCTTGTTCACTGACCACCAAGCTCTGAAGTTCCTTCATAGTCAGAAAGTGATAAACAAGATGCATGCTCGATGGGTAAGCTTTCTGCAAAAGTTTCCATTCATTATTCAGCATAAGTCTGGGACTCTCAATAAGGTAGCAGATGCTTTGAGTAGAAGAGCTTCCTTACTCATTACCTTGGCACATGAGATTGTGGGTTTTGAGTTACTAAAGGAGTTGTATGAAAGTGATGCTGAATTCAAAGAATTGTGGGATAAGTGCAATGGTAAGCATCCTTCTGCAGATTTCCATATTCGAGATGGCTTTCTTTTCAAAGGAGATAGGTTGTGCATCCCTTGCTCATCGTTAAGAGAGAAGTTGATTCGAGATTTACATGGTGGTGGTCTTAGTGGTCATTTGGGGAGAGACAAGACTATTGCTAGCTTGGAGGAAAGGTATTATTGGCCGCATCTAAGGAGAGATGCTGGTGCTATTGTCAAAAGGTGTTATATCTGCCAGACTTCTAAGGGTCAATCTCAAAATACTGGTCTTTATATGCCTTTACCTGTTCCTGATGATATTTGGCAAGATTTGTCTATGGACTTTGTGTTGGGATTACCTCGTACACAACGAGGTGTAGACTCTGTATTTGTGGTTGTAGACAGATTCTCCAAAATGACGCATTTTATCGCTTGCAAGAAGACTGCAGATGCATCCAACATAGCCAAATTGTTCTTCAGAGAGGTCGTCCGTCTCCATGGAGTTCCCAAAACTATAATTTCAGATAGAGATACCAAGTTTCTCAGTCATTTTTGGATTACTCTTTGGCGAATGTTTGGAACAACATTGAAGAGGAGTTCCACAGCTCATCCACAAACTGATGGGCAAACTGAGGTAACTAACAGAACTTTGGGGAATATGATTCGAAGTGTTTGTGGTGACAGGCCCAAACAATGGGATTTAGCTTTACCTCAGGTGGAATTTGCTTACAACAGCGCAATGCATTCAGCTACAGGGAAATCACCTTTCTCTTTGGTCTATACTTCTGTTCCTAAGCATGTGGTTGATTTGGTTAAAGTTGCCTAAATGTCCTGGAGTTAGTGTATCAGCTGAGACTATGGCTGAAGAGATTATGGCTACTAAGGAAGCTGTCAAGGCTAAGTTAGAGGCTACCGGACAAAAGAACAAAGTTGCTGCAGATAAACGGAGGAGAGTCAAAGTCTTCAAAGAAGGTGATGAGGTTATGGTGTTTCTTCGTAAGGAAAGGTTCCCAGTTGGCACATATCGCAAGCTGCAACCTCACAAATATGGTCCATTCAAGGTGTTGCGCAAGATCAATGATAACGCTTATGTTGTGGATCTTCCAGAGAATATGAACATTTCTAATACCTTCAATGTGGCTGACATTCATGAGTACCATGCAGATGGAGTTCTTTATCCAGAAGAAAACTCGAGGTCGAGTTCTTCAGAGGTGGAGGAGACTGATGTAGGAGAAGTTTAAGAGATTTTCCTTATTTTTCTTTTTGAGATTTTCCTAATCTTCCTTTTCCTTTAATTATGTTTTTCCTTTTTAGTTTTGGATATTCAAGGGTTTTGTTTTCTTATATAAACACTTATAAGTTGTAGCCATAAGGGATATCTTATTATTCTAATTAATCAAAGCAGAGAGTTTTTCTAATCTGGTGGATTTCCAGAGTTTTCTCTTCAAGTTCATGCTTGTGAACTTGAATTCAATCTAGGTTTAGTGCTTGCTATTCCTAGGGTTTTCCGACTGCGTCAATTAGCAATTTTAAACATTTTTATTTATTAGAATTAAAACTACTCTATGACTTTTAAATTAGAATTATTTAGTTTCCATTTCATGTGGTATAGTGCAAAAATATATATTTAAGCTTCAAACGATGTTTGTGACTATACCACATACTTATATGCCATCCATTTTCTTTGTTTACACTAATTTTTTTTTCTTTGGCAAACCATTAATTAATTCACATGCCGGGAGCATAACTAAAAGAAATTTTAAAGGGGGGGAGGGGGGGGGACACATGTAAGTATTCGGAAAGGCTGCTATTCATTGATCATTAGCTTGGTCACTAATATAAACATGTATTTCCTATTTTATCAAGGAATAGTAAAACGATATGTACTATTTACATATTTGATCTTGTAGAAATTTCTATATTCCAATAACTCTTTTAACTTTTATAAGTTGGTAGTGAAAATTTAACCAACTCCGAACTTGGACAACAGCTTAGAAAACGTTAGATGTGATAAAGCCTTTGTATATATATCATATCAGGAACTTGTTCGGTTGTAGAAACATGCATGTGTTCAGTAGTGGTGAGAACTTCTTGGATCGCATCACGAATCTTGTGACAATCAAACTTGATATGCTTAGCCGGTTGGTGAAACACAAAATGAGCAACTATGCAAATGGTCGTCGACAATAAAGCCGCATAGGCACATGATGCTCAAAACCAGATGTTAGTGACAACCCATTGATCCATTTGAATTCACAAACAGTATTTGCCATAGCCAGATACCCGGCTTCAGCGGAAGATTGAGACACTATCCTCTCTACTTCCTTGTTTTCTAAGAAATCGATGAGGAACCAATAAATACTGCATGTTAGCATTGAGGGAGGGCGGAGTAAGTGGGTACGCAGTCCAATCAGAATCACCAAATGTAGTTATCATGTCATAATTGTTCGAGAGTCGAATCATTCCTGGTACAAGATAGTCTTTAAAATAACGCACCGCTCTGCTCGCCGAGTTAATCATACAAGCATAATCTTATTATATACTATTACCATCTTATAGGCTTATACTAACTTAACTAAATTAACTAAACGATAGCCAGTTGTTGTCAGAGCTGTTATCAATAGTATTTTTTATTTCATTTATCTAATAATGAGGTAATCCACTGAGCATAGACTATTATACAATTTCATCGCTTAGCGATTTATTTGTTACTTTGTAGTACAGTTGCCGAGTATAAATTTGATTTATTATTTTCTTAATTTTTTTTTGTTGTTAATAAGTTTGCTTGAATTATTAATATAGGAGTTGCAAGGAATCAAAAGGGAATCAAAAGGGAACCAATACAACCATTGGCCATCACAATTAGCATTTGATGTGAAAGAACAGAAAGTTACCCACACAAGTAGTGACGTGGTGATGTTTTTACATTGGTTTCAACTTTCAACACCATGCTTTATACACTCTTACAATTACACATCATCTCGCTTTCTTCCACATAATAATATGTAACTTTGAAACTTCACAATGGTTTTGCTTAACAAATTTCAACTCCATCTCTTTATGTTTAGCGAATTGCCCTAAAACTTAAAGTAAACAATGACATAAATAGTTTTGTTTTTGTTTTTTAACCTCAAAGCATAGTTAGTGTCGATGAAAATGGAGTCCTCTTTAGCTAGTGTAGTCGTGTAGATGAAAAATCGAAAATGAATAGTTATTGAAGGCATTGAATATGGAGCTGCTTGTTAATAAATTAAGTTTAAAAGAAAAATTAATGTCTTCCCACTTCACAAGATGGACCACAGGGAAATCAATAAAGAAATAAATGGAGAGGTTGGACCCAAAGAAAAATTGGAGAAGAAGAGCATAATATATATTCAGAGACGCAGATAGATCTGAAAAATCATAAATCACAAATCACAAATCAAAGGAGTAAAGAAATGTATGAAGAAATGTTTGTAGGACCGAGATGCCTCCTGTCTCATCCAGCTAACTCTCCTCATAATTTGTCTATTCGATACGGCCGTCATTTCCTTCGGCTAACGTGCTTCACCTGTGGCGGTAAAAAAGGTACGCCGGAGAATGATTGTATCCAATACTACTGTACCATCTGCGATGTGGAGTTCCACAACGGTTGTCATCGGCGTCCGAGAAAGATAACACATCCTTATCACCTTCAACACCCTCTCACTCTCTTCTATCGAAACCCTGAAACCGGAATCATATCCGACGACTTCATCCCTGAGCCCTCCAGCCCCGAAGAATCGGATACGTCTGATCAAGGGAAGCCTTTCTTTGTCCAAATGATTCCTTTTAAGTCCGACATCGTATTCGACAAATGCACTTGGTGTAGAATAATTTTAAATGGTGACTGGTCCTATCGTTGTTTGATCTGCAGCTTTTGCTTGGATCTCTCTTGTGCGGAGACGGTTCCACTTGTTACTATTCCAAACCCCAAAAACCATCCCCATTCACTCCTTCTCCTCCCTCGACCAACCTTGACTCCATGTGATACTTGCGGGTTAGTCAACGTGCTGGAGCCGAGTTATGCATGCTTCCAGTGTAATTACATGGCCCATGGAAGCTGTATCGACCTACCCCGAGTCATAAAGATCACGCGTCACCCACACCGTCTATCTTGTATACCTTACCGTTCACCTGTGATTTCTTCATGCCAGATCTGCTACAAGAACGTTGATATTAAGTATGGGCAATATTCTTGCAATCAGGAGGATTGTTCTTATGTAGCTCATTCTACATGTGCAACACATAAAAATGTTTGGGATGGGACAGAACTCGAATGGGAAAAAGAGGAAGCTGATGAAACCGAAGATATGTCACCTTTCAAAATTTTAGGCGATGGTTTGATTCAGCATCTTGGTCACATACATCCTTTGAAGCTCAAGAAGCACGATGGTGTTGGAGACACAGAAAAGCAATGTCAAGCGTGCGTGTTTCCAATCATCTCTCACCAATTCTATTATTGCGAGGAATGCAACTACTCTCTCCATGAGGTTTGTGCTGGCCTTTCTCGAAAACTGGATCATGCATTGCACAATCACACTCTTATCCTTGATCCCTCTCCAAAGGATAGTTGGGAATCCAGGTATTATTGTTCAGCTTGTTCCCGACCATCAACTGGTTTCAGGTACATATGCCCTAAAAAAAGCTGCATATACATTTTTAAGCTAGATGTTCGATGCGTCTCAGTTCCAGAGTGTTTCGTCCATAAAAGTCACGAACATCCCATTTTCCTCTCCACATCCCACAGCAGCACCGATGAGAATCATGAGATCCTATGTAAAGGTTGCAAGAAAAGATGTTCGGGGCCTCACCTACAGTGTACGGTATGCGAATTTGCTTTGTGTTACCCATGTGGTACCATTCCAAATGAAGTACAATACAGGTTTGACAAGCATCCTCTCACTCTTTCCTGTGGAGAAAGTGCGGATGACATTTATTGGTGCGAGGTGTGTGAGAAACAGTTGGATACAGAAGAATGGTTCTACGCATGTAACAAATGCTGCACCACTGTCCACCGTCGATGCATATTTGGATCCTCTTACTTTATGAAACCTGGTTCCATATTCGATGAGTATAAAGGAGAGGTGGAGGTTTTCCGCAACAGTAGTAACACTCGACCGATTTGCTATGAATGTCGCCACCGTTGCACCAGTTCCATCTACTACCTAGCTACATGAAGCCTCTGGTTTCCTACTACAATAGCTGGATTGAGATAATGGTTTTTTGCTCTTGGGGCTGTGAAGAACAAAATATGAGAAAAAGTAGATCTAAACCTCTTTCTCCTTCGAGGTATGTGTCTACCACTACTAAATTTTCAGACTAGAGTGCAGATTTACATCTCTGCTTTCTGGATAACCGCAATCTGTTTGATCAACACTTATTCTGCTGATATCTGGTTCCTTATTTTGCAATGTTTTTATTTTATATTTCTCTTTGGATACGTAATGACTTGCACCAGAAGAAAGAGTATATATGAACGTTCTTGCTAATAAATAAATCAAATTTTTAAAAAGGTCGTGGGCAGCGTGGAATGAAGGTGTGAGAAGGTTGAACCCCTATATAGAGCCTGACGAACAAAGGAGGCAAAGAGCTCAGGCAGAACAAAGATTGGGAAGAAGAGAGGCCGAACAAAGATTAGGAAAAGTAGTAGCACGTGAGATGGCACGTGAGAGGGCACGTGAGATGGCACCTAAGATCGCACGTGGGAACTGAAACAAGAGAAACTTCGGATTCGTTCAGACTTGAGATACTTAAGAATGGTTTTTGTGTCTTTCATTCATGTTTTTTTTTTGGTGATTGTTTTTTTCCCTAAGAAAAATGTCAAATTTGGTGATTGTTGTGACCAAACGCATTTTGTTGGTGGAGATCTACATACAGTAATATGTTTGCAGTAAATATTCATATATATTTGGACGGCGTAATCTCTATCTCTTTCCTAGCAATTATAAGCCCAACTTAGTTCATCTTTCAATATGAGAGAGATCTACAGCAGTGGACCAGGGAACGGAGAACCTCCAGTAACACAAATATGGAGAAGAAAGAGCAGCCAGAAGTCGAGCAAATATGGAGAGGGAAGGAAATCTATGAGTAACAGTGAGTCAGTGCATTCCACACATGGAAAACAAAGAACACCAAATCATGAGAAAGATAGACCTCATGCTGAAGATGAGGGCACCTCCTCAGGCTCCTTACAAACACCATCTGTCTTTAACTGCATTGGGTCACCACAGTTACTATCTGGGAAGGGCGGTAACAGTAACATCAAGTCATCGAAACAATCTCAAGATAGTGGTGGAAGGAAGAAGCATACATCATCGCCTGGGAATTTGAAAGACAAGGAGGAGAGGTTTAAAAGCATTTCTGTTTTAGAAAGATTTGGGCAGGGAGGGCAAGAAGATGAGGATCACTCTCAACTAAAGAGAAGGAGACTCAGTAATAGTGATGACAGAAAATCCAAGAAAGCCAAGATGGGAACAAAAGGAGAAGGCGATACTCCAATATCAGTCTTTCAAAGACTCGGAGAGTCACCTAAAGGTGCTGGAGTAAGGAACTCGGGTGGTAGCGCAGGTGGTAAAATTCATTCTGCTCTTGTGGCAGCTTCGGTCCCAACTCATTTTGCCTCGTCACAGGCTGGTGAAAGTGGACTTCTTTGGAAAGAAGGTTTGATGGGTAATACCAACCCTTCGAAATCTCAATGAGGATATTGAGCTGGAACTATCAGGGGTGGGGAATACCCCTACAGTTCGACATCTAAAAGAAATACGTAGTCGGTATATCCCAGATCTCATGTTCCTCTGAGAGACTAAGAATAAGAGAAATCACTTGGAACAGTTGACGGAAGAGATGAATTACTATAATCTACATACAGTCGAGCCAGAAGGAAAAAGCGGCGGTTTGGCTTTGATGTGAAAGGAGGAAGTACAAGTCAAAATAATTCATTAGGACAAGAGAATGATAAATGTTTTCATCAAATGGGAAGATAAAAAATTCTTCCTCACATGCGTGTATGGAGATCCACTAAGGAAACAAAGAAGCTGCGTGTGGGAAAGAATTACAAGAATTGGTATCAACATGAATGAAGCGTGGATAAAGGCTGCTGACTTTAACGAGCTAGTAAACTCCTCTGAGAAAATCGGAGGAGCCATCAAGAAGGAAGAATCTTGCCAGGAGTTCAGACAGATGCTAGAAGCTTGCGGGATGTGGGAGCTAGAGCACAAGAGTTACCAATTTTTCTGGTTTGGAAATAGATATGGTGAGCTTGTCCAGTGAAGTTTAGACAGGACAGTAGCAAACCACATATGGCTCGAGAGCTTCAAACAATCCTTAGCAAGCTACATACAGCACGTCTGTTCCGATCATAGCCCTCTGCTCATTCATCTGGTCGAAGACTGATATACCTCTATTTTACATGCTTTTTACATGGTTTTTCTATACTTTATACACGTTTTTCTAGTGGATTCTTGTCTTAAAATGTATTTTTTATGGAGTTATAGTGCAAAGAGTCATTTTAGGTCAAAATGTGCATTATGGAGCAAAATACAGGAAAAGAACTTCAACCTAGTTCCATTGCCACAACATCTACATTGGGAAGAGCTAAAAAATAATCTACTCGATGGATTTCATCAAGACCTGTTCCCTGCGTGTTATGAGTGAGTTAACTCTCCAACAAAATTGGATTCACATCATTTGGATGAGTAGAAACGGAGTTATGATCGATTTAGTGAAGACTGGTCCAGACGGCTGAAACCGTGCAGCAGCGCCCAAGACCGCGCGCACCGGCCGATCGGGGAACTATCGTCCCACAATCAGCCCGCTCAGAACACCACATCTGTCCTGCCTAGTGCACGGCTGAGCGCACATACCAAACCGGGAAGCATCGCCCCGCGTTCGACCTGCCTGCTTACCACGATAAGTGTACTACGCACGATCGCACCGTCCGACCAGGAAGGCATCGTCCCGAGTCCGGCCAGAACGCTCAACCAAATTTATCCGCCCGCCCGAACCCGACGACCGAACGAGAAATCTCTCGGCCACGATCGATCCGATCGTACCGATGGCTGATCACAACCCAACTCTCGGCCGAACGTCCCGACCGACCTTCCGAACGGTCTGGTCGACCCGATCTCTATGTCTGAGTAGTTTACTTGTTAAGTGATAGGAAATCAAAGGATAGTATTCATATTTGCTTGATAATCGATTATGATGAATTAGGGTTTTACATAAACTCTTCACCTTTACTTGTGTGCAAAGCTTGTTGTTGATCTGGCCAATCAGCATATGATCATAGGTAGACTTGAATCACGAAAGTGTTGAATCATTCGCCTGAACTAGTATTTGGTGGGTAATCTCTTTTAGATTGTAAAAGTTGATTTACTTGTAGATTGTGAACAATTGAGACTCATTCGACTTAATGCTCGATTTAATTATCTAGGGACATACCAAAAGTTTAGCGATTAGATAGATTAACAAAGGGGTTGGAGCCACGACTGTGGAAAGATCATACTTGTGCACTTGCACAATCAGGGATAGGAAAGGGAAGACATGATCCCGCGATCAAAGATCTTCAGAGAATCAAGGCAAACTTCATATATGACCATATGCTTATTCAAAGAGAAGGATTCAAGGAAGTAGTGAATAGTGTTTGGGGTGGCTCTGTAGTAGACAGTGGAATAATGCAGAAAATCAAAGAAAGTAGGCAAGCTATAGCGAAATGGAAAAGAACAAACAAGACGAATGCCTCGATCAGAATTCAGGAGCTACATCACCAAAGTGACATGGCTACGAAAGGCACAAATTTTAATAAGGACCATGTCTGGAGGCTAAAGAAAGAGCTATAAACAAAATACCACAATGAGGAGATCTTCTGGAAAATGAAAAGCAGAATCACTTAGTTAAGGGATGGAGATCGCAACACAAGATTCTTTCACGCATCTACAAAAAACAGACGAGCCCAAAACAGGATCAGGAAGCTAATAGATGATCAAGATAAATTATATGACAAACACTATGATCACGATTGCTCCACCGATAATGTGTGTATATATAGTCTTGACTTTTGATTTGATTATGATCAGCTCTACAAAATTTCTTTTTCATTCCCGATTATGATTATTAATAATTATCCACTTGTTAAAAAATAAATCAATTTAATGCAAAAATTGTTTGTAAAAATTACCGATGACTGGTATTACTACAACACACATACTGGTGAGCAGTTAATGGGGGTAAGTAATATGCGGAGGGGATTAACACTCTTACAAACAGAACTGGAAGTGTTGGTATGAGCTATGCAGAGCATGCTGGTACAGACAGGGCCGTGCCTACCTTATTGTGAAAAATGCATTAGCCTCAGGCCCCCAATTATGATATAAAGTTTTGAGGCCCCCAATTGCTTAAAATCTGTTGTAGTCTAGTGGTCTATTGAAGAATTAATTGATCTTAGTGATAAATCCCAAGTTCGAATCCACCTAGGACCCTAGTTAAGAGTTATTTTTATTTAGTAACTTGACTAATTTTTTGAAACATGTCATAAATATTGTTATGAAAATATATATTTTTAATTTTGGCTTCGGGCCTCTACAAGCCTTCGCACGGCACTAGGTACAGACAAAAAAAATAATGAGATTTGAGACAGATTGTTCAGATTTGGTGAAGATGATGTCTAAACCTGAAGAGTGGCCGGCATTCTCAATTCTGCTGGAAGAAGTCACAAAGTGCAAGAAGATGTTTTCGTCATTCTCTATCGCTTACATTCCAAGGACCAAAAACAAGAAAGCATACAAGCTAACACGGAGTGCTGGAGATCTCCTTCATGATATATATACTATGTAAAATCTTCATTACCGGTTTGGCTCACCGAGCCTCTCTAGGTGTTGAGGCTCCTGGCCAAAAAAATAAAATAAAATAAAATAATAATAATAAGTGCTCTGTGGAGCAATAATTATTTCTAGAGTACCAGTGTTAAACCAATCATGCTTTGATTTCATTTTTTTAATTTCAGAGCTATAATTTTAAATATGAAAATATTTTGGGCCTGATTGGTTGTGGCTGTAGCTTTAATTTTTTTGCTGTAGAATTAATGATGTAGAAATTTTGGCTGTGATTCTAGATTTTAGTGCTGTAAGATTTTTTATTATAGATTGTGTCATTAAATATTTGGGATACCTCAAAGATAATCTCTCCAAGAGAGTTGACGAATGGCAAAACAAATTCCTCACTTGGGGAGGTAAGGAAGTCTTACTTAAAGTTGTGGCTCTAGCTCTTCCCACATAAACGATGAGTTGCTTCCTCTTACCGAAGACCACCTGCAAACAAATCTCCACCATTATGGCAAATTTTTGGTGAAAAAATCATAAGGAGAGGGGAACTATACATTGGAAAGTCTGGGAACATATGAGTAAACCAAAAGCCAATGGAGGCATAGCCTTTAAAGACATTGAAACTTTCAACAAAGCGCTGCTCGGGAAACAACTATGGAGAATGTTGAAACAGCTTGAAGCTCTAGTTTCACGAGTCTTCCGAGCCATGTATTTCTGTAAGACTAACCCTTTGGAAGCAAAGCTTGGATCCCGACTGTCCTATGCTTGGAAAAGTATTCAAGCGGCTCAAAATCTCATGAAACAAGGAATAAGACGAGTCATAGGGAATGAGGAGGATACTGACATATGGACTGACCCCTGGATAAGCACCAAGCCGGCACAAGCAATCCTCAGCCTGCGCCAAGCTCCAACTAAGGTACAACAACAATTATCTTCTCTTTTAAGAGTTAAAGACCTCCATGTCCAAGGCGGAAGAGAGTGGAACAGAGAGTTGTTGAATAGGCTGTTTTCTATGATGCCAAGTTGGGTAATCCCCCTTGTGGAAGTGGGATAAAAACAATAGTAATTCCTTTGGTTAAATGGAAAGATTCCTTTGGTTAAATGGAAAGTTTGGAATTTGCGTCAAAATAAAATAAAATAAGCCCAACTCATTAATCATGAAAAGTAGTTGGTTACGGGGTGAAGCTCTCAGAAAAAAAGTCGGAGAGTACATGCCCACAGTCCACGTTATCGAAACCCGTAATCGCATAAACAAGTCAACAACCCACTAACACAAAACCCAGTTCGTCAAATGTTTAACTGTATGAGACTATTTCATCGAACCTTGTCGTCGTTTTCCAGCTCTGCTCTTCAACCTCTCCTTCCGATTCCTCAACTATGCGCCAACGGTCGTCTTCAAGAAGCCTTGCTGGAGATGGCGGTTTTAGGTCCCGAGATGGGGTTCCATGGTTACGACGCCTTGTTGAAGGCGTGCTTGGAGAAAAGGGCTCTTAGAGAAGGTCAGAGAGTCCACGCCCACATGATCAAAACCCATTACCTCCCCGCGACCTACCTCCGAACTCGTCTGCTCTTTTTCTACGGTAAATGCGATCGCTTGGAAGACGCAAGGAAAGTGCTCGACGAAATGCCTGAGAAGAATGTCGTCTCATGGACTGCTATGATCTCTCGTTACTCTCAAACTCGGAACTCTTCAGAGGCTCTTTGCGTTTTCGCGGAGATGATGAGAGCAGATGGGAAGCCAAATGAGTTCACTTTCGCCACTGTTCTCACCTCTTCTGGGTTATCACTTGGTAAGCAAATCCATGGACTCGTAATCAAGTGGAGTTACGATTCTCACATTTTCGTTGGAAGCTCTCTCCTTGACATGTATGCCAAAGCTGGTGAGATCGAAGAAGCTCGCGAGGTTTTCGAATGTTTACCTGAGAGAGATGTTGTCTCGTGTACCGCTATCATCGCTGGCTATGCGCAGTTAGGTCTTGACGAAGAAGCTTTACAAGTGTTCCAGAAGCTGCAGAGTGAAGGAATGAGTCCGAATTACGTCACTTACGCTAGCGTTCTAACGTCATTATCTGGACTTGCTTTGTTGGATCACGGCAAGCAAGCTCATTGCCATGTTCTGAGACGTGAGCTTCCTTTTTCCGCTGTTCTTCAGAACTCTCTGATCGATATGTATGCGAAATGTGGGAGTCTCTCTTACGCTCGTAGGGTTTTTGACAACATGCCTGAGAGGACAGTGATTTCTTGGAACGCCATGCTTGTGGGATATAGTAAACATGGTTTAGGGAAAGAAGTCCTTGAGCTCTTCAAGATGATGAGGGATGGTGAGAAGAGAGCGAAGCCTGATGGAGTTACTCTCTTGGCAGTTTTGTCTGGCTGCAGCCATGGAAGAATGGAAGACGCAGGGCTAAGTATCTTTGATGGAATGGTAGCTGGAGGTTACGGGGTTAAGCCTGACATTGAGCATTATGGTTGCATCGTTGACATGCTTGGCCGTGCTGGTAGGATTGAGGAGGCTTTTGAGTTCGTCAAAGGAATGCCATTTGAGCCAACTGCTGGTGTTTTGGGCTCTCTTTTAGGAGCTTGCAGGGCTCATTCGTCTGTAGAGATTGGAGAGTATGTAGGTCGTAGGCTGATTGAGATTGAACCAGAGAATTCGGGTAACTACGTCATTCTCTCCAACTTGTATGCTGCTGCAGGAAGATGGGAAGATGTAAACAGTTTAAGAGGGTTGATGATGGAGAAAGCTGTTACGAAAGAACCAGGGAGAAGCTGGATGCAACACGAGCAAACCTTGCATTACTTCCACGCGAATGACCGTACTCATCCGAGAAGGGAAGATGTGTTTGCTAAACTGAAAGATATGTTGATAAGGATGAAGCAAGCTGGTTATGTTCCTGATCTTAGCTGTGTGTTGTATGATGTGGATGAAGAGCAGAAGGAGAAGATGTTGCTTGGCCACAGTGAGAAACTTGCCTTGACTTTTGGGTTGATTGCTACTGGCGATGGGACTCCGATTCGAGTTTTCAAGAATCTACGTATATGCGTTGATTGTCATAACTTTGCCAAGATCTTCTCGAAAGTTTTCGAAAGAGAAGTTTCATTGAGAGACAAAAACCGGTTCCATCAGATTGTCGGAGGAATATGTTCCTGTGGAGATTACTGGTGAACAGGCTTGTAATGTTAGACTTAGGCAACATCTGTATAAATGTGCAGTTGTTGAAGAAAAAAAGGTACAAATAAAAGTTGATTTGATTCTTTTACTTTGTTACAGCTACGAACCATACAATCATCCAAACATACAAAACCTCAAAAGTTGGCATATTTTCTGCAGATTTTTCAGTTGGTTTTGGGTTCTAGTCAATCTTCACCGAGGAATAGATCTTTCTCACGAACCAGAAGCAAGCGTAGAAACCAATTGTGCCAGTTAGGACGAAGAAAGCGTAAGAGATGATGATCATGTACCCAAAGTACAGCATGCCTGAGACTAGCTTTGTGATCTCAAGCTTTGTAAAGAAGTAGAAGATCGAGTAGAGGAAGAGGTAGAAAGCGGATGAGCCTGCGGTTAAGTAAGCTCTCCACCACCAGTTGTAGTCCTCGCTACAGAGCTGGAAGTAGCAGAGCACCACTGTGATCTCTGCGCAGGTGACGATCAAGATCAAGAACACTATGAAGAGGAACCCGAAGATGTAGTAGAACTGGTTCAGCCATATCGATGTCAGGATGAAGAAGAGCTCGATGAAGACTGCTCCAAATGGGAGGATGCCTCCAATAAGTATGGAGAACACCGGTTTCATGTACCATGGCTGCTCTGGTACTTGCCTCGGGATCTTGTTTGTTTTGACCGGGGCTTCGATTGCTGGCTTCTTGTAACCAAGATAGCTACCGACGAAGACTAGTGGGACTGAGATTCCAAACCAGAGGCAGAAGAGAGCAAACATTGTACCAAAGGGTATGGCTCCAGATGACTGCTCTCCCCAAATGAGAGCATTCAGAACAAAGAAGATCGCGGAGAGGATACCGGGAAACATGAATGCAGTCTTCAAGGTCATTCTCTTCCACTTGTTTCCTTTGAACATTTTGTGAAGGCGAGAGGAGGAGTAACCAGCGAATATGCCCATGAAAACCCACAAGAGAACCATGGCAGTCATAAGCCCTCCTCTGTTGGATGGAGATAAGAAACCCAACAATGCAAACATCATTGTAACAAGCGACATTCCGAAGATCTGAACACCTGTACCAACATAAACACACAGTAACCCAGAGTTCACTGGTGGCCTGAAGACATCTCCGTGTACAAGTTTCCATCCGGTTTCTTCCTGAGCCTCATCTTGGGTCTCAAGCTGATTGTAGTTTGAGATATCCTTGTACAGAGTTCTCATCATGATCATGGCTACCATTCCAGAGAGGAAAAGGACAATCATAAGTGAATTTATGATGGAAAACCAGTGGATCTGATCATCGTTCATGAGGAGGTAAGTGTCCCACCGAGAAGCCCATTTGATTTCACTCTCCTGGAGATTTAAATTCCAGAAAATGTTTAGCAAGCCTAACAGTCAAGCAAAAGAAGCCTGAAGATAACTTCTTTACCTTAAATGAGACATCATATGTAAACACAATTTCTTTTCCTTTTTCAACTTCTTGAGGAACAGTACTGCTTTGGATTAGATTCTTTGTGTCCTTGTTGCACGTTGTTAGCTGAGGATTTTTCTCATCCCACTCCTTGTACTCATGCAAGATACTGCAGAAAAGATATAGACCCATTTACAAATTGAGAAGCATATACCTCAATATTCCAAAGAAGCCAGACATCAAGCAACTAAATCAAAGAAGTAATTACCAGTAGGCAATACCTGTTAGGAGTAACCTCAAATCCAACAATTCTAGCTGAATCAGACTCTTGATCTCTGTGGTACATAACTCGGAAGCTCAAGTGATTATGGATAAAATATTTCTCTTCTTTGCTCTACAAAAGCCAAGCAACTATTCGTTGGTACGAGAGAAAGTAAAAAGACTGCAGAAACAGAGTTTAGAGACATACTCCTTCATAACTTCCTTTGAAGCCAACACGGAAACCGTGTTCATAAGTAGTTGACTGACTTCCATCTCTCCTTTGTCTAAGAACAGCTACTGGAAGATTATCAAGAATCCTGTACAGCAATTCGGGTTAAGGTTTACATTCAAAAAGAAATCAAGGAGACACAGATACGAAGAACAAGAATACTATGTCTACTACTTACATGTTAGCCCGGTATTCATCATCAATCTTTTCCTTGAAATTTTTAGTGGACTCAGCGTCAAGTTTCACACGGCAACCTACTTTGCAAGGCTGATCCTCAAGCATTTGAAACTGAAATAGAAAAAGTCAACATCTCATAATGAAGAGGATAATGTATGGAAGAAGGAAAAAGAAAAAGCAGTCTAACAACATGAAGAATAGGTGTTACTTACAGTATAAACCGAATTCTCAATGCGGTCTCCTCTGAGAACCTCCCCCAAATTTTCAGCATTGTTCAAGATCTTACTAGGCTTACAGTAATTCAGGTAGTAGTAGTCATAAGGAAGTTGGGTCTTCGTAGAAGACAATTTGTTCACTTTTACATATAGAGGATCACCCTGTTCCACACAAAACAACATATCAAGAGCTGAAAAGAAGACGTGGAAACACAATTTTCAAGTGGAGATCCATAGATTTATATATGAATGAATGAGGTTCGAATTAAGTCACATCAAATTGAGTCAATGAAGCCCTTGAAATGTATCTAATCAAGCATGATGAATAACAATATCCTAAACTTTTCACACCATGTCCACAAATTAAGATGGTTCAAGGATCTGTAAATCTCATATATAGATTCCTAATAACAAAAGCACAAAGAGATTCGAACCTTTAGGAACACAAATCAGTAACACATAGATCTCTGCATCCTAGATTGTCTAACACTTGAAATGCTCAACGACCTTCTTTCTAAATACAAGACAGTACCACCATCGTTGGCGAATATTACAGACCCGTGCTAGGAAAAAAAAAGGATCAAACTTTGGAATCGTTTCTTCTTTAATTTCATCGACCCACTAAAATAGTAGCTATCAACAGAAACGATGGTGAAAAAAGACAAAAATTTGCAGCAGCTGTAAATGAAATCACAAGCCGAAAGGGAACATCACTCAGACCCATAAACCATAGCTCGATCTTCTCATCTAGAACGCTAGATCGGAAAAAAAAAACCCAAAAGAGTACCTTTTGGAAATCGCGAGGAGCGACTCCGGGGAGATAGAAGGCGCGAGATAAGGAGAAAGAGAGGAAACAGAGGAAGAGAGCGGCGTAGAATCGAAAGCTACTTCCTTTCATCTTCTTCATTTTTCTTCTGTCTAATCTCCTCAGAGGCTCTTCAGATGGAAGTTGCCGGCGAAATAAAAAAGGGGACAATTGCAGAGTGTGCCTTTTAACAAAAGATGAACGAATTGCGTTTTACCAATACGATGTCGTTTTCAATGTCGCTTACGAATTAGAAAGTAAAACTGATTTTTTATTCCATTGTCAATCAAGAGGAAGAAGAGATTTGATTGAAATCATTTCCTTACTTTAATGACATTGTAATGTTGGAAACATACAAGGGAACTTAAGAATGCCATCTTTTATGCATAAATGTAAGATTTAAAATCTCGAATTATTAATTTTTAGACAAGCTTTAGATTTTGTACTTTGAAAGTTTGAAACTCAAATGTAAATGTCATTAAAAAAGTGTTACTCAATTAAGAACCAGAAGAAGGAAGCTTCATGTCAAAGCAAAAGAGATTTGGTTGGCCTACCCAAATTTGTAGATACACAATTGACTTCAATCTTAAGAAATAACTTAAGCTTTAGATTTCGCCATGAATCATTTGTTAAGTTAGTTTGATGATTACGATAGGGAAATAATCTTTGCGGGGGTAAGGCTTAAGTACATTGTCATTAAAGGTTTTTTAATCCACTGTAATGACAACAAAACGATGCGTTTTAATGCCGCCGGCAAATGAATAGAAAATGCAGCGAATTTTTAAGAGGGAAATGCAAAAAAAAAAGAAAAGAAAACAAAGTTCTCGTTGAAAGTCGAGAAACTCTACAATGGAAATCCAAGGCGAAGACGGCACGAAGCTCTCTCTGAAGCCCGGAATCAATACGGTGTTCGGAAGAGGATCGGGATTGAACACGGACGACCTCACAGTGTCACGCCGCCACGTTTCGCTCGAGTTAAAACCCGCCGCCGCCGCCGGAACCGAACGGTGCGATAGGGTTTCATTCGAGGTTCTCGGGAGGAATTTGGTCTGGGTACGATCGGGTGAATCGGACGAGAAATTTCGAGCTTTCCGAAAATCCGAGACGGGAGAGATCGCCGCCGGCGATAGATTCTGTGTATCGGGTCAAGTCCCTGTTTGGTTCAATTTGAAGCGACGCGATGGAGTCACGGAGGAGAGTGTCTCGGATTGTGAAAGTGGATTGGATAATATCGATATCTCTGTCATCGATCCCGTTAAAGGTAATCAATTTTATACATTGCATCACTCCAATTCGTCTGCTTTGATGCTTTTTAGATCGCCTAAGAAGTCGAACAAGGGAATGATTTGGAAATTTCGAACGATTCGAGTTTTTTGTTAACCAATGGAATGAGTTTAGGTATTTTTTTCGTACTTGTGCTTGATTCTGCATAGAGTCTGCAATGCTTATCTTTCCAGTGCCTAGAATCTTGCTCTTTAAAGGATTTTGGTGTAAGAGTGAGTCTCAGTGTGTACTGTGGTGTTTGCAGAGTTTGGTTTTCTTGTGATTGGGAAAGAATTTGATCAGTACCCAAAGAGTCGGATTCGTGACATAAAGCAATGGGAATGGTTTTTAGAGGATTCCACGAATGGAAACAGCGATGAGGATGGTGATGGAGAGAAGAAGGGAAGGAAGGGACTAAGCAAAAAGCGAAGGAGAAAGAAAGGGAATGAGGACGATGATGATTGGAGTGTGGATAGTGAGGAAGACAAAGAGTTGGTGGTGAAGTCGAGAAGAGTTATGACTCCAAGTTACTCAACTAGATCCAAGAATACTAAGAAAGATACAAACGCAACTAGTAGTAGTAGTCATGTTCAGACTAAACAGTGTGGAAGTGTAGATGTTGACGAAGAAGAAGAAGATGAAGATGATATTGATGATGATGAAACATTAGGCGGTTTCATTGTTAGTGATGAAGAAGCCAAATTAGAAGAAGAGGACGACGAATCAAGTTCATATGATGAAGAAGAAGTTGAAGATGAAGATGAGGATGAAGACGAGGATTGATAGCTAGAAATCTCCTAATTTGTTTTGACCAAACCTGAAATGTAACCAAAGGTAATCGTCTTCAGTTGTATTATGTGTGTGAGAGAGAGATTATTCATTACTGATCTTATAATAATAAATGTTCATTTTGTATGTGCACTACATTTGTTTATATTGGGAGTTCATGGTAACCCACTAAGGATACACGTTCTTCACATCACACGTGTGAATGAATTTACAGATAACTAAAATAAAAGTCGCTAAGTCTTCTCCTCTCCTTCCTTTCTCCGTCGTCCTCATTTTCTGGCTTTCTTCTGGTTTTCTTTTCCCTGTAAAATTCGAATTTTCTCACGAAACAAGAAGCCATTAAGATAATATGAGCAACGAAGGAAACATCACATCCATCAAAGCCAATGATAACAATGGCGGCGATTCCTCTGATCTCCCTGCCGTTCCCTCCTTAGGTAATTTCCACACGCAATTCAGAATTTTCCCTTGAAAAATTAGAGTAATATAACTTTTTCTTTCTCGGTGAAAGATTGAATCTTTGGATTGTCTCATAAAACTCTACCCTTTCTTAATTACTTACGCCTCAAGTAAATCCTCTGTTTTACTTTCTTGCTCTGGAATCAACAAGGCCTAGGATTAAACTGAAACCTAACCATTGTGCCATGCAGATCTTGGAACTGAGGATCTTGATCTTCTTGAGGAGCTAAAGGCAAGTTACTTCAATAGTTGATAATATCACACAGCTAGTTTTAATCTTTCTATTTCCTCTGTTCATGATCCTTTTGGGTGTTAAACTTACAGAACCTAGCCATAAAGCGGACCTTTGATGTGAAAACACTCTCTCCTATAGTTACCAAACGTGTTCTGTTTCTCAAGGACATTCAGGTAATGTCAATCTTCTCTCTCTGAAATTCTTGAGAAGAGAGATTCGATGTTCGGTAATGGATTTCACTGAGAGATCTGAATGTTGTGTAATTTGTCAGGTTAAACACGATGAACTCGAAGAGAAGTTTCTTGAAGAAAAATCTGCATTGGAGGCAAAATATGATACTATCTACAAGTCTCTATTTGATAAGGTAAAAATTTCAGACTATCATTTTATGCTATTTGGATTATAGATTTGTTTTTTCCTGAAATATACTGAGAGAACTTGCAGAGGTATAAAATTGTGAATGGTATGGTGGAAGCTGAGACAGAGAAAGAAGGAGTACCTAATTTCTGGTTGATTGCAATGAAAACCAACGAAATGCTCGCAAACGAGGTTCATGATTCAATTTCTTTCTTGGAATCTATTGTCACAAAACAGATTGATAACAAACAATCTGGTTTTGGTATCCTGTATGTAGATAACCGAAAAAGATGAAGGAGCATTGAAGTATCTAAAAGACATCAGAAGTTTCAGAGTAGAAAACAATTCAAGAAACTTCAAGCTCGAGTTTCTCTTTGACCCTAACCCTTACTTCAAGAACACGGTTCTGTCTAAAACTTACCATGTGACCGATGACGATGAAGATGGCCCTGTTCTTGATAAAGTGTTTGGGTATATATTATAACAAATCATCCTCATTTTTACTTTTTAACATCATCTTTTAACTCGGTTTGGTATTTTGTAATGTGTAGAACGGACATAGAATGGTGTCCAGGTAAATGTTTGACTCAGAAGGTTGTTGTGAGGAAGAGACCAAAGAAAGGGTCAAAGAAGGTCAACAACATCCCCATGACCAAAAACGAAAACTGCGAGAGCTTCTTCAACTTCTTCAAGCCCCCTGATATTCCTGAGTTTGATGAGTTTTATACCACCATGGTTACAATACCTTCCTTCTCTTCTCGCTTTAGATTTTTGATGTTGAACTCATTATATTGATGGTTTCTTCAGCAGCTAACATTGCGTACAAATCTTGAAATGTTGCAGACGCAAGAACTCCAAAGCCTGACGGACCAAGACTATGACATTGCGTAAGCTTTTACTGTTTTACATTCTTGACAAATTTCAAGAAAGTGATCCTTAATTTTTTTTTGGTGTTTTTGGATTTACAGTGTGACAATCCGAGACAAACTGATCCCTCATGCAGTTTCATGGTTTACTGGAGAGGCTCTTGTTGATGAAGACGATTATGATGAGGATGATGATGAGACTGATGATGAGAAGGATGATTAACGAGAAGAGAAGGTTTGTTTCAATTGAGTCTGCAGATTAAAGAAATGGGAGCTTCACATTCTCTAATTTATATTCTTTTATTTATTACAGATACACAAAGAGTTACATAAATCTCTCTCAATACATATATCTCAAGAACTGATTTCATTTAGAGAGAAGACTTCATGCTCCAAGCACTTAGGCTTAAAACTTCAACATTCTGAGAACTGTTGTTAAACGCAAAGAGATGTGTATTTTCTCCCTATGGCCAAATGCCAATTTCAACCAAAAATCTCCACTATTGAATTATCAATTACAACACAAAAACAAAACCATTAGTAGAAAGAAGCTCAAATTACTCTTCAATATATTTTGTTCAAATTTTTGTGATTATGAGAAGTGGAGGAACACTCACCCAAGTCCTCAGAGAGATAGGTTGATAGGTGATAAGATAGGTGATAAGGAGACATATCCATAAAAGCACCATATGCTTTTTTTCCATGTTTTATCACTCGTTGGCTTTGAAGCTCGAATAGTGACGCCAAACAAACAATACAGATAGTGACGCCAAACAAACAATACATATCAAACAGAGTATGTAGATCATGCACAACAAATAATATTGTGAGAGACAGTTTGAAATTTGGCCTCTTGAAGTTACCTATGACAAGGGAGAGTCAGTCATCAGTCTTCAAAGAGGCCGCAGATTCTTTATGTATCCCAAGTAAAAGAAAAGCGGAAGGGGCGGGATGTATAGACCACAACTTTTACCTCAATAGATCAGTAAAAGAGGGGCTGTTGATCCACAATCCATCCACATATGCGTCAAACTGTGAATATGTCATTGTGTTTGCAGATTGAATAAATAGGAGCTTCACATTCTCTAATTTATATTATTTTATTTGTTACAGATACACAAAGAGTTCCATGAATCTCTCTCAATACATATATCTCAAAGAACTGATTTTATTTAGAGAGAAGACTTCATGCTCCAAGCACTTAGGCTTAAAACATCAACATTCTGAGACCCATTGTTAAAAGCAAAGAGGTGTGTTCTCTCTCCTATTGCCAATTTTGGATAAACTCTTGAAGTAATACATGCTTTCCCTTTCCCGCCAAAGCTCTCTACTATTGAATTATCAATCTACAACACACAAACAAAACAACTAATTAGCTATAAAAAAAATTAAAAAAGAAACTTCAATTTTTTTCAAGTTCTTGTGATTCCAAGAAGTGGAGATGACTCACCAAAGTCCTGAGAGAGATTGGTTGGAAAGGAGAGATATCCAGAAAAGCACCATATGTTGTTTTATCATTCCCTCTCTTTAGAGACGACCTGCTTTGGTCACTACACATGACCACCACGTGGTCCTTACTCTTCTGACTAGCTTTGAAGATTCTGAGATAGACCGATGTGTACTCTTCCAAGTTCTTGGAAGCCAGAACCATTAAACCGAATGGACCTACACCGGAGTTAACCGATGATGCATTTTTCTGGCTGCAAATCAATTGTGGGTCGGTCCAACCCGGTTCAATGACATCCGCAATCTCTAAACCACTCACTTTGAACAAAATCTCCACGTCTGCTTGTGAAGCTGTGACCCCATGAACGTCAATTACAGATCCTCCTCCCTCCAAAACCTTGTTTCCCCACTTGACTTGCGTTGTACGTAACCTCTCTATCTCCTTAACCGGCCATTGCATCAATCTCTTTCCTGATTCATCAAGCCATACTTCCCTTGGAATCGCCTAAATAACCCAATAAAATGAGTTAATTACGTCTAAATTGTAATGAGTCAAATAAAAAACATTGGTTTACCTGTAAACCGGCCCAACCCTTTTTTATGTTATCCTTCTCCGGCGACGACTCGTTGACCCAACCCCACAAAATCCTCCGTCGAGTAACCGAGTCGTAAAACGTCTTCGATGCGTAAAATTTTCCGTAATCGTATCTCGGAGCCGTATCGTCCTGGACAAAACCATCGTCCGGTACATATTGATCTCTCACGCGATCGTACGTCCCAATCGTGTAGTAATCCTTACTCGTGTCCGATAAGCTCACTTTAAGCACGTGCTTAATCGAACCACTAAACGACGACGTGTCGAGGCCGTGTGAGTCACTTCTCGCCACCGGGAAAAAATCAGGACACTCCCACACTCCGGTGCCGTCGTGGTAATGAAGAGGCTTCGTCGATTGCTTCCAGTTGATGAAATCGCGGCTCGTGTAGAGAAGAGCCAATCCGCGACGACCTTCCTGGCTTCCGGTGATCATGCGCCACCGGCCGTTACGTCCGAGCCATGCGGTGGTTGGGTCACGAAACGCGGTGGAGTTGATGTGGTTGACGGCGTTGGGTGTTACGAGGGGATTTTCCGGCGACTTGGTCCAGTGCCGGAGATATGGGTCGCTGAGGTTTTTGGGTTTGGCTAAGTTTTGCACCTGGTGGTTGTTACGGTTGTTGCCGGTGTAGAGAATCACGGGTTTGCCGTTTGGGAGAATCGTGACGGAGCCTGACCAGCATCCGTTGATATCGGACGGTCGAGATGGTTTGATTGCTGGAGAATGTGGGGTCCAGTTGATGAGGTCCGTTGACGTTGCGTGGCCCCACACGATCTCGTTAAAGTTCATGAAGGCTCCGTTTGGGTTCCATTGGTAGAAGAGATGGTAGACTCCTTTGTATATCATAGGCCCTGTCCAATTTTATGTACACATACACATAACATAACACAACATCGAGATTTAGCCATGCTCACATATGCTTAATTGATAAAAAATAAAAATACTTGGAGGGAGAGAATGATAACTAACCGTTAGGATCTTGAAGCATTTGAAACAAAAAGCCCCAACGTAAAAAACAAAACAAAAGTGAGTGAAAAGATGTAATAATGTACACAAAGTATAGAGAAAGGAAAGATAAATAATTAAATATGTCCGGTATATCTATAAAATATACCGTTCATCCAATTTTTGGGAGGCTGGAAATGGTAACCGGTCCGGTAAGGTTGGTTCTTGATCCTAATGGGGGCGTGGTGCAAGGCATCAAGAACAACAGCATTGTCAGCAAGAAACAACGAGGCCAACAAGTAAATGGCAATGTTACACCAAACTATATTCATTGATTAAAACCCTTTTAGTTATGTATCTGAGATTTTATGTTTGAGTTTTACTTATAAAATTGTGGAAATCTCCAATTTATAGGCAGTGTGGGTTATTTTTTAGGCGTGCTTGAGGTGGTGGTCCATATATTGCAGTTAGGCTCTATAATCTCGATCCAAATGGCAATTTCATGTTCGTTGAAATCAAGACTGATTTTCTCAAATGTTTCTTTTTAAATCAAAGTAGGAATAATTCGTACAAACAGCTTGATTTTATATATTTTTTTAAACACATATATATTGTGTTGTATCACGGTATGTTTCAGTGTTATGCATGTTTCACCCACTTTGGTTGATACTGTACTTGAATAATTGAAAATTTTAAAAGCAACAAAACATATGGAAAATAACTTATTCCAAACAGACAAGAATGTTGCAAATCTCATAGATTCTGTTGTCTCATAACCGAAAATATATTCCACTCAATAATATGACTTAGCGAGTGTCGTTGTCTCATCATTGATGCGGGTATATATCATGCTCCAAGCACTTAGGCTTGTGAGACATCAACAACACTTTTAGTTTCCCTTGTCAAAAGCAAAAGAAAGTACATTTCCTTCTATTGTCAGCTTAAGATACAGTCTTGATGTTTATTCATGCTTGCCTCCCCCACCATTTATAGATCTCCACTATTGACTGCTCAATCTATAAAAGGAAAGATAGATTGAGAAGTCAATTTGAAATTGAATAGGAGTATACCTACAAAGTACAATGACACGTGATTCTTCTTGAACTCTCTTTAGAAAGACAAGATCAAAAGATCCTAAAAGTGAGATCGCCCCATTAAGTTCTCTCGCGTAACACTCATCACATTCTCCTAATCATTTTGATGGAATCTTTTCTATAATGGGGCTTTGAAAAAATCTCATTTTTATGTTAACGTGCTTGTGCTATCCATATATGTTAACACTTAATACATTTTAACACAAAATGGCTAGACAACGCAATGTTAGCTCCTCTTTGAGCTTCCTTTCGTATAATACAAACATGATTATCTCCTGAAAGGCAAGTTTGGTATGAAAGATTGCAAAAACTAAAAGAACACTGTTTCAGGGATGGAAATTTCCGTAGTTAATATCTCAAGTTTCTTATGGAGACGCAAAATCAACTTCTTCTTCTTTTGTGGTTTTACGCAAACTCTTTGTCACAAAGATCATAAAAGAATTATGCTAATTAGGTCACCTTATTGAATTAGTTATTTTCGAAAGGAAAAAGAAAAATAAGAGAGAGAGAGAGAAGAAATTTCTAAGAACAGTTTAATTTCTAACCAGTTACATCCCCGAGCTAAAAATGTGCTAAGAACAAATTTCTTTCTCAACTTCATCCAACTCTAATAGGTGTAAATTATCAGAGACATAAAAAGTTGATTTATATTCAAAGAGGTAATTTTCTGTTAATGAATATGAAATAGTTTCTACTTTTAGTAAAACGAAAGTGAAGTTACATTTGGTTGCTACTTAGTGCACATTTTCACATCATCACTATTGCTTGAAGATTTTGATACATGTCTATGTGTATTTTCCCAAGCTCTTAGAAGCGAGAATATTTAAACCAAAGGACGACAATTTATTTGATTCCCTTCAATCTAGCCATAGCTAGGGGGAAAAATCACGGCCTTGATGGTTACTGAAAACGGTACGTGAACGGTCTGTTCTCACCCCCGTCGCTGCCGGTGAACAGAATTACGGGTTTGTCCTTAGGAAGGCATGATCGAGTTGGATCAACATCGGATGAAAATCGAACGGTTGAGATCCGTTGACGTTGACGTAATGATGATGCCTTGATGGTTACTGAAAACAGTGACGTTTGTATGAAAACGGGCTCATAAATTACGTTGGCATTACTAATGACGTCTAGTGTTAGAAATTCGTTAGTCATTAAGCTTAATGTTGGGTTTACCATTTGTATTGTACTCGCTAAAAACTACACGTTAGAATGGTCCTCACATTTGTTTTATTGGGCCAAATCGTTGAAATTGTATTCGAGTTTTATGCTACTATACATATGATTATATGAATATGTAACGTATACATATATTACAAGTATATATATACGTGTGTGGAACTTGAAATGTACATGTTCCATATGAAGTCCACTATATCAATGTTTGTTGGAACTTGGAAGAACTTTTTATCCCTTTATTTTGAAGAAAAATCTTGGAAGATTTTTGACTACCGACAACAGACTTGTAAATTAAAATAGTAAAACAATATACTACATGAAGTCACATAAAATGTCATATAAGCTTCTAAAATTATTTTAAACAAACAAATTGGACCCCCAAAACTGGATATCCAAAATCAACTCATATAAATGCACAATAAATGGAGATATACATATATTGATGTGTTTATACGTGTATCTATCTCCGCCGTATGTGATCAACTAACTGATTTGGGCAGTCTTCATGCTGTAAGCACTTAGGCTTAAGACATCAACACTTTGAGTTCCATAGTTAAAAGCAAAGAGATGTGTATTATTCCCAGTTGCCAATTTTGGATACACTCTTGAGGTAATGCATGCTCTTCCCCTTCCACCGAAACTCTCCACTACTGAATGATCAATCTACAACAACAACAGCAACAAAAATAACATAAACCATTAAAAAAAGAAAAATCTATTGGTTCTTGAACAAGATAAAGATCGTATAGTCTTGGCTAAATGGGTTTTTGAAATAATTTTGTATTAATTGAGTGTTGTTTTTTCTAGATTTGCATGCCTTTACAACAACATTTACGTCAATAGCAACATATATATATATATATATATATATATATATATAAAAATATGAATGATATGTGTGAAGTGGAGACTTAATTACCAAGGCTCTGAGAGACAGTGGTTGGCGAGGATTAACATCCACAAAAGCTCCATACGTTGTTTTGTCATTATCTTCCTCCAGCGAAGACCTGTCCCGAATTCGACATCACCAAAAAGTCCAATATTAAATTAGAAAGTCAAATTTTGGATATAGATCTCTATAATTGTGACAGGCTGACAGCTGATAAGGAAAAATCTAAATTTGTGAGAGCACATGATCTACGTACATGCTTTGGTCACTGCACATGACCACAACGTGCTTATTGCTGTTTTTACTAGCTTTGAAGATCCTAAAGTAAACCGATGTATACTCTTCAATGTTCTTAGATGCAAGAACCATTAGACCGAATGGACCTAAACCGGACTTAACCGACACATTCATGTGACTACAAATCAACTGTGCATCAGTCCAACTCGGATCTATCACATCCGCTTTCTCCAAGTCTCCCACTTTGAACACAACCTCCACATCCGCCTGTACAAATCACAAGACTTTTTTTTTTGAAAAGGGTCCAAAATTTCTAATACTAATTAATTTTTAAAGCAATAATAGTAATAAATAATCAAACCTGTGCAGCTGTCACACCATAAACTTCAAGTCTAGATCTTGTCTTTAAAACTTTGTTGGCTAAGTTGACATGCGTTGTACGTAATCTCTCTACTTCTCTAACCGGCCACTGAATCAATTGCCTCCCAGACCGATCAAGCCATATTTTCCTCGGAACCGTCTAATCAAATACAAAAAACAAAACAAAAAATTAATTCAACCTTTAACACATTATGCTTACTTCAATTTTCAACCAAGTCTAAATAATTACCTGAATACCGGACCAGCCTTTCTCAACATCATCGGCAACCGACGACGACTCGTTAGCCCAACCCCACAAGATTCTCCGGTTCTTAGCCGAGTCGTAGAACGTTTTCGACGCGTAATATTTCCCATAATCGTATCTCGGAGCGTTACCGTCCATTTTAAAACCATGGTCCGGTACGAATTTATCTCCGACCCGGTCGTACGTACCGATCGTGTAATAGTCATGTTTCGTGTCATCCAAGCTTATTTTCAACACGTGCTTTAAAACCTCATTCGGTTCACCGAACGACGACGTCTCCACGCCTTTGGAGCCAAACCTCGTCACCGGGAAAAAATCAGGACATTCCCACATTCCACTTCCGTCGTCGTAATGCAACGGCTCCGGAGATTTTTCCCATTTCATAAAGTCTTTGCTCGTGTAAGTGATCGCTAGTCCACGACGGTGGATCTTGCTCCCTATGATCACTCTCCATTTCTTGTCGTGACCGAGCCACGCCGTGGTTGGGTCACGGAACGAGCTGGCGTTGATTCCGTTGACGGCGTCGGGAGCCATCAGAGGGTTTAACGGCGACTTTGTCCATTCCACGAGATATGGATCGGAGAGGTTCTTAGGCTCGGCTATGTTTTGGACCTGGTTGTTCTTGGGGTCGATTCCGGTATAGAGGATAACCGGTTTGCCGTCTGGAAGAATTGTAACCGAACCGGACCAACATCCGTTGATATCGAACGGCTCAGATGGGAAGATAGCATGAGGATGTGGGTACCAGTTTATTAAATCTGTTGACGTGGAATGGGCCCACACGATGTTACCCCACACGGCGCCTTTGGGGTTCCATTGGTAGAAAAGATGATATATTCCTTTGTATATCATAGGGCCTGTATAAATGAAATTTATAATATTAAAAATCATAAATGTAATGTAAGCGTCGTGGTGCAGCGTAATAAAAGGTCGACCAATGCATTAGAAAAATCCAATATACGGTTGGTGTTTCTGACTTATTGGTATAAGTAATGTTTATAAAAATAATAAAAATACTAGTTCAAGGAAAATGATCTGTCTATTGGATATGAAGAGTTGACAAAAACAAGGGGAGAGGAAAAACTAACCATTTGGATCTGCTCACGGCCAAAGATCAATCCAATTTGTCAAAGCACAAACCATAAGGAGGGAACAAAAGGTTAGAGATAGTTGAAACTATATGACAATGAGTTTGAGATAATTGACATGGTAGTATCAAGATTTAAACATACCGTTCATCCAATTCTTGGGTGGTTGGAAATGGAAGCCGGTCCGGTAAGGCTGGTTTACGGAAGGAGATTTGGTTTCAGTGCTTTGGGTAAATCTCTTGTAGACATGGTGCGAGGCTTCGAGATCGACGACATAGTTACTAAGAAGCAACGTGAATAATAACCAAAGTCCAATGCTGGAGCAAACTTGTTTGGTCATTGTGTGTTTGTGTGTTGTTATTTCTTTTATGGTTGTTGTATGAACGAATGAAGATCATGTCAAATTTATAGGCAAATGACGAGGGCAAGCTTGTCATATAGAAAATTAAATATTATATTTGCAAATTGATTTTTTTTTTTTGGATGGGGCTAATTAATGTTAATAATGAATTGACTGAATGTTATACTGCCATAAGTCAGACATCTAAACGAGTGGTTTCCAACAATTTTCGTATACTTAGAAGATAAACGAGTCTTAAATGGTTTAGGACTTCTTACTAGACTTTTAGAAACATAGGACTGGTGTGGTGGTGACTAGAATTAATTATATAATGTATTTTGGTTAATTCTCCAAATTAGTTGAAGAACTAATAATTTTGTTTAACCTAACATTTTGGTGGTATAGAGGCATAGAGCCTGCTTTGAGGAGAGCCAAAATAATTTATCTGACATCTAAGTGTTAGTTACAACCTAATTGACAGAGGTTCCTATAAAACTTAGAGCCAACCTTGATCATATAATTTTAAACAAAACTGGATAGATGTAATGTTTATCCCATTCCACTAGTCAACTATTTTAGGCTATCAAAAGTGTATTTCGTAAAAGTCGTGACTATATTGGGAAAAAATATGCTTATGCGAGTCTAGCATTCGGAGACAAATATATATTGGTAAATTAATGACGAGACGCCAATATCCAATACCGTAATACAATACCAATATAATGACGAATTTGGTGTTTACACGGACGTCAAGAAGTCAACAACAGTTCATAATCACGTGTCTCCACTTTCCACCATCCGTCCATACACGAGGCGAGGAGATTAAACAATCGATTAATGGGAAAAAGTATGGTAATTAAACTTTTGAATATTATAGTTGAAAAGTCAAATTTTGGACTCTACCTTTGTCCCTTTGTAGTATGATGATGTATGTATCCTCCTTCACATTTACTATAAAACTTTCTTTTTTTGGTTTTCATTCTATACAACTTTCTACTCTTTTGAGTTTTTGACATACCAATACAGACCAAAAACAGACCGTAAGCTGCAACTTTACCGTAATTCACCAATGCGTTCTCTTTATTCTCTTAACCACCGATACTTTTGGTTGGCAGCTTTAACCACATATATAAGAAACCAATTTGATGCATATTTTTATATATTAACGATTTCATTAGTTTGTCTAGTTCAAAATAAATAATTGGATTAGTTGACTTTCAAATATAAATTACGAAATTTTTCAACAATGCATATCGCTTTTTAGTCTCTGCCTAAATTTGATATGCAATAAAGCTTTCGATGTTAACTTAGTCGTCTGGCTAGAAATCTACCACAACAACAACAAAACAACATAAATAAATTCTAATCTGACGTGTTATATTTGTGCCTGTGTTCCCAACCCATACCAATCACGTGGAAGTATAAAATCAAATAAGCATTTGATGAAGATCGTAAAATTTCATCTTTTGTGATAATAAGCATTGTTTTCCGGACGAGGGAAAATGACATTTTACTAGCAACACTCTGTTTAATTAAAAAAAAAACAATTAATAAGCGATTGAATAGTAGAGTAAACAGAAATTCTTGCTTTAAATACTCTGTTGGGATGTAATTTCCTTATTCTTGGAAGTTCTTAGAACCAAAAAGATTACACCTGTAAAACTTCTTAAAATACGTGAAAGTAGTGATCGCTAAAATCTGAAAAGGATTACACTTTTGCTGATTGCTAATTGCTAGCAACTCAATAATTTGATGAGTTTTTACTGTATTGAGTTTCAGCCTTTCTAATGATTCTTTCTTCTTGTTTCCTAATCATTTTTCTTTGCTGAATAAGAGGGGTGAAAATGCAATAGTTTTTGGCAGATTGCTAATGGAAAGATTGCAGTTATAGTAAGCACAAACAAAAATGCAACTGTCAAATAAAAAATACAGATAATAAAACTATTTGAAAATAAAATTTTGATTTATTTAAAAATTAAATTATAATTCAAATTAGTACAATAATGTCTTATCTCATAAAAAAGTATATTTAAAATAAATAAAAAAAGTATATTTTTGAAAATTTAAAAGCCAAATATTTTTCAAATAATCTCATTAATCAATTAACAGGGCATCAAAGTTGACTACGTGTCCATTCTGTTTCCAGAAAAATATACACAAGTAAAACCGTAAAGGTGTTAATTTGAAATATCTTAATTATTATAGTTTATTAATTACAATATATGTATGAGATAATGACAAAAAATCTCTATGAAATATGGGAAAAGTTATTATGTAAACTGATCATAGCAATAGTACTGAGCAGATGAGTTTGTGAAAAAAATAGTTTTTTAATGAAAAGTTTTTGACAACATCACACATTTCTACATCATTTCATTATTCATGTGTTTTTTACTGTTACTAATTTGTCTTTAGTTGATCATGATTTTCAAAAAAAAATATCTAGCTGAATAAATTATTTTTTTTCATTCTGTAAAGACTTAAAATTTGCTAACACTTTCTTCCGTCAACCATTTGCTAACATATATATTTTTTTTTCGAATTGAATGTTAAATTAATTCGAGAAAACAACGTTTTTACAACAAATGCTACTTTGTAGCTGAAATAGAGAAAGAAGAGCTAATTACTTAATGCTACAAAGGGATTTAAATTGGTACTAATGAATTAAAGTGGTACTTAATGCTACAAACCAGGTTTGCAAACCATTGTCAAATCTTCTATCTCCAGTCGTTCTGATGGAGGTGAAGCGATTTCAAATTTGCTTGTCAATGGCTTGCTTCACACGGGATGGAGTCTTAAAATATTCATATAACATTTTTTTTCCTCGATGGGCTATTTGTGTTTTTTTTTTTTTTTTTTTTTTTATAACCATGGGTGATCCAAAGGCTTTCTAGCCCAAGACTAATCCCACGAGGTCCACGGCAGTCCACATATTATTTTTTTATTTGTGTTATATAATATATCATAATTCTAGACATTTTAGAGAGAGAAACTTATATATAGTTTAAAGAAAAACAAATTTTGTGTACATATGTGATATGATATATTGATATATGATATATCCATAATTAGACATCATCAATAACGTACATATATGAATACAAAGAATATAAAAAACGTCAAGTCGACCAAGTTCATCATCCGGATTTTGATGCGGTAATGGATAATCTTGTAATCCTGACGCGATGTAGAAAAAAATATATCATACTCACTTTTGGTTGTTATCTTAAGGAATGACGTCTTATGCTATATGACAATTACTCAAATCTTATTTGTTTATATACAGTATATATGATATGAACGAATTAGCTGAGATTTTGTTTGACTTCTCGTTCTTTCTATTTTGGAGCCAAAACTATCGTTTCTTTTATGGGGCACAGTGGCACACACTCAAAAATGTAAAGCTAATCCTACCGACCAGAGTCTTAAAAGTTAAAACACATTACAATGGAGTATAATCGACATTTCGTTTCTGCATTGAAATGAATGTTCGTAGACTTGTCGTCTTGGAGACAATCAGACAAATTGAAAATAATAATAAAAAGGATTTCAGTAAAACCTGAACTCAAACAAGTTTGACAACAAAAATTAAATATCCTTAGAGTAGCTTATCATGGATTGGGTGTGAATGGTAAATACTAGAGTATTTTGGAGAAACTGATAGAAGAGTAAATGAAAGGGTGGAAATGTTATATTTTCTTTTCCCACTCAAGAGTTAAAAAACAATTTCCACCATACTTTTTTACTCTAACAATTCATTCACACGGTCACACGACTCACACTCACACCCCGTTAGCTATGGTGAGTAGTGAGACATTCTTGCCAGAAAAAAAAAGAAAGTGAAAGCGACTCTTGATGAATATCCGAGGCACATATACGAAGATACATATTCATATATACTCTTTTAAAGCGTATATTAATATACATGGTAAAATGTATATGGAACCATAGCTGATACTTGAGAGAGCTAGTATTAATTAATGGGGGCTTGTTCACGTAAGCAGGAGCAACAATAAGGACCAACGAGTCATAAATCGGACTAGAAAACTTTGAATCAAGCAAAACCGCCACGTATGATTCATACTTGCATATATGATGGTACAGTTTATAACCCGTCTCGTGTTTCAGCTATAATAGAAGCGAAATCATACTTATTCACTTGAGAAACCTTAAGCTAAATGAATCTTCAAATACCATGATTAGCAAACTAGAGAATGATGATGGACACAGAAGTAATACTCACCAGAGTCGTTTGAGAATAATTCCAAAACCTTGACAATTGGATTTCAATTGCCGGAGTGTAATTTCAGAGTACGTATAAACAGTGGCAGACCTAGAGATTTATATTACCTGGGTCAAAAATCAACTAAAGGTGTTATTGAGGGTGTTTGAACCAAGGTATGGGGGGTCAATATGAAACTTTTTACCATTTAAGCTGTTGCATTTATGTGTTTAATCCTTACAAATTAAAGTTTTATCTTATTTTAGGGGTGTCAATTGAATCACTATCCTTGTATGTTGGTCCGCCTCTGCGTATAAAATAAAATCAGGTTTGAATGAAATCGAAACTAAATTTTACCTTCTCACAATCTCCACAGGCTAACGAAGTTGGAACTGGACGGCGTTTTAGACTAATGTTCTTGAATGTTCTTGAAGGTGAACTGGACGACCCTCTGGTCTTTGCTCTGGAGGGTCGTGGTTGAAGTTTCTGTCAGATTTGAACGGCGTGGTGGTTTTGGAGGCTTTGAGGACGAGCTTCCGCCGTCGATTTGTTCAAGGAGGTGGGTTTTCAGCTGCAATGTTCTCGTCAGGGCAGAGACGGTGTGGTCTCCGGTAAACCGGAGAGTGGCTCATTCCATCCTCTCTCTCTTTTCTTTCTCGCCGGTGGCTGTTGTTGGGCGGTGGTCGAACGCAACTGTGGATTATCTTCTCAGTTTTGGCCTTCCGTGTGGCCCCTTTCAACTTCTTCTGGTTTATTTTGCTTTTTTGGGTTTGTAGATGATATCACATATTTTACATGATTTTACTATATAATTACTATGTTTTCAAACGGTTTTTGCAAGATTCTTTGCCTTTAGAGGTAGTTTTCTTGTATTTGTGGGATTTGAAGTCTTTGTAGGTGAAATAATCAAAAAGGATGCAAAAAGGAGTAAAAGAGCCCTAAATCAAGATCCATGCAAGTTTCCAAGTCAAGAAGATCATTTTATCTCCAAGTGTTAGTTCTCGCTAGCGCGCAGAACGAAGCTTCGGAAGTTTGGCCGCGCGCGGAGGAGTTCCCGACGTCCAAAAGTTACGATCTTGATATGGAAAGATAGATACTTGAGTCATGCATCACGTCGAAGTGGAATGAAGCCATTTGGATCAACTATGAGGCCTAGACTTATTTTCTACCGAGACATGTCCGGTAAGCGAGTAAACGAAGCCCATGGAGGATTTGGAGTGTCTAATGGCCCGAGCAGCAGCGCCAAAGGCCTTGATCGAATAGAGAAGAGGCCTGGCTAATGTTTGGAGCTTTCCTTGGTACAATGTCGGCCCATACACGACGTGGAGAAGAAGGCTTTGCGCATGGGAAACTTTCCTTTTCCGGCATGAAGAAAACCCTACGCGACTTCGCCCATATATACATGTTTTTAGCCGCGAAGAATATACCAAAGAGTGTACGTGTGAGAAGAGAGCAGAGAAGAGAAGCCCTAGGAGATCGTCCAAGAAGAAGGAGGCGCCGCTCAACTCTTGTTCTTTCTTTTTCATTGTTTCCATTTCTATAAACTTGATCTTAAGAGTTTTCAAGGGAGAATCCGACTTTGTTCATCAATAGAGAAGCTTTCTTCATCCCTTTATCTCTTTTAATACTTGCATAATGTTTACAATCATGCTTTGCTTGCTTGTTTGCATCATGGCCGAGTAGATCTCTTAGTTAGGCCGAGGAGATCTATGGTGGCCGTGATGATTTGATTGTGTTGCAACTTATTGGGATTTATCTTATGGATCTTCACCTTTACTTGAGCTTAATGCATGATTACTCTACCGTACATCTAGTAATCTGATCTTAGAGAAATAGAACCACGACAGTGCTGAATCTAGATCTCAAAACTAGTATTTGGTGAGCAATAGATCATAGCCAACGAAAGCTGAGTTATGGTTTATTGTGAACAATTGAATCTTGATCACCTTTAATGCATGTTTGCAATTCTAATAGCCAACGAAAGCTGAGTATATTAGGTTGTTTTAAACATAGTGGTTGGAGCCACGACAGTGGAAAGACCATACACTAGTGATTCATGTTCAAGACGGCTCTACACACATCCCATGCAACTATCTTTTCATCATTGCTCCATATGATTGTCCTTTGCCTAACTCTTGTTTTAAATTGTTTACAACCTCACTCACATTCTTTTGTTTTTTCTCATTCTAGGTCCAAAACCATCTCATATTGCGAGCTAGCTACAAACCAATCTCACAAGGTGTTAAGCGAGAACACTTCCTCCTCGTGTTCGACCCCGACTACAACACGGCTGTGCACTTGCAGCTCATTAGTTGGGTTTATAAATTGTGAAAATTTGAGGCAATCTAAACCCACCATCAGTAGATTGGCTCAAAGCTCTTCTAGGGGACGATGCCATAAAATCTTAAAGCTTCCAAGGTGGTTCAGTGTTTGATAGAGGCAGCAGCTCCGTTTTCTAGTCTCTACTCGCCCCGTGGGAGACTATTCTTGTGGTTTCAAAGCTCGAGTTTGGTGGCTAGAGGCGGCTTCTCTAGCTGTCCGTAGAGGTTCTCGTGCCGCCGGTGGTGGAGTAATTCGCTGATTCGGTTCTGTTTTTGTGCTAGTCCTCGGAGAAGCTGCAGGTACCGCTACTAATGTGGTTTTGAGGACTTGCCTTGTGTGAGGTTGCTCGCAGCAACAATGATGGGAATTCCAGGTTTTAGGATCTTCGGCAAAAGTGCAAATTTTTGAACTTTGGTTCAGAATCAGTGTTCCTTCATTGGTAAAATTTTGGTGGGTGCAAACGTGTGTCTAGGTTGATGTAGTTAAGCCGTCTTTTAATCCCATTTGTTTCTTAGATTTCGGTCTTTCTCCTTTCCTCCAACCCCATGCTAAATATGACATATATGCTATTTTGCCATAATTTTTGCTCCAACCCAATTGCATATGCTATTGCAAAATAGCATCATGCTATTTTTGCTTCTATATTTGGCATGAGATTATGCAATATGCTATTTTGCCATTGAACTTTTTTATTTATAAAATAGTCCTTCAATTTGTAATTACTTTTAATTTAACAGTTTAATTATATTGATTATGATTTATTTAAATAAATAAACAATACTCATAACTTTTTCAAAATATAAATAATATTTATTTCATAGAAATATAAAAACATAACCATAATAAACTTCAAATTTTATTTTTAAAAATACTGAAATTCAAAAAACATAAAACAATAGGTTAAAATCTTTGTTTTCTATAATTTTTATGTAATATGATGTATTTTGTTTTAATATTATAATAATAAAAAATAATAATAATTCTGGTTGTTTTTGCAAAAAAAGAAAAACAAATGATTCACTTTGTAAAATTTGAAGAAATCAAGTAGTTTTAACAATTAATAATAAGTTGGAAAAAAATTATAGCATGATATATGGCATGAGGGGTTGGAGAAAAACCCAATGCTATTGTATATTTTTGCCATTTGCAATAACATATGGCATGAGAGGTTGGAAATGGTCCTAGTTTCTCTGTATCTTTTGTCAAAAATCAAAAATTTGGTAATAAATCTTAATATTAAAACCAAAAAAAGAAAATCAAAGAAAAAACAAAACCTTATACAAACTACAAAGCATGGTCAAATTTTCTCATTTGACCATACACATAAACCTTTTTTTGGTAAAACCAGGGGCGGATGTACGTGTGGAGGTAGGGGGTCAGCTGACCCCTACTACTTTGATAAATAAAAAAAATTACATGTACTTGTATTGTGTTTAATGGCTTATTTAGTTTAAATGTTATCATTTGACCCCCTTGTCTCAAGTTCAACTCTTCTCTCCATACATTTATTTTAATATATGACCCTGGTACAATATAATCCTAGCTCCGCCCCTGGGTAAAACCATACACATAAACTTATTTGAGCTTTTGTTCTCCTTGCAATAACATCGCTACGTACGAAGTACTACATTACTCGAGTACATTCTCTTCTAAGGTTGGCAATTTCGCATCAGTCTTGCATATGGAAAAAGATCTGTTTGTGTTCTTAATAAACTGGCTAAATTTGTTTTCATTCTTTCTATTCGATGAATTTGCAGATAAAAAAACTCTCGTCCAGTTGGAAGCTGCATATTCGTTTTTGGGCAATACTGGTCCTTTACCTTCTCCAAAATCTCCTTGGATGATTGAAAATAAGTTAGATGAGAACAGGCTAACAAAGTTGGAATTTTCGGTAACATCGCTACGCACTAAGACCACCTCCATCGCCGGGTTTAAAGCAGATTTTAAAAAGGTTCTGATGATTAAAATAAATTAAAAACAGGTTTCCACAAAGATAATCTTTAAAGTCGAATGCTAAATAAGCTTAATTTTAGAACCTGTGGTTGCTAGCTGGTTCGTTTCTTCGGATTAGTTAGACTTGGCTCCTTTCGATTTCTGGTCTTTAAAGGTTTCTAGACGTTTATTTAGTCTTATTTGTCGTCGCCGCATCCGAAAGTGTGTATCTTGTCGGGTCATAAAGCTTTGTTACTTGTTTCTGATAGCTTCTCTCTCTTTGTTCCGGGAGGAAGTTCATTTTTGTTGGTTGGCACAAGCATCTGTGTTTATGCGTCCATTGGATTTTTTTAAGTTTGGTTAAGCGATCTGCAGTTTTGGTTTTACCACTAGTTTTGGGTTTAGTTTGTTACTTCTTTTGTGTTTTTATTGCACGTTGCAAATCTCTTTGAGCTTTTTATCTTTGCTCCCGAGGATATCAACTTTTTCCATCGGTTTGGCTTCCCTTGTGTGGGCAATGTTTTGATTGTTTGGACTTTAGATTTCTCTTGTATATCACATTTAAATCAATAAAATCTTTATATGACAAAAAAAAAAGTTAATTTTAGAACCCGACATGTGTCAACGAATGCACATGAGATAAGTTAGGCATGGGCATTTTACCTGGATCCGAAGCCCCGAACTGAACCCGATCCAAAAAAGATGGAACCGAACTGAACCGTAACCGAGATGAATACTCAATGGGTCTAAATTTTTTATACCCGAAAAAACCGAACCCGAACCGGAACCGAACCGAGAACCAAAGGGATATCCAAAATATAATTATATATCCAAAATATTAGTTATTTTCTAGACTTATAATAATAAATAACTAAAATTACAATTATAAACCTAATGAGTTATATTTAGAACAAAATAATCAAAATATTTGAAAAGTCCAAAAACATTTAATAGAAGTTGGAGTAAAGAAAAGTGTTTCGGTTATTTTATAAGATTTTGGATATTCGGTTCAAAAAACCGATAAAAACCGACCCGAATCAGAACCGAATGAAACCCAAATAAAAACCAAAATTTGTATAAACCCGAGCATGTCCATACAATTTAGCCCTGAACCGAGCCGAATCCGACAGAAACCGAATCGAAACTGAACCTTCTTAAACCCGAATGGGTCTAAAATTTAATAACCCGAAAAGACTCAGAACCCGGGACCGAACCCGAACCGAAACCCAAACGGCCTGACAGATTGACAGAAAAAAAAAGCACTTCTCCCTTTTCCCTCTCTTATTGTGCCTCGATCCTCTATCGAAACCTGCTTCTACGGCGATCCTCAATCGCCGTCTCCTTCTCCAACGGACTGATCAATCTGACCGGCGATGTTATGACAGTCAGCGCCATCGACATCTCCTTCTCAGGCGAAGCAACGCACTTGGTTCACCGTCGTCGAATCCAACCAGCGATTCAACCATTCCATCAGCAGATACAGAGACAATATTAGGTAAACCATCTGGAGCCATATTCTTTAGCGTTTCTATGATCTTTCTATGGTATCATTTTTAGGAGTTTGATAGTTTTGAATCTATAAGACAAAATTGGTACTTTAAGTTCCATTGCGTATAAAATTCGGCTTTTTAGAACACCAATCTGTGAGTAAATCACCTTCGATAGCTTTGCGTATAGCTTTGGAGTTTCATTATGTGACCATCAATCTTGCTATTACATTCACCATTAAACAAGTTGGAAGTAAGCATGACATAGACTGGACATTATCAAACGGTTTAATTAGATTTGAAATCTTCTTTCCGTTCACAAGCTTATGATTTTGGTATATATCACTTCTCTTCTAACTTGAGTAACACTTAGTCTTGTATCAAAAGGTAGAAATGTTGTGGCGATCAATGTTTAACACAATCTGTTTTATATCTGAAAAGTCATTGTTCCATACTCCATCCTATAGATTTATATTATTCTTGGTGTGTTCTGTTTCTCAAGTTGACATGCAAATATATCTTAATAACTCCAATAGAGGTTCTACCAATGGAAGAGGATCTTGGGGTTGCAGAGAAGTTTGTCTCGAACAAAGATGATAAACCTATTTCACATAGGAATCTCTGTGAATCTGGTAAATCTTGTTACTTTTGGTGTTAAGATGTGGAATTTTATGTAAATTCTGTAGCTGTTGATGGGATTAGTTGTAAGCTGATCCATTTTGCATCTCAGAACCTCCTGATATAGGTGATTGGTTTTCGAGCTATATCTATGAATCACCGGTCCTGGATACAAGTGATTGTTTTGAGTTGTCGTCGATTCCTGAGGAAAGGGAACGTGTCAAGGAGACGCAAACAGAAGAAGAGACAACAACTATTACAGATTTCACTCAATCACAGTCTCTTCTTCTTTCGGGTTAGTAAAAAAGTAAAAAACCAGTTACATATAATTACCTGTGAAAATGTGTGTTATTTAGGATCTTACATGTAATGTTTATTGTTCCTAACAGAGCCTCCTCATGTCAGAAACTGGTTTTCAAGCTATGAGTATCAGTCTCCTCAGCTTACAGAACTTGATGAATTAATCATTGACGAGAGTGACACAGAGGAAGAAAATGCGTGTGGTATTTTTCGAAAAACTAAGAGCAAGCAAGAGACTACTATTGTAAGTTATCTTCTTGAACCAATGAGAATATCATTACTGCATTTTTTTAGTCTAGAGGCTTGACAACATCCAAAGGAAAGAGGCTTTTTAACTGAATTTGAGCACTTGTCAGTTATTATTTTGACACTCTTCTTTCTTAACTGGACATGTTAGGCTAAGGAGGTGTCCTCAGACAGTGCATATTCAGACCAAGAAATGGAAAAGAAAATATCATTTGGGTCGATGAAACAAGAATCAAGCTTCAAGCAGGATCCATTATTCTGTGAACCAAGGTTCAACCCCAGATACAAGCCAAAACAACAGTCACTCTCAACTCACGAAGCTTCTTTACAAGAGCTGGGACCAAAACATATCCAAGAAACCAATCCCAGCAGACAAAATTCTCCCAAGGCTTGTCTAGAAGAAAACTTGGAGTCAGTAGAGAAAGTTTCAGATGACAAGGAAAATGTTGAGGAAAAAAGCACTGGCAATGGATTTGTGACGATGAAAAAGAAGACGAGATTCAGAGAATCAAGAGACTACCAGATGAAACCAAATAGAGGAGTTATGGTGGAGGGTTGGAGAAGTAGAGAGTTAAAGATGATCGACAGAGAGGAAGATGAAGAAAGAAAGAGGAAGAGAAGAGTTTTGGGGGAAATGTCCAACCTCCAGTTCTCTGGAGCAGAGGAGATTGCAGGGAAATGGCGTTGCCCTCAGAAAAACAAAGTTAAATCAGGTCCGCCATTGAAGCAGCTTCGACTTGATGCATGGATACATAAAGTATGAGTCTTTGAAAGAAGCTTCAGGCTACCAACAAACAATGTATTATGAGTTTAGCTTAGTTTAGTGAGTCAACAAACAAACAGGGTAATTTCACTTTTCTCTTTTGTTGAATTTCAATGTAAAATTTGGAGTTTGGAACCAAGTAATAATGACGTAACCTTTATCTTATATATAAAAGATAGCTATGGACAATGTGATATTTGATCACTATACTCAGTTTAGTGAGTCAATGAAGAGCTCATTCAAACAGTTGCTTCGAGATGAGGTTTGAGAGAGTGTTGAACTGATTCTATCGACAGGTGATAGAATGCAGGCTCTTGTTGTTATGTTGTCTGAATCTTTTGATGTTTGTTTCGTTTGCAGGCAGAAGAACTTGGCAATAATATGTAAAATTCAATGTATTTTCTGCAAATCAAGTTTTTTTTTTTTTTTTGGTCAACCAGCAATTCAATAATATTCCGTTCCTCTGCTAAGAATGTAACTCTAACATTCATGATCAAACCACTTCCAAAGATATGGGACAAACAAAAGCCCAAGATCAAACAATTTTTTTGTTTTAGGTTTTTTAAGCACCCCAATAGGATGTTCTCATTGGAGCAGAAAAAAAACTATTAATGCTTAACATAGGTGCTTAACAAAATTTTAATAATAAAATATATTTTAAGATCTTATAAGCACCTAGCATTGCACATGGTCTTATACATTCTTGCCAAAAAAAAAAAAAAGTGAAAACGATTCTTAGAAGGATGAATATCCGAGGCACAAAATACGAAGTTACAGGTTAAATAAATGTCAACTGTTTGATCCACTAAAATCAACTGATTTTGGATCACTGTCTGAATATATATATACTGGCACAATTACATTTATATATTATTAGCTGTTGAATGTCGATCAAATCTATATAAATAAAATATATAAAGTAACTTAAATCATAGTGAAATAAATAGGTGAAAAATTACAAGATTTATTCTTCCTAAAACAGAATAAATATATATTTGATTAAAAAAAAAGGTCGGCCTTGATAAAAACTAGACCAACTCTTTTTTTCTTTTCCTAAAATGATGCATAGCCGTAAACACCTACCACATCCCAAATTTATAATTTATTTGGATGTTTATTAAGGCTATACATCTTAGCTTATTTTATGGAAGACAACCTATTAAAATTCTAGTCCTATAAAGCTATAGATAAAACCTAATAATAAAATTACAGATGACTAATTAAGATCATCATAACATCCGGCAATTATCAGGCACATTCTTGCCAAAAACCGAACCACGAACGTTCTCACACAAAGCCGTGACTAAACCGTCTCTTCCATTGTAGCTTAGGTTGATATCTGAGAGCACAATGCCTTGACAAGGAAACGTTCTACTACACTGCATCTTCAAAGCCTCTCTGCTCGTCGAAGTTCCCCAAATTTTGTGGTACTTGACGTCTTTGATCTGAACATGAGAAGCATACTTTCCAGGACTATCGCAAAGCCCATGTGGACAATACTGCTGATCGATGACGATAGGGTTTCCGACATTGATCATCCGGATATTCTCGTACAAGAAGTTTGAAACCGTGATCGTCGAAATCGACTTAGCCCATGTCTTGATCCGTAAACCGATGGTTGTACCGTTGAAAACCGAGTTTCTTACGGTTAAGCCCTCAACGTTCTTCTCTCCACTATATTTTCCAAGGCTCCCAACACTTATCCCGTGCCCTGGTCCGCACCTATTATTAGAAGATATCAAAAAGATCAAAATATCAAATCAAGATATTGAATATTGGTAATGAAAGCAAAAAAAAAACAAAAAGTTATATGTCAAAGGTTTCGAACTTCTTGGTAGTAGAACAAAAAAAATCAAGAATATTATCATATCTCATAGAAGTATATAACGGAAGGTAATTAACTTACCTGACATCAGAGATAACCAAATTAGAAGTTCCGTCAAGGATTGCGATGCAATCGTCACCGGTTCCGATTGTGACGTTGGTAATATGCATATCCTTAGATTTACCGATCTTGATTCCGTCGGTATTAGGGCTATTTCCGGGAGCGGTGACGGTGACGTCGGTAACGTTAAAATCCTCGACTGAGAAGAAGTTGAAGTGTCCCATCTTGCTGTTGATCGAATGTAGACCGTTGATCTTCGAGTGTTTAACGAACGCAAACCCGATGCTCATAGCTAGTGGACGACACCTAGGGCTTTTGTGACAGTCATTAAGAGTCCAAGAGTAGGATCCTTGACCGTCAAGTAATCCTCCACCGGTGACGGTGAGATAGTCGACGTACTGAAATATGATCCATGCATCGCGTTTGAAGGCGTTGGGACTCCGAGGAGCCAATAAAGTTCCTTTGATTAGGAAGGTTACTGGACCTTTGCAAGGACCAGAGAACGTCACTTGATGGAGATAGAATCTTCCGGGAGGAACATAGACCGTGGATCTTCCTCCACTCCATTGACAAGCTGCCTTCCACGCTTTTGCAAACGCAAAGGCGTTGTTTCTTCTGCCGTCTACGCCAGCACCGTAGTTTCTGACGTCGAAGAGTTGACCTTGGACGGAATGTTCATTCGTCGGAGCACTTGAGACGGCGAGGAAGAAGATGAGAGAAGAGGCACACGATATCCAAAACCTAGACACCATCGATATCACTTTTTTTTTTTTGTGTTCTTAGCCTTTTGATAAGTTGAAGAAGTGAAGCTTTTGAGCTTCTAATTTATAGGGAAAACAAGATAAGAATATCTCTGTTGTTGATGCATTTATTAAACAAAAATGGAAACGCAATCTGTATACTACCATTCATATGGAAAACAAGTATTAAAAATGTCAAGCAAGAATCTGATCAAAATGGGATAAGATAAGTTTGTGCGAATTCTAGTTACTGATAATTGAGAATTAAAAGTTGGAATCTTCCCTTTTTTTATTTCAGCTTGAATCTAAAAATATGATGATCGTTATGACTGTATATTGTGCCGCAGAAAACATTTACTTTTCAGTTGCATGTGGTATTGTTATTAACTTATTATCAATTGTTGGGGTTAAAATATATGTAGAATAACAACTTAACATTTATAAGAAATCTTTGCTTTACATGTGTATGTATTATTCAATGTAAATGTCACACTAAGATAAGGGAGTATGTGTATATATGTTTACCCTAAAAATCTATGCTTTTTTATATAATATGATTTTGAGTTGGTAGGGAAAAAAATCTATACAAATTAGTAGATACAAAGTTACTAAAATGTCAAATTTGCCATTTTTTTGTATCTCCTAAAATCATATGGTTTGCCGAATGTAATTATAAGGAAATTATCAGAAAAAAATCTAGTTATTTACCCTAGAAAAGTAAAAATGGGTTTGTAATTATCTTTTCAATATGAGATGCGATTATCTTTTCATGGATTTTTCTTATCTAATATGATTTGAGTCGGCAAAATAACATAAATTTACAAATATACATAAACAACATGTGCAAAGTTAACAAAATGTCAAATTTTGAGCTAACCTTTTTATTATTTTTTTTTATTTTTTTTATGGCAACCTTTTTTATTTCCTAACTAGTGCTGCGGTATGCGGTGTGACGTTGTTGTTTTGTGTAGAAAATTTAAACCCTAAATCCGAACCCGACAAAAAACCCTAATCAAAAAATTTAAAAACCCAAACTTTTTTAATAGGTCTAAACATGAAAATCCGAAATCAAAAAAATCCCGAAAACCCTGACTGAACAAAAAAAATCTGGAAACTTTTTCACCCGGAACCCGACCCCAATACCTAATCAAAATTTTAAAATACTCAATTTTTTTAATATATCTAAACCCGAAAACCAGAAATCTAAAAAATCCGGAAAACCCTAAACTGAAAAAAAAAATTGAACCTAACCCGAACAGAAATTTTCAAAGAAACCCGAACAATTTCTATATATCTCTATAAAATTATGTCTCAGATTTTCACCCAAACCCGAACTTGTCTATAAAAACCCGAAAATCCAAAAAGCATATTCTATTGATTTGGAATTATCGTTAGATTATGTTAAGTTTTTTTTTTGCAGATTTTTAAGAGATGGAAAACGGAAGTTTTCTAAACCATCGGTTTATTTTAAGTTATTATTCTTGTATCCAAACAATTTTTTCCATTTATTCTTCTATCCAAATAGATTTTTCTCTTATTCTTATATCCAAACAACTTTTGTTTCCATTTATTCTTCTATCCAAATAGATGTTTCTCTAATTCTTGTATCCAAACATTAGAATGTACTTCTCAATTAATAATATAATAAAGATTAAAGGCTAAAACCATGCATATATATAGTTTGCCGAATGTAGGATACAATAAAATTCCTTTTTAGTTTCGGTAAATCATTTCTAATTAAGGAAAGGATAAAAGTATATATACAAAAGGAAAAATAAATGATAAGGTTGTTTTTCAAAAGTGGAATATGGACATGTGAAACGCAAACTCAATGTGATCATTAGCCCATGTATCTATGCATGTTATGTAACCTTGGCTGCCATTGAAGCAGCCGATCCTTTCCCATTGTATGATAGATCAATCGACATATTTTATCTTTTGATGATTAGCTTTAGTTCTTCGTTCTCTTTTATATTTCTTGCAAATGCTATCAATTTTTTCATCTAAATGAAGCTCACTTGAGCATAAATCATCTTAGTTTGATTTGACTTACATGACACATGTTTCATGTTTGAGATAAATAATTTTGTAATATGACAACTCCGAGCACAATATGTAAAGTTCACTTACACTTTGTTCATTCCTTGAATGATAACCATTAATGAATATATCCATCGTCTTCTAAATGACCCTCTCAGAAAGAACAAAACTCCAAAGTTTTCCCCATAATCTCGTTCCCTTGGTTTTGGGCCCCTTTCGAAGGGTGACTAAATCCGTTTTGAACTCAAATGTTTTCACTCAGACGTCGGATTATAATGCTATCAAAGGAAAGCACAAGTAGGCAGTAGCTAGTTAGAGTAATGGATAACACTACAACTAGTCTTATTGGGTGGACATATTATCTTTTCTTTTTCCACTTTTGACTGTTAATTTAAAGAGTAATTCAGAGTAAAAAATAATTTCCACCTACTCATTTACTTTAACAATTCATTCACACCCGTCTCTTTTTTCAGCTTGTATAGAAGCAAACTACTCCCTCTGTCCCATAATATAAGCTGTTTTAGCTTATAATTTTTATTGCAGAATATAAGCAATTGTGACATTTCAATGCACTTTTACTTTATGGAAAACTGTGTGACCACTTATATTTTGCAGTTGTTTTTTATGATTGGTTGAATTATATTTAATCTATATTTTAAATGATACTTTTTAAAAGCAAAACAATTTTCTTAATTCTTGTGTTTAAGCTAAAACAGCTTATAATATGAGACAGAGGGAATATCACTTATTCACTTGAGAAACCTTAAGCTTAATGAATTTTCAAATTAAATACCATACCATGATTAGCTAACAAAAGAATGATGATGAACATAATAGTAATACTCAGCAAGTTAGCAGAGTCGTCTGAGAATAATTCCAAAGCCTTGACTCTTGGATTTCAATTGCGGAGTGTGATTTCTGAATACATATAAAATAAAATCGAGGTTTGAATAAAAAATAAACTAAATTTTACCTTCTCCAAAATCTCCTTGGATGATTGAAAATAAGTTAGATGAGAACAAGCTAACGTGAAAGTTAGAATTTGCAGTAACATTGCTACGCACTAATTAGAGCATGTGCAACGCATGTAGCCTAGAGAAACGCTTAGGGAAAACTGCAGTTAATTTAAATCAAAAATACCTTTTTAACCAAGCTTCGACATGTGCAATGCATGGATGCTTAATGGGGTGCTTATCTAATATCATAATGGCTGTAACTGGTTACTCTTTAAAGGCATAAGCTGAATAAAATGAATAATTATAAGTGGAATGAAAAAAATGAGATGATAAGAAAATGGAATAAAAAATTGAAATAGTGAATCCCATTCATCTCATTCATTCATCAACATTTTGGAAGTGGAACAAAAGGGATAAATAAAGAAGGATATGTGTCTTTTTTTCCCATTCAAAAATGGAATTCGTGGGATAGTTTTTACTTTTCATTCATAATAACTGGTAAATTTTTTATGGGATTTCATGGAATAATGTATTCAGAATAAATTTATCCCACAAAAAAGCATTCCAGTTGCACCCAATATAGAAGTTGTTTTAAGCACCTCTATTAAATTTTTCACGTTTTTCTGCTCCAATGGAAGAATGTTAATGGGGTGGTTATCTTGACTATCTCCAAATTTTTCCCACCTCTATATAGATTTTAGAAGATTAAAGTGTGAAAAGTTAGGTTTTTTTTATAGTTGAAATAGAGGATTTGTCAATGAAAATGTGTTTGAATTATGGAAATATCACAAGTCTTTGTTTCAATCCGTTGTAAATCTGTGTAAATAATTTGTTGTGTGGTTCTTATTTGTGAAACTATGCCTGTTTTCTGCAAGGATTTCAACATTTTGTCAAGGAAAGTGGACCAAAGCACATTCTACAATCTAGAAATCACCAAAAACTAGAGCAGATTCCAATAAGAGATAAGTTCATCTTCTAACAAAGGAATGGTTTTGTGGACAATCATTAGCTTCATCATCATCTTCAATGCAGATTGCAGCATAATGAGAAGAAGCAGCGAATTCCAGAAGCTTAAACTTCCATTCTCCAACTCTCTCCTCTGCTTGGCAAAGATTGTAGCTTTCTTCTGTTTGGATGATTGAAAAGGTATTGAAAGGTGAAGCAGAGAAGCCTTTGCCTAAAGCTTTCACATATGCTTCTTTGAGAGTCCATAGCTTTATAAACTCCTTACGCTGAGCCTCAGTGTCTGTTATAGTCGACAAAAAGCTGACTTCAAGTGACTTTTGATACGTCTTTGTCCACTAGACCAACAAGTGAGACCTGAATATGCCAAAAACATCCACACAACTAACTGAGCAAACATTTGAATAAGGGAAAAGCGAAGAGATTGTACGTTTGTTAGTTCAACTCAATTGATGACGATCCCAGATTTCTCACCACCGGACTGAGAAGATTCGGTGGTTTGCTTCACCGTCACTGGGACAATACCCTGAAGTCACGATTCTGCAATCCCCAAAAACCATACAAAGCGGATTTAGCATCCCAAATCGACAAAGCTAGGGAAAAGTTTCTAAACAGAGGAACGGAATAGCAATCGGAAACTTTCGACGAAATTGGATTTACCTTAGCAGTGGAGGACGAGGTTTCATAAGCCTGAGAAGGCTGAGAAGACATTAATCCGCCGCCGGAGAAAGCGGAATTCGGCTCGAATTGACTGTTGGGAAACATTTGAGAAGAAGCTCACAAATCGAAAATTCGGGGAGGGAGAGAGAGAGAGACGGAAGTTTGAGAAAGGGAATCGGAGAAGAAGATTGCGAGAATTCAGTGGAGATACACCAGCTCGTCTGGAAAGTAATCAAGTCCAAGAGAAATTCGAATCACCATCGAAGCCTTCGAATCGCCATGGGAGAGCGACGGAGTAGAGAGAGAGAAATAAGTACAGACTTTTAAATCACGTGGACCACTGGACCTGGCTAAATTCGAAAACGACGCCGCTTGAGTCCAAACAAAAGTTTAAGTGGTGTTAACGAAACGACGCCGCTTCGAAAACCAAAAACCCCCAAATCAATTGTTAAATCGTTGACTCCCCCAAGTCCCAACTCAATTTCATTCTTCTCAATTTCGCGGTTCCTCTCCCTCTCTCCGAGCCATCATCTCTACGGTATGATTTCTCTGTTTCGTCTATATTCTTCCAATTGCTTACTCTTGAGCTTTACGTCATGGTTATATCCTCTGAGATCGGGATTATTGTTTTGCTATCAACCCTAATTGGAATTTCGCGATATTTCAAAGCAGTAGAGAAACTTACAATCAAAGTTTCATTATTTCTTTGCTTTTATCTTTCTCTAGGGTTTTGCTATTGCTTTGCTTGAACTGATTTTTGCTTTGTTAGGGGTCTTGTAAAACCTGAACTCTCAGATTGAGAAGCAAACCAGCTTGAAGATTCGCTTTTTCAGCCATGGCATCTGTAAGTTACAGTTTTATTCCATCCAGGGAAAATTCAAAAATGCGATGTTCCTTCTTTGCCACGTTTCATGACTGTTTTTTTGGGTGATGGTGTCAGAATGAAGAATTCAACGGGAATTTGAAACAGAAACTCGAAGAGCTCTTCGATGCGTCTCTGAAGCTAACGGTTCCTGATGTTCCTGGTGTTGAGCCCAAGATCAAGACTGCTGTCGGAAAAAAAGGAGATTATCAATGGTTTGCTCCCTCTTTCACCTTTTAAGGTTCCTTTCTGTTAAATTAGATTCTTCCCTCATTCTTGTTGTATGCACAGTGACAATGTAATGAGCCTATGGCCTAGAATTAAAGGAAAGAGTACTCACATCGAGGATGGTCTAGCTCTTGGACAGGTTGGTTTGTGTTTTTGTCTTTAGTGGATTTTGTTTGCTGTCTTTAGAAGATTCTTAGTTTGTGTTCTTTTTGCTTTCACATAGGCCGTTGTTGAGAAACTCCCAAGTTCAGAGATGGTGGAGTCATGCTCTGTTGCTAAACCTGGATTTATCGATATTGCACTATCAACTAAGTGGATAGCCAAGGTTTGCTCATGTTTGTATGTTTCATTTTACAGCTCTTGTATCGTACATAACATGCTTTAACACAAACTGTCTTTTTTTTTAAAATCAAATGTATGTGCAGAGCATTGAAAACATGCTTATCAGTGGAATTGATATATGGGCTCCTACTCTCTCGGTTAAGAGAGCTGTAGTTGATTTTTCCTCACCGAACATTGCCAAAGTTATGCATGTGGGTCATCTTAGATCAACCATCATCGGTGACACTATAGCTCGCATGCTCGAGTACTCTAATGTTGAAGTCCTACGTAGAAACCATGTTGGTGACTGGGGAACACAGGTACTAGTGGTTGTTTTTTAACATTTGAAAACAGAGAGTTCTTTTTTTCTATTGTTTGTTGTATTCCAAAGAAACTAAACTCGGTTCTTATTTTGCAGTTTGGAATGTTGATTGAGTACCTTTTTGAGAAGTTCCCTGATTCAGATAGTGCCGGTGACATATCCATTGATGATCTACAGGTGAGCTGCTTTACAGTTCTTCTAATGAACTAATAATTGGCATAGTAATAATTTTATGTGAATAACCAAAAGCAATTCAGTTGTTTTAACTAGAGATTTTTATGTGATATAGTCCTATTACAGACTATCAAAAAAGAAATTTGTAGAGGATGAAGTCTTTAAGAAAAAAGGACAACTGGCTGTGGTCCGTATACAGGTAAATAACTAGTTACGAAGTGCATAAATAAATATGCAGATGCCTTTGGTTGCAAGAAATAAAAACTACTCACTTGATCTAACTTTGTTTTTATTTTGGTTAGAGTGGAGATCCTGTTTACTGCAAGACTTGGGCTAAGATTTGTGAAACCAGCCGAAACGAGTGTGCCAAGGTTTATCAACGTCTAAAAGTTGAGCTTGAAGAAAAGGTAAAAGAATAATAGCTCGACCTATTTACTATACTGTTTGAGGCAGAAGAATGGAAATAAAACATTTGGTATTCATGACAGGGAGAGAGCTTTTACAAACCTTATATCGCCAACATGATTGAGGAGTTGAAAGGTTTGGTTGAAGAAGATAAAGGAGCACGTGTCATTTTCACCAAAGGCTACAAGACCCCACTCATGCTTGTGAAGAGTGATGGTGGTTTTACCTATGCCACCACAGATTTGGCTGCTCTTTGGTGAGTTTTGTTTTTGTTTATATATATATGCGTTGGAAAATAGGAGCTCATATGTAACGACTGCTTTGTCTCTGTATCTGCTTAAGTTCATGTGTGGGGGCTTAATCTAAACTTTGCATTATTGTAGGTATCGGCTCAATGAAGAGAAAGCTGAGTGGATTATTTATGTGACAGATGATGGCCAGGCAAAGCACTTTGAAACTTTCTTCAAAGTAGGTTCTTAATATTTTGCTTTTTTGATTTCTTGTGGAATGTTATGTCTTGACTGAAGCTGTGGATCGTAACTGTGGTTATCCTTTTAACTATGATTCAGGTTGCCAGAATAGCAGGTTGGCTACCGGAAAATGATAAAACTTACCCTAGAGTTGACCATGTTAAGTTTGGTGTAGTCTGTGGGGAAGATGGCAAGAAGTTTAAAACCCGGGAGGCGAATACAGTCCCACTAACTGATTTGCTTGATGAGGCCAAGACTCGCAGTAAAGCTGCCCTTATCAAGCGTGGTATGTTTACGTTTTTGGATTGTTGAACCATTCACTTGTTCAGTTATTATGTGATCTTCTTATTCATCCCTTACATGTTGTCTCTCTCTCACTCTCCCTTTCTCTCTCTCTCTCTGTGTTTTTAGCTAAAGAAGCTAGAGACACTAAGGAATGGACACCCGAGGAGCTAGACAAAACAGCTGAGGCAGTTGGATATGGTGCCGCGAAGTAAGTAATCATCTACTGTATGCTGGTGATAGTAAATAGTGAAATCTTGTTTACTATCTTCTGTTTTTAGGTGACTGTTTTGTAATCGAAGGCTGCAAGAAAATTTGATGAAAATGTGTACTTTTTGTTTCAAGGTATGCTGACCTGAAGAACAACAGATTGACAGCATATACTTTCAGCTACGAGAAAATGCTTGAGGACAAGGTGCTGGAATTTTGACTGCTAGGTTTTACATGTTTGCATTATACAGTCACCTACGACATGCTTATTGAATATTATTCTTGATCATGTTTTCATGAGCAGGGAGACACAGCCGTTTACCTTCTCTATGCCCATGCTCGGATCAGTTCAATCATCAGAGAGTCTGGCAAAGACATTGATGAGCTCAAAAAGGTATTTAAGCCACACATGAACACAAATTTCTGAATCTTTTGTGTCTTGTGTAATTCGCTGTAACTCTTACGTTTGACCATCTGCTTCAATTGCAGACAGGAAAGCTAGCATTGGATCATGCTGACGAAAGAGCACTGGGGCTTCACTTACTTCAGTTTGCTGAGGTTAGAGAAACACATGCTCATTCATATTTGACATTCTTTTTTTTTGGTAATATAAGATGAACAATTTCACAACCTATGTGTGAATGTTATGCAGACGGTTAAGGAAGCGTGCACTGAATTGTTACCAAACGTGCTGTGCAAGTACCTGTACAAGTTATCTGAACACTTCAACAAATTCTACCTCAATTGTCGGGTGAGCATATATATCCCAATATTTTCTACGTTTTTACTGCATCATAGCTGCAAAATGAACCACCATTTGTTCTAATCATTCACTTGAAACATGAACTTTTGATAGGTCAATGGTTCAGCAGAGGAGACGAGCCGTCTCTTACTCTGTGAAGCAACGGCCATAGTCATGCGGAAATGCTTCCACCTTCTTGGAATCACTCCTGTTTACAAGATGTGATTAATACATCATCTTTTGCATCAAAGGAGTTTCCTTTGACAACTCTTTTTTCTTCCCGGATACAAGATCATCATATTGATAGAATACCGAGAACTTGGACATGATGATGATAAAGTTACTTATTCTCATGGTGGAAGTTGGGAGAAGTATTCAGATTTATGACAATATTTTTGTTACCCTTTGGCCAGATATTGAAAGTAAATTTAGTGGCCTCTTTCTTCACCTCGTCTGATCAGATCCTCCTCTTTTTGGGAACTAGCTTCAATTTGAGATTATATCATCATCTAACTTCCAAGTAGCAGATTGCTCCACTTCTGAAGGAATATTTTAATTAAGCTTTTCTTTCATTGTTTGACTCCTTTGACAAGAAGAAGATGAAAGCGTGAAATGTACTTCAGTTGACAAAAGAATTCAAGTAAACATCATCTGAAGGAAAATCCTTGTAATTATGTCATCTGCCTTCGACTGCAATCTATCTCAGCCTCTTTTCTTACGCTCCTTTTACCTCTACCTTGTCAATTTGTTGTTACGCTCTACGAAATAAGTAATTGTCAAGCTTTTTACTGATAAGACCAACAATGTTTAAGGCTTACTTCTGTCTTTAATATATAGCCGGTTATAATGAAAGAGAAACAAGTTGACGAATCCACTAGGTTAACTACAAATAATATTTGATATTTTCTTACTTTCTTCCCAAGGCTGAGCCTTGCTTTGGCTGTTTCCTCCCCGTTAGATTCTGCTCGTGTCATGTGATGACGAGTATACATCTCTATGGACGCGTTCCTCTTGTTCTGCCTTAGTCCTACCTATTTCATTTACAAGTAAACAATCTCATTATCATTATCAATGTTCATCCCTATTTTCATAAGCAGAAAAAAACCAACTCTTACTAGAAGAAGAGGAGTTCATGATTTGTAGTGCTTGGAGCATCTCTTCGCCTTCTTTGTGAGTGATAACGTTAAGAAGTCATGGTCTTCGATACTAAAACATTCTAAAGCATATTAGATAAATATAGTCAAATACAAAATATATGAATAACCGGCTATCAATAGTCTTAGTCAAAAGGGCAAGAGATATATGAATATGAATGAACAAAAGGAGATGACCAAGAAAGAAACACGTAAATTATTGCGAAAGAAAGTACTTTTTTTTTTAACTGAATCGAATGAAACGAACTAATAGTCTCTTTGTTTCCTTTTGCCCAGTTGGTTGATTTGTAGTTGCACTAAACTTTCACAATGTATGTTTCTTACATTATTTCTTGTCACAGTCCGTCTTTTCATGTTCTGGTAGAGAACCATACAATTGGTGAATTGATCTCATATGTTTTTTCTCAATGCATGATACAAGCGGGTAAGTAAAATTAATTGTTTCGAGCTTTACTTATCTGAAAAAAAAAAGGTATCAACAAATTAATTCTGAAATTTCAGGGGAATGGGCAAGGACGTTTCTTCATGCCACTATCAAACGGTATCCCGATGTACTACTGGCATCTCTCTCTGAATTTCTGCATGAGACCAAAGCTATTTGTGTTGAATCACATGATGGACTTTATGGGTTTTGAATACATTACTAGGGCTGATATCTTTACAACAATGGTATGAATATGGTTTTCATTATTGTGGCATATGAATATGCTCTTACATTGCTATAATATGTGGTTGCAGGTGGCAGCTCGGCTTCCAAGTAAAGCTTCTTCTTATGAACTGACCACAAATGAGCTGAAATTGGATGAATATATTGTTGAAGCTCTTGGAATGATGTGTGAGGAACTTTTCCACAAACCCAATGGTTATGGTGATGCAAGCTTAGTGATAGCTTTTGGGATACTAGAAACCTGGCCGTGAAAATGGATGCATCATCTGTTGTTAGCTGCCACAAGAAGATCTTCGATCAATGCTCAGTTTCCCTCAAGACTCTAGGTTCAAATCCAGCAACATTTCACATTGTGAGTAGCGTAAATAAAGCAAAGGATGCTCTTGAAAGGAGACTAAGAGAGTGATAGACAACCTCTTCCACAAACATGCTCTACAATAGAGAAACGCAATTCTTGATCATGAGGAGAATATTGGATAATTTTCTTTCTTTCATCTGTTATTTTCATTTTGGTGTTATTTCCTATGTTCTTAGACTTTTAATGAGGTGAAGCTTCTTCGTTTGATACTTTACTACTATCAAATCGACGAATTTTATGTGCTCAGATCAATGCCAAGCTGTTTCTAGAGCTCTGGTTAATGAATTGAGTTTGACATTTTATGATTCATCAACGTTGATTATCACTCTAGATGTGAAACGACGTCGTTTTACCTTTTTTTTTTTTTTTTTTTTTTTGCGTATAAACCTCACAAATCATCATCGTCTGTTGAAAAAAAAAATGGTCGTCGTCAGAGCTTGAGCATAGAGATATCGGGATTTGGAAATGGCGGCTATTTCAGCGGTTCTATCTTTGAGATTAGGAACACTTCGCCCTTCGCATCCTTCCCTTTTCCGTTTCGATTCGCTCCTGCACCAGACGTCTCTTCTCCGTTGCCAAAGTCGTCTCTGGAGAAATACGAGACCTCCGCTTTATAGGGCTCTTCAGGCTTGCCTTCGATCCAGTGGGTATTTGTTACTCTTCGCTCGATTCGTTCAATTGCATCAACGCCTGAGTTTTATTAAGCAGCTGTTCCTACTTTGATTTGACTAGTTTCCTCTTTCCTGGGTTTGCGCTAGATTTACGCTTTTGATTAGAATAGATGAAATTCATGCTTTATAGTATTGGCGGCAGTAGGAATTCAGAGATGTCTAGTGTCAATCTATTCGGGATTTGAATTGATTGTTTTCGACGCAAATTGGTTAGCACATGTACATTGTTTGATACATGTCTCTTGTGTATATTAGATATTGCAAATGATGATGCTTCGGTTTCACCACCACCGGAAGAACAGTCGGAGATCGTATTTATGGGAACCGGAACGAGTGAAGGGATTCCTCGTGTCAGCTGCCTCACTAATCCTCTGAAAACATGTTCGGTATTTTTTTCGTGTTTTTGGCTTTTCTTTTCTACTTTGACGATTTCATTGAGATCCCATTGACAAGAAATCCATTTTTTTGTATTCTTGTGTTGTAGGTGTGCACAAAAGCAACAGAGCCCGGAAACAAAAACATGAGACTTAACACAAGCATTCTTGTTCGCTACGTGAAACCATCCGGAACAAGTAACATCCTTTTCGATTGTGGCAAGTAAGTGCGAATGAGAGTCGAGTTATGTGAATGTGATTCCGTTTATATCTTCCTTTATAGTACCATCTGATAATTGGTTATGGCAAGTGATGACATTAGAAAGAGAGGTTGAATCCATGTTTTTTTCTTGTGCTGACGTTTTTACGCATTCGTCTTGGCAGGTTCTTCTACCATAGTGCCCTTCGATGGTTTCCTACCTTTGGGTTAGTTTTTTTCCTTCAACCATGAAAGCATTCAGTAGACATTCATTGTCATTAGAGTTCTTGGAACCCCCTATTAGATTCCTATACACAACTTGTTGTCATTTGTTATATACTATGAACAAATATGCTCAATTGTGTTTACATGGAAAGTTTTTTTTATCACTAGTTGCTTCTAAGAATTACGTTACATAGAAAGTTTTTCCGAGGTTCTATGGCCATTCCTCATAATACCTATTTGTGTGTGTTTTTTGTTTGGTTAGGCTAAGAACGCTTGATGCTGTTGTAATTACGCATTCTCATGCTGACGCAATTGGAGGTCTCTGAAACTTGACAAGTTAAATCTTGCACTTCCATCATTTTCTTGGTCCGTGTTTGTTTCTCTTGTGAAAGTCTAGTGTTGTCTCCTTAATTGAAATATTCTTCTCCATTGTTTTCTTTTTTTTTTTTTTTGCTTCTCCAGGTCTTGATGATCTCCGTGATTGGACAAACAATGTCCAACCTCACATTCCAATCTACACTGCTATGCGTGATCTTGAGGTTTACTTGTTTTACCAACACATTAAGACATTTGCCTTTATCTCTGACAATACTGTTTATTATAGCTAAAGGCTCTCCACTGTGACATGTGAATCTCAGGTGATGAAGAAGACTCATTATTACTTGGTTGACACGAGTGTGATCATACCCGGCGCTGCAGTCTCAGAGCTAGAGTTTAAAGTCATTCACGAGGACCAGCCATTTGTGGTAAACGATCTCAAGGTAAACTTCAGTTCCTGGCTTATAACCATCAAACGTGCTTCTTCATCTTGGTGATGCATTTGTAAATGAAATGGGTGTATAAACTGTTTCAGATCATCCCATTACCGGTGTGGCATGGAAGTAACTACCGCTCCCTTGGTTTCCGGTTTGGTAACGTCTGCTACATAAGGTTAACAAACACAAACTTCCCCTCTACTCTGTTTTTTTTGTGTGTGGCGAGTTTTGTTCATGAATATCAGAGTCTATAGTTATCGTATTGTAAAATTTGCAGCGATGTCAGTGACATACCTGAAGAAACATACCCGCTCCTTAAAGACTGTGATCTGCTAATTATGGTAGTCTTAACTCTTACAGACTCTCACACATCTTGTCTATTGTTCTTTCTTTACCAAAAGATGGCTTCTTATCCAAGAAACTTTTTTCTCTCTAGGATGCTCTCAGGCCTGATCGGTCTTCAGCAACACACTTTGGGCTCCCTAGGGTACGAAGCTTGCTCCTTATATCTTCTCTTGAAAACAATATAAAATGTCACATTTTTCTGTTTTCTAGTACTTAAGCAATATATTCCCCATCATCAAATTCACGTTGTTACTCCCAATTTTGTTTTTTTCTCCTTCCAGGCGTTAGAGGAAATTCGGAAAATCAAACCAAAAAGAACCCTTTTCACCGGTACAAATTTGCTATTGAATATCTATAAGCTGTGATTGTAGTGAATATATTAATAGTGTTCTCTTTATTTGGACCTGATTTTGATTTTTGTTTTCTCCGAAGGAATGATGCATTTGATGGACCACGAGAAGGTGAGCGAAGAGCTGGAGAAACTGATGGTCACAGAAGGCCTCGATGTCCAATTGAGCTACGATGGTCTCCGTGTACCAATCTCAATTTAACTCGGTTTATTCATTTTCCACCGGTATAACTTGTTCATACCCTTCATAAAAAGTTAAAAATATTCATTTGTACTGTATTCTTTTCACAAACGCCACCACCCAGTAGATTTTTTTATTTGTAACTCAGCGATTTGATTTGATGATATCAATAATTTTTGGTTTCCGCAAACCGGTTTGGTTAAATGGCTGCTATATGTATGGTTCGATTAGGGGGACCACCGGAACGATGTCGTTTATAGTGACTGGCAAGAGGAAGACCGGAAACGGAAAACACGGGAGCGGGTGTGAACTTAAGGGAGTCTGCTAAGTCGGCGACCAGATTGCATGGCTCTGTTCTTGTTACAACCAAATTAAGTCTTGACACGTGTCGTTGTCGGTCCAGTACGGTCCACTTGACCTGTCGTTTTCGCGCGTGTCTATTACCGAAGATGACATGAGAGGGTTCCCTGAGAAATTATTATTACCGTTCTGATGAACACAAAACAATAATTGAGTTTTGAAAATTCAAGATTGTAAACTACAGTATTAAATTTGAATTGAGGTTGTGCATGTTGCTACTTGCAAGTGTAAGTGGTAGAAAACGACGTCGGCGAAAATAAAACTATTAAGTATGTATTTGAGTAATGAGAGTTAGGTGCGATTAATTGTTAAAGTAATTATGGGGTTAATCATTAAGTATTGTATTTAGTTGATTGTTGAATAGAACTAGATGGGGTCCTTGTGTTAGCTCAATCATTTTCAAAACAAAGAGGGCCCTACTATTTTCCTGTTATATGCTCCGCTCGTGACTCTATACACTGTAACTCTCGAACCTTTCGATTTATTTTATTTAAAATGATTTTTCTTTCTTTTTATGTCCATCATCTCATGTTTTGGAAATTACTTGCTGAGAGCTTCATTTTGTAAGCAATTAACTAATCAATCAACTAGACCCTTGTTTTTAGCTGTCCTGCATCATAATCAGTCATTAGAATCATTCAAACTTTTGTTAACAGCAAATGCATGTTTTCTAATGTTCTAGAAAAAAAGTTATTTAGGTGGTGTCAGAATATGATATTTGTTACTAGCCATAAGCTAAGCCATGCATAGCTGACATGGAGACAGGGACGTATAATCTTTTTATAGACCCATAATTTCAGGACAGTTTAATAAAATAATGTATACATGCCAATTAATATTTAATTTTCCTGTCAGCCTTATTGTTTCGCTTCAAAGTTTACTGAAAATGGGCGATGAGTTAATGTTATGTTTCATTTTTCAACATAAATTTTACAAGTTCTCAGTAGGTGTGGTTGTGAAGATTATCATTTGATGTATATAGGATTTAATATTAAGCCATATGACCTCGAGATTGTGTGATTTGTTGGAACTTATTTTTGATAGTATATTTATATGTCAAAAATGAAGTTGGTTTGAATGAAAAATGGAGGTTTAAGTGGGTTGCTTGTATAGCATAAAATGTAATATTTGTGAAATGTCCCATATTGGAAGTTTGAGGTGAAATCCTTTTGTATATAAAGTGGAGAATTTAAGCAAAGTTTAAAAGCTTGTGTATCAATAGAGAAAGATGATTACTGGGACGGGACTTGTGTCTCGGGCCTCGGGATTGGCAATCGGGCCAAGATTCATAAGTTAATTCTTTTTGGCCAGAAATTCTTGTTGAATTTTGATGTTGATTAAGTCAACAAATATCTTCTCTAATTAATTTATTTCAAGTGACAATTAAGTGTATAGTCAATATTATTGATTTTGTAACTTAAAAAAATTAAGGTCATAGAGAAGAATTGACCATCTCCACTTTAATGCTACGTTGAGCATGGCTTCTTAATAAAGCCAAGTTTTCTCCATAACACACAACACACAAATATGTGATCAAACACAAGCAACAACAATTTCCCACTTCTCTTTTTTTTGTTTGGTTTTTCTTATGAGAGTACATCACAGAAAACATGGTTCACAAGCTTATTTATTGAGTGATGCAATCATAAGAAGCGTGCAGTTTTATCCTGGGATTCAGAACGCCATGCAACCGTCACACTACGGGGCGTTTACAGAATTAAGGAAAGAGATCATATCTCGACTCTGCAAATCCGGATTTATTTCCTTAATTCTTGTTTATTTTGTATCATTTTAATATTTTGTTATATTATTATGTGCATATTTATACTTTACATTAATCAGTCGTCCATTGTAGAAATTGCGTTCCTACAATCTTAATTCTGTAAATTTTCGTTTTTGCTTATTGCACTAACGAAAACTGATTTTTGTGAAGTGTTTTTGTTGTATAAACAGGAACTGGAAATTCTGGATTAAATTGGATTAATTTTTCAATTTTCTGCAAATTTATCTAATTATTTTTTGCAGGTTATCAGAATTTTATGGAATTAAATTTCTGGGTTTTCAGGAATTATTTTGATTATTTTTCAGATTACATGGAATTAATTTTCTGGTGTTTCAGAAATTAATTTGATTATTTTTTGCAGGTTTTTACTGAGAAATGATGTCATGGAGTATTGATTTAATTTTCTGAGTTTTTCAGAATTTATTTTAACCCTTTTGCAGAGCTTCAGAAATTTATGTTGATATTTTTTGCATAATTTTCAAGCTTGATAGGTTGAGAATATTCTTCATGTCGTAAATTGACATGGGCATCATTTGGTTATTGCTTCAATTTTTAATTGATTATGGTGTAATCTGGTTTAATACAGGAAATTCTGAAAGAATTTTTGTTTAATGTTGATCATAGTTGTGAACGTTGCAGGTTTTATTTGGTCAAGGGAAAAAAATCGTTGACCAAAATGCTTGCTTTGGTTTTAATCTCATTAAATTATTGTTTAATTAGCAAATGAAATTAATATATGTTTTGGTCAATGCATTGATATATTGAATCGTGAGATTCATTTTCTTTATTGTATATGTTTCTTGCATTAAAGTATTAATTTCTGAATTGACTAATTCAGTTATAAATTGTTGTTTATGCAATTAGTTTTGTATGAATTAAATTGTTGTTCTACCATTGAATTAAATTGTTAAATTCCTGAATTTATTTGGGGTTTTAATTTAATGATTTATTTGCAATTTTAAGAAGTGTTTAAATTGCTTAATAGATTTTTGATATATTATTCTAATATTTTTGGTATGATGATTCAGGTTTGGATATGTGCAAATTGAATCAAAAGAATTTTATCAAAAAAAAAGTAGAACATTTACAAAAAATGTTTCTAAAGTGGAAAATCAAATGAGTTGATACCCCATGTTGGGAATGGTCTACCATTTATGATTTTGTCCCATACCATTAGTGGTTGAAGGGTTATTGGTAACAAGTTTAGTGAGTTGACATACCAAATTTATTTTGGTAATGGTCTTCCACTTGTGATTGTACCAAGTTATGATATTTATCATATTGTCATATTAGTGCTTAGTGTTGTAAACACAAGACTAGTGTTAGACAAATTATGTGGAAAAGAGTTTAAAATTGGTTAAGATATTGATCTTTCTAGCCATTGTTTAAACTTAAAATGTGAAAATGCAAAGTGCATGATTTTTGAGTTATCTCAAGAAATGTGGGGGAAAAGTTGTTTACCACATAAAGTTATTGACAAAATGTCATATGAACTTTGAAAAGGTAAAGTACATTTGTACAAATACCTAAAAGTGTGGGGGTGCATAGCAAAAGTTGCAATGCCACTACCTAAAATTGTTAAACAATTGATCTCAAATGGAGTAATCTTAATAGATTATATCTACTTGAATGACAACCTAGGATCCAATTAAAGGTGTGTCATGAGATCAAATTGTAAAATCATCAAGAGGAATGGGTTTAAAGCCTATGACTTAAGAGGATGTTTGATGGTAACCCTACCTAACTGATTGGAGATCCCATGAAATAGGTTCAAGGGGAAAACTAAGTCAAACTGAATCAACTAGCACTGGGAGACTCATGTCTCTACCCAGTTCCTAGGATGATGAACAGTGCTACCTGTATGGTGTAGAGGATAAGCTTTTGCTTTTAATGATTTGGGTCCATAACTTTGAAATATACATGGAGTAATGCAGGATACTCCTTTAAACAAAGTTAATGGCGAATCACCTTGTGAGTGTGAAATGGGGCCGTTTCTAGGAGAATAAATGAAAGGCTATATTCTCCAAGTTCACTCATGATTATCCAGGCAAGTTCACGGCCAAAATGAACACAATAGAGAACCTGATTCTGTGAGAGAATGAAGCTGTGTTATAGCTATTGTCTCGGTTTACATCAAAGCCCGAGAGGTTCAAGACATCATGTTCACCTCTTGGTCGAGTAAATCCGATAGCTTTTAACAGTGATTTGGTTCAAGGCTGAAAAATGCTACCAACTCATATACAGTGGATTTTTCGCTTGTACTCTCAAAAGTCGTTTTTGAGTCTTTTGAGTCTTGTCTAGAGAGTCAAGTCTAGAGTTGAGTCGTCCAGTGTCTAGAGTCATTTCTATTCATGTGGGGGATTGTTGGAACTTATTTTTGATAGTATATTTATATGTCAAAAATGAAGTTGGTTTGAATGAGAAATGGAGGTCCAAGTGGGTTGCTTGTATAGCATAAAATGTAACATTTGTGAAATGTCCCATATTGGAAGTTTGAGGTGAAATCCTCTTGTATATAAAGTGGAGAATTTAAAGCAAAGTTTAAAAGCTTGTGTATTAATAGAGAGAGATATACCGGGACGAACTTGTTCTCGGGCCTCGGGATTGGCAATCGGGCCAAGTCCATAAGTTAATTCTTTTTGGCCAGAAATTCTTGTTGAATTTTGATGTTGATTAAGTCAACAAATATCTTTCTAATTAATTTTTTCAAGTGACAATTAAGTGTATAGTCAATATTATTGATTTTGTAACTTAAAGAAATTAATGTCATAGAGAAGAATTGACCATCTCCACTTTAATGTTACGTTGAGCATGGCTTTATAAAGCCATTTCTCCATCACAAAACACATGTGATCAAACACAAGCAACAACAATTTCCCACTTCTCTTCTTTTTGTTTTGTTTTTCTTATGAGAGTACATCACAGAAAACATGGTTCGCAAGCTTATGTATTGAGTGATGCAATCATAAGAAGTGTGCAGTTTTATCCTGGGATTCGGAACGCCATGCAACCGTCACACTACGGGGCGTTTACAGAATTAAGGAAAGAGATCATATCTCGACTCTGCAAATCCGGTTTTATTTCCTTAATTCTTGTTTATTTTGTATCATTTTAATATTTTATTATATTAATTTGTGCATATTTATACTTTACATTAATCAGTCGCCCATTGTAGAAATTGCGTTCCTACGTGATCTACGACGGACATTAGTCCTTACAATCAAATTATGTTATATTCAAAATTAAAATAAATGTTACTCCTACAGTCCTACGTACTACTTTTGATAGCACATTTGGATAATTAATGGGTTTCTTGTAAAGTTAATTTAAATGTGTGGGGTGAGCTGGTGTTTCATATTGGGAAGAGGATCGGACAAATCACATTACGAAAAGTTAAATAATTGTGGAATAAAACAAGAACAAGACAAAAAGACGAAACATTATATAACTTTCATGTTTAAAAGAATATCTTTTTCAGACGACCCAATTAATCTGTGATGAAACATGCCTTTATATTGGTGACTGAGATTACCTTTTAAATGTAAGAATTACCAAAGACTTTGGCTTAGGAAATTAATTTAGGTAACTGCTTTTGGCAGTTTATAGTTAAATGCAAACGCAATTAATTATATGACGGCGGCCAACGTGTAGTAAATTTCTAGCACTTTATAACAGCAACAAAAAAAGAAATCCTTTTACAACCAAAAAAAAAAAAAAAAAAAAATCAACAAGAGCACAACGTGTAGTTTATATTGCGAATTTAAAGGTAATATTCTGGATGCATGGGTGTCACCAAACTGAATGACTATATATGACTCGATCGAGTGGACATTTATGATTTTTTCTATTGTTTTTTTTTTTTGTTGCTTTCCACATTATGTAAGCCAAATTCAACTTCGTCTCCCGAAATATGCAAAACCTTAATTCTCTGTATTTGCGTCATACAAGACTGCATGTTTAGCAAATAGTATATGTATAATTAAAGTCGAAATAAACTGGATTATACCAAAACACACACATATATATATATATATATATATATATATATATATATATATATATACTTCAATTCAACAATTGAAAGTTGAAAATCTTTAAATTTACTTGAAAATGGATCACAAAGCTGGAAGTGCCAATGTATATTAAAGGCAATTTATTTGGATTTTCAGGTAAAGACGCACGGCGTGTGTTGACACATAAGTCAACTATTTATATGTTTACGGATAATCAGATGCTGTATTATTAAGTTTCTGGTCTTCACAATTAATCATTTTCTTATGTCGTCATTTCAAATTATTATTATTATTTGTATATATTGCACGACTTTTATTGGCTCGGCGGGCGCCCTTTCAAACGTTGAAAATTTTCCTTTTCTCTATCATTCATTTTCCGATTTATATTTCTTTTCAACTTTTGTATTATATCCACCGTGTAAATTAATAGAACGGCCATTATGTGTATAATTTTCCAGTGTTGTATCTTTAGGTAATAAAGTAAGTTAGGGCATGCGGCACTGACAGATTATTTATCCATTTAACTTCTCTATTTTCACCAATCCATTTGATGCTAACTCTCTCATTTTCCTTTTGACATGAAAAGCATCAAACCGAATGAAAAAAAAAGAAGAGAAAGGAAACTTTTTAGCCCAAAACCTCAAATATTAATCAATGACTCAATCATAGCTTAGTTCTGTAAATGACAGTGTACGTAAAGCTGTAAAAGTAATTAAACTCAACTCAAAACTTAATTACGTTTAAATAATCAGAGTATATATCATAATTCACTAAATTTGGTCGGCTATAATTATACTGGACCACAAATTAGTATTTTTGTCACAGACTTTATGTATGTGACATAAACTAGTATATATTCTGAATCTCTGATTACAGAAGAGTAAGAAAAATAGTGAAATTTATAATTCCAAAGCAAAGTAATGGACTAGATGAATTTAAATGTGTATACTGCTTCTCGAGAAACGTAAAAAACCAAAAACAAAAACTAGTAGTATAAAATTGCAAAGAACTCTTTCTGCAAGCTTTTCACAGAGATTGTGAGAAAGTTATATTTATCTTTTAGCCACCGTGGTTTTACGAAATTTAAAGAGGCTATATTTTTCGATGGTTAAAATTTAGTGGAAAATATTCAAAATTGAAAGAAAAAAAAAACACGGAAAACAAATTTGCAGGTAATGATAAAGAAAGGACAGATTGCTCTTCGCTTGTAATATGCGAAAATATATTAAAAAGAGAGCAGAAAATGCCATTTTTTCCTTAGCGGTAGGGTTCCCTTTTATTTTTGTTTTATTTTAATTTTTGAATTCTGGGTTTCAAATACACAGAGAGAGGAAGATAATAGAGTTTCTTTTGTCCACAATCTCTCTCTCTCTTTCTCTCTTTCTACTTCTAGGTATATTGGATTTTCTTCCTTCTACTGTTTTCTTTTAAACTCAACATCTTGTTCATGTTCTGTGTAGTAATTTGTTGCTACTTCTATTTTGTTTCATTGAGACTAACTCTTGTTGATTTCAAACATGAACCAGAAAAGTAGATAAAGATTGTCTCTTGGGTTGAAGCCAAGGAAGGAAGTTAATATATATATTTGTACACATACACACACATAAAAAATCAAAGAAGGAAGTTAGGATTATATATATAGATATAGAGGCTCATTTCTTGTATGTTTCTGTTTATCTTCTCTTTTGTCTCCTTTTTTTATCAGTATATATAGATCTGTAATTTTTTATACATATAGATCTGTAATTTTTTGTCCATTTCTTATTTGTTTTGCTTCTCTTTTTTTTTTCCTCAAGGTTTTGTGGTGATGAACAAAGACATGTTACTTCATCAGCAAGTACAACAACAAGAGGAGAATATGTCGAATCTAACATCAGCGTCTGGGGATCAAGCAAGTGTCTCTTCCGGAAACATAACTGAAGCAAGTGGTTCTAATTACTTCCCTCATCATCAACAACAGCAAGAACATGAACAACAACAGGTTTTTGTTCCAGAATCGCAGCCTCAAAAGAAGAGAAGAAACCAACCAGGGAATCCAGGTTTGTGTGTTTTTAAAAATTGCAATTTTTTTTCTTGTTTTTTTGGACTGATTCATATTAGTCCAATTATTTGATACAGTCATCGTTTTGGAAAATTATGGGTCTTCCCCAAAAAGAATATTCTTATTACCCTTTTTGTTCTCTTTTTCATCTCTATTCCAAACAAAGAAAACCAAACCAAAATCAGATTTAAAAGAAAAAGAACCATAACTTTATTAGTATTTTCTGTGAAATTCCTGATTTTTTCACACATGCGTGTTGTTCAAATTGTCTTGGGCGTGGTTATAAAGTTTTCATAAATTTTAATTGATATAAAGACAAAAACTCAGATGATAATTTTGTTATTATTTTTAAATGTAACTTTACTAGTGTTTCTTGAGTGTACTGACAATGGTTTCAATACTTTTTCACTTCAGACCCAGAATCAGAAGTGATAGCTTTATCACCAAAAACACTAATGGCAACAAACAGATTCGTGTGTGAGATCTGCAACAAAGGATTCCAAAGAGACCAGAATCTACAGCTTCACAGAAGGGGTCACAATCTGCCATGGAAGCTAAAACAAAGATCCAACAAAGAAGTGATAAGGAAGAAAGTGTATGTTTGTCCAGAAGCAAGCTGTGTCCACCATGACCCATCTCGAGCTCTCGGTGACTTAACCGGAATTAAGAAGCATTTCTGTAGAAAACATGGAGAGAAGAAGTGGAAATGTGATAAGTGTTCAAAGAAGTATGCTGTTCAATCAGATTGCAAGGCTCATTCTAAGACTTGTGGCACCAAAGAATACAGATGTGACTGTGGCACTCTCTTTTCTAGGTAAATAAACCTTTTAATCATCCTTCTATTTGTTACTTAAATGATTTTAGAATATATTAGTTACTATTAATACTGGTTAATGAATCATTGAAAATGAGATATATGCTATGGTTTGTTGTAAGAATTGGAGGGACACATGGTACAAAGTATTATCTGTTGTGCTATGAGTAATTTCATTTAATTTGAAAGAGGACAAGAATGGTAGCTCAAAAGAATCTTCATTTATATTATGGAACTAGTTCAGGGTACTTTTCTTCCTTACTTTTCTTTTATCTAAAATAAATAAAATATTATTGAGTATTCTTTTCCCTTTTACTTTTCTTGCATAAATCATTCATCTTATAGTACATGCATATGTGATTGCTACATGTTTTAGATGGACCACATGAACTTCATACTTGTCTCAAAGCTGAAAAAGGTCTTTTTCTTTCTTACTAATTAATAACATTGTTATTGATGCTTTTTTGTGGTAAATTAACAGGAGGGATAGTTTCATAACTCATAGAGCATTTTGTGAAGCATTGGCAGAAGAGACTGCAAGAGAAGTAGTAATACCGCAAAACCAAAATCTTCAACCAAACCCGCTTTTGATTCACCAATCCTCTACTCATCATAATCTTACACAGCCAAACATAAATCTCACTTCCTCTTCTTCCCCTTCCCACAACATTATTAATACCCTTCACTTCGAAACCAACAACAATGGTAGTAAAAATAGTAACAGCAGCAGCAACCATCTCCATACATTTCCCATGAAGAAAGAGCAGCAACAAAGCAATGAGCACATCATCAATTACCACAACCATAGCATCCCTCCTTGGCTTGCACCTCAGCCGCAAGATCTCACATCTTCAAACCCTAACCCTAGTAATAATAGTGGAGGAGGAGGTTTGTTCTCTCTTGCAGCTTCTCCGGCTATGTCAGCCACCGCATTACTCCAGAAAGCAGCCCAAATGGGTTCCACAAAGACACCTTCTTTGCCACCAGCCACCGAGTTCGAGAGGTCAGCTCATCATAACAACCTCACGACCACAATGGCGGCCATGATGACGTCACCATCTGGATTCATCAGCTCCAACAACAACAACAATCAACTTTTGTTTCAAGACTACAACGCCTCCGGGTTTGATCACCACGGCGGAGAAGAAGCCTTCGACGACACGTTCGGCGGGTTCTTGAGGACAAACGCTGATACTACAACCGCAGGATCAGACAAGAATAAAAGCGGAGGAAGAGGAGAGGGTTTGACGAGAGATTTCTTGGGGCTAAGACCGTTAATGTCTCATAACGAGATGCTAAGTTTTGCTGGTCTCGGGAATTGCATCAATGGCTCTGCTTCCGATCAGCTTCATCCAAAGCCTTGGCAGGGTTAGTTAGTTTTTTGCTCATACAGTATAATGAATCTATCAAAATTTTAATATTACTATGTGTATATACATATGTAGTTTTGCATCGCTATAATCTTTTTTTCTCTCTTATTTTGTTCTTCGTTTTATTATTTTTATATGCTTAGTGCTCACCAAAGGAGAATCAAAATGTTGCAAGTTTATACAGAAATAGTTGGCTAATTCGTTACGTGTCGTCTATATTGCAAGTGTATACATACATATACACATTTAATTTGTTGTGTTTATAAAAGACAAAAAAATAAGCTCATGATTAATGGTCAACTCAAATTTAATTTTCTTCGTAAGATTGGCACGTACGTAGGTAGGTTAGGACTTAGGAGGTATTTTATCTGATTGCGACGAACAGAGAAATACGTAAATAACTAAATACACTTGTAGTTTCGTTTTTCTACATACATACATAATATACGTAAAGTTTGCTAGCTTCAATATGTACATTAAATATCACACATGCTGGTGTACGAATTTTACTATTTCACAGAAAGTGAATGGATAAGAGCATAAGCTCAAAGAAAGTGAATGGAATATCAAAATGTTTTAACTAACGACAACAACAAATGTTTAAATTTCCTTTATACTGGTCATTTAATTTGTAGGGTTTTTAGTTTTGTAGTACTAATTTATCTCCTGATTAATTACATGAATTATAATTCTTCTCATATATCCTTTAATAAATATATATCCAATTATGTCAAGTGACTTAATTTCATAAATTCACTGTTTTTTGGTTGATGAAATTTATCTTCCAAGTTACACACACCTTTTGTCAGTTTTAAAAAGGCAAAACAAAAATTTTGGACTCAAAAGTCCTGTATTTGTTGTATTTTATTTATGATCATTTACCAAATGATTAGGTAACTGAAACCTAAAAGGAGAGTGAAGAGAGAGTGAAATATCAGAAACTAATAATGAAATGTGGCACATGAAAAGCATTAAGTAAAGAGGAGGATATGCATTGGATTCGGTCTTAGGTAGGGTGACTCATCTTCTGCTTATAAACCTATTTAGAAGATTAGAAAATGCAAATATATAAAGAGTACATAAATGTATCGATCTCTACATATAGGTAATATACCTAAAATACTACTATTTTCTTATTAAATCCCGTCTCATTCTCATGCAGCGACACCAGTGGGATCCAACAAACGATAGGGACGCATCACGTTTTGCTAGGTGGCATGTATAGAACTTAATAATGTATGTGTATAACTATATATATCACACATGGCCACAACTTGATAATATGCTATTAAAACGTTCTTTAACTTGATTACACATCAAAATGTTCTTTAACTTGATGGTTAGTTTCGTTTGCAGTTCTTTATCAGTTAAAGACTATTGACAAATTCAAATTTAAACTTATTATCCCCGACATTATTTAAATTCATTTCATCAAAAATAAAATTAATTGTTATTGCTCGTTAATGTATAAAATTGATCTGGCTACAAGTTAAATTTATTAATTGTATGGTTTTTTTCTTTCATTTTGTGTGGTCTTCGCTAAAGAATGATATTTTCAGGTTTTCACATGCTATAAAGTGTAGAAAATGACTGAAAAAAAAAAGGAAGATGTCTTCTTGATTTTCGACGAGGCGGATGTGACATGTTGTTTTTCAACAAATTCTTATATCCCTTATAGGGATATTGCACTAAGTATCAATAATTAAGTGGATAACCATATCAACTTCATGGTTAGAATACAATCAATATTTTCTACAATATTACCAAAATTAGCCTTTAAATAAATCAAGGAAAAAATATGTTGTGGTCTAAATTATTTTCTTTTTAATTTTGGGGTAAGGATTGAGGGTATAAATTTTAGGATTATGATTTTTTTTTCTAAATTAAGGTTTAGTTTTTTGGGTTTATAGTTTAAATTTTAGGATTAGGTTTATATATTTGGGTTTAGTTTTTTAGGTTTAGGGTTTATATCTTGGGATTAGGGTTTAGTTTTTTGAGTTTAGGGTTTAGATTTTTGGATTTAGGTTTTAAATTTTGGATTTTGTGTTTTGGGTTTATATTTTAGGTTTAAGTCTTGGGTTTAGATGTTTAGTTTTAGGGTTTAAATTTTTAGTTTAAGGTGTTTTCTCCTTTTCTTTTGTATTTTGTTTAGTAAATAGTATAGGATAACATTTTGAATGATATAGTATAGTATCCAACATTTGTTCATTAGCATTAATTAAGCATTAAGTTACAAAATTTTAGATCGTTTAAGAAAAACAAAACATGTTACATGCAGAAAAAAATTATGGTTTTGTTCTATAAGACTGAATTTAATCTGGTTTTATTTATATGACTTTCAATTTTAATCAATAGCTAATATGAGATTAGTGCAAGACAAAATATAAAATGAAATAAATTAAAGAGAGAATGATGTGTTATGGCATTATGGTGATTTTGCAAAGGGTAAAGTGTCAAATGAAGGTGGGCCATAGTTAGTCTCTAAATTATGAAATTGATATGGTTATATTCTTAATTTGTGTTCTCAATATGATTATTGAGCAAATTAACCCTATCTTATAACTCAGTAATGTATATCCAATTTGTAATATATCATGGGGGGAAAGTTATAACTTGATTTTAAGTGGAAAAATTTACAACAATGACGATATCATATAAAATATTCAGTGGATAGAAAAAGAAGGGTTACAATTCTAAAGAGAGAAAATCTTCTTCTAACGAAATTGCAGGAATTCAACAAGATTTTACGGATATATATATTTAGTGTTTATAGATGATCACAAATGGTTGGTTACTGAGAGGTGTATTCATATAACCCCGTGTGCAAATAGGAAATTGTGACACCAAGAAATTTACCGATGTAAAAGGTGTCAAATACAAGAGGACCCATGAATTTGTCAATGTCATGATGAGTTTGGCATTTGTAAAGTTTGCTTTTTGTCTGATTTTAATGAAGTGATCCCACTTATTTGTTTTTGTTTGCTAGTCCAAGACAATAACTCTTACAAAACCTTATGTTATACAATAATGCTTGTAAAGACTAAAAGTTCTAAGACTTTGCAACCAATCAATGAATGTCATACATACAAAAAAATTACAACAACGCATTATACAAAATTTTACATTTTTTTTTTTGCAAAGTGATGTAAGATGGTGACACTGACAGCCGTGGTCTATGGAGGATAACGAAATGAGCAACTATACTGAAATTTATATTGGTTAACTCCTTGTTCGGATCATGCATATTTAATGATATAGTTTGGTCGAGAGAAAAAAAAAGAAAAGATTTCACACTAGTTACTTACATTACATGCAAGACCTTTTGGAACCAAATATTTCCCTTTGATCAACATGGCATGCATGGGTTTGTCCAGAATATTAACCAGTTAAAGTTACATTTTTGTAACCTCTAAATATAAATCAATTTTATGGGTTTGTCCTCCTAATGGGTTTTGACGGGTTAACCTTGCTCTCAATTGAATCATATATATGAACTAGGTATTTTACCCGTGTATGCGTGGGTTCCATTTTCCACTAAAACTATTTATATCTATAATTACTTAAATCATCTGTAAATTTTCCACTAAAAAATAGCAATTACTAATAATATATGTAAATTTAGATAATATATGTAAATATACGATTAATGAATAGAAAATTATTATACAATTATTGTAAATTGTAAATTCAGAGAAATTATCATTATTAAAAACTAATTAATATATTACATGTAAAATAGGAAATTTACATAAATTAATTATTTAATGAGAGCAAAATAAAGATAATGACATGGACCAATCAAATTCAAAATTAAAGATAATGACATGGACCAATTAAATTCAAAATTAAAGATAATGATATGGACCAATCAAATTCAACATTTTAAATCCTATGTGGACAACCTCTAATGCATGTAGGCTCAATTTTTATTAGTAATAGATAGGGGCCGCCCCTCTATATTTGTGACACATGGAAATATAAAATCGTGACACGTGGCTACTATATGAACAGCTTCATTTAAAAAAAAAAAAAGGTTCCCACAAAACGCGTCTTATCGCTTTGACGAACTCAAGCCATTACAGGCTCCAAATACGGTCGGTTTAGTTCCATCTTTAATGTTCCTACCTCTTTAATTACCCTCTTCAACTATAAATTTCCAGCTTCCCCGTTCATTTCTCGGATTACCACAAAAAAATCTTTTCTTCCCTGCCCAGATCAGTAACCTCCACTCCCGGAGCCTCCCGATAAACATGTCTTACCTTCTTCTTTCGACTCCTCGCCTTCATCTCAGTTTTTCCATTATTTTAGCCCTCCTACAGTTTTCTTCTCTTAATCGAATTTCTTGTTTTCACCATCTCCGATTGCATTTTTTCTAAATAGTTTCTTTCACTTTTTGGTTGAATACTTTCTTTCAGACCTACATCTAGGAACACAACGACGGGAGTGTGGTGGCCAGAATCGACCACACTCTCATTGCTCGCCTGCTGCGCTTATGGGGTCATTGGATTCACCGGGAAACGGGAAAGGCGCGGCGTTGTCATGCTTCTGCTCGACCAAAAGGTATGTGCAGCCAAACTCTTTCATCTCGGATTCGTTGATGCAGCTGTTGCCGATTGTATCTTGCTGTTTATTTTCAAGAAATTTTATCTTCTTCTTGTGGTCTGACGATCTAATCTAATCGTGGTTGGTTTTCCACATATCCTTATTTCTCTTCCTCTGTTCCTGGATCTATTGCGTCTTTCATGCTTGATTTTAAAGTTTTGTTGTTTTTGGCTTATGGTGCCCCCAAGGCAACGTCTAACAAGGCTCCTCATAGCCAAGTTGGGGTTGTGAAAATCTTAGAGGAGTTGTACCTCTTGTTCGCCGGAATTGGATTTCCAGACGGTGTGTATGCATCACACATCACCTGCATATAAATATCACATCAGTCATTAATTTTGTAAATATGATTTACATCAAAATTGAATTTGTCACACTAATCTACTATAACGCTCATGCTTCTCTCCTACAGATAATGGAATCAAGCTAAACCCATTAGTCAGAGGAACTGGAACAGAGACGTTTTCCGTCCGATTTAACGTCTCAGCATCATTGGTATACTATTATCAATTTATCATTCTTTAGTTGCCCATGATGATCCACAGGAAGGGATCCCTGTCGTGAATATTTTTATGTTGAAGGTTTAATTGAATATATATGCTAGCTAGGTAAATCTTATTATATAAAGCTGGATGCGCACGACGTGGTTGCGACACGTAGGATTTTTATAAAATATAGGATTGCGACATGTGTCACTTTTAATGTTATATCCGTTAAGATCGTGACACATGTCTTCGGAAAAAGAAATTTTATTTTAAAGGGTAAATTTTAATATCTTATAATAAAAACGAAATTTTATATAATAAAATGAAAATAATGTAATAAAAAATTCCTATTAGTGCATGGAATAGGTATGTAAACTAAATATCCTAAAATTGTATGGAATAGGTTATATAAACTCCTATTTAAAAAAATCTATTAGTACATGTAATAGGTATGTAAACTAAATATCCTAAAACTGTATGAAATTGGTTACATGAACCCCTATAAAAAGGAAGAAATAATTAAAAAATGTTACATCCAATAAGAAAAGGAATAAAAAAACACATTCCCATTACGAAAATGAAAAAAAAAAACAATATATAACAAGCTATATTTTTTAAGTTTCTTTCTCATTAAGAAATAAAATTCATGTCTTTAAAAGTTAAAGATATCAATGAAGAATACTTAACTTTAGATCGATACATGTGTCTAATATTTGATGAAGTGATGACATGTGTCAACACAAGAAAATTGGAAAAATGTAGTAACATAAATAAATAAACTAACAAAATAATATTAAAACAACTAACTAATAATGAAAATGAAAATTTATAATGGTCAGAGGCAAAAACAAAATCGAAAAAGAAACAATATAAATAGAAAACTAACAAAATAACTATTAAGGAACTAAATAAGATTAAAAAAGAAAATTTTATAATGGACTGATCTTCTAATATTATATAGTTTAATTTTCCATGTTTTGATAGCTAAAACAATATTAAAAATAAAGATTTCATCATGGAATAATCAAAGTTTCATAAAATAATGAGTCGATTAGATTTAGACACATGTAAATCTTTTATTTCATATCATGAATTCAAAATAAAAATGTAAAAGACTACATATCTTTATTTAGAGATTTGTTATCGGGTTTTTAATATTATTTTCTTATTTTTAAAATTGATCAAATTTTGTTTAATATTCTTCCGTGATTTAAAAAATAAAAATAAATAAATCCGTATACGCATGATCGAATATAGTATTACATAATTAGAAATTTCCATTTATGCTGACCGTGACTGTGAAGTGTGAACGTTACGTAGTTGATCGATATGATCGATATGACAGGTCAGATTTAAGTTGATTGTGTTTAAGCTTTTCAAATTTACTTGCTCTTGTGTGTGTGGTTCTGTATTTTTGTAAGCGTTTTTAGATGTTACCATTTTTTTAATATTAGTTTGAAGAACTGTTAAAACTCTGTATTTTGATTTATTTATTATTTTTCCTTTGTGGGTTTATTTTCGTGCTTTTCATGACTTTGAGTTTAGAGTTTTACTTTAAAGTTAAATATTGCATACATATAATTAGCCATTTATCTAGCTAAGTAAGATTAAAGGTTATTCACATTAGTTTTTATTATTTTAATTCGTCTGGTATCAAATCAGTTGTATGCATGATTGCAGTACTATTTTACAAACTATATCTCAATATTCGAATCCGGATGCCAAAACTTCAAAATATTGCAAATATTTAAAGTATATGGAATTTCACACATTGTAGAAGAACATGGTGGAAAGCCCAAAAACACGAATAACCAAATTTATGACCATAAAAACCCGTGCGTAGCTTATTATATATCAAGTGATTCTTCCATGTTTATTTCCAATGGCAATTTTCCCTCATCAGAATCACGATCTAATGCAATATCATAAACCTTTTATGTTATGCTATATTAAATTTAACCACATCAAATAGTCTTGTTTATTGTTCAATAAGAAACAAAATAGCACATCAAAGTAACAAAATCATTATGAAAATTATTTAAAATATAATGCATCTCTCTCTTTAGAAAGATCTACAAGGGAAATAGAGATAAATCACAAAGAGAATTATAGAAAAATAACCCTGAATAATTAAATAAAAAATGTTTAGTTTAATAAACACTAAAAAGTTAACATCATTATAAGGATCCGGTCACGACCATTACATTCTTCCAATATTACTAGGCTAGTATCCGCGCATACGCGCAGGGCTTTTCTACTATTGGTTAGTGTTTTAACGTTTTTTTATTTAATTTGATTGAAAATATTTTATTTATTTATGTTTCGATTTAATATTGTGAACTTGGAATGTGATAACCACCATATTTAAATTTCATATGAAGCTATGTGGGTTCAAATGACACCCTATTTTTTTAGCGTAAATTTGTTAGGTTTTTAGAAAGAAATTGTATGAAAAAATACCATTGAACCTGTAAAAATACATGTTGAATCTCCCCATTAATTGTAAATAATTATCAATTGTTTCCTACTTTTTTATATGCGCTTCACAACTTTTAATTACGCATGAGCCCCATAGTATGGCTAATCTTTATTGTTTGTCTAAATAATTTATTTGGTTTACAATTTCTTTATATTTAGGTGTTTTCTGTAATTCCATATTTGTATTACAAAAATATATATATTCTTATATAGAAGCTAAAATTATACCAGTCCAGTAACAACTATTTACACAATGGCAATGCAATGTTGTTTAGGAAAAAGTAAATACAATGAATACTATATATGCATATAGATATAATCGTATAAATGTAATTAACAAATTTTTTATAAAGATAATTAACAAAATTACAAAATATTATACTGAAATTTTTCTAAAATTGATTTCATGAAATGTTTCGACATTGCTAAACTCACACTAAATATTTCGATTCTTCTACTGTGTCTTCGCGTTAAAAACCTGTTTTAGTCTCCCAACTAAACTGTTTAGTCGCTTTTGGAGAACATCATAACCAGGTTCTCAAGGTAGTCAACGACATTTTACGTTCGATTTATATTTTCTACGACAAGGACGATGGATTTACTCGTCCTGCTAGAGTCAAGGACCATGGGTCTAAATGGTAACTGCAGAATGTTGCTGAATGTTGCGGAATGCGGAATCTGGCAGAATAAAATGATGATTTTTTGCAGAATCTGGCTGAATAATTAGTGATATGAATGGTAACAGCTGAATGTTGCTGAATGCAGAATAAGTAAATAAAAAAAATTATATAAGAAAATAACAAAATATTTACTCTGCAATTGATGAAATAAAATATATAGTTATGAAATAATTATATACAATATTTAATCAAACAAATTATAAACATATGTCAAATATTTAAATTTGGAATCATATTATTACACATAAAAAAATACATTTAAAATATAATATTTGATTTTAACAACTCATTAATGAAAATTATCCCATATTTGCTGCTTAATTCCATCTCGTATTGCTTGCATATAAGCACCATCTGTTGTTTCTTCTTGTTCTTGCAAATAGTTTACTTCTTCGTTCTCTCCACCTTCTCCATTGTTATTAAATTGTTCTCTTGGAATTGCGTCAACATGTAAAGCATCATCAAAATCAAAATCTGGAATTTGAGAAAGACGAATGAAGTTATGCAAACCAGCTGTCGCTATGATTATATCGTTTTGTGTATCCAGATCATATCTCGGAAACTCTGATAAAATTCTCCACTTTTTCTTCCAAACTCCAAATGTTCGTTCGATCACTGAGCGGAGAGAAGAATGCCATCTATTAAATAACTCTTCTTCATCTCTAGGTGGAGAGCCTACTTGAAAATGTGGCAAATGATACCTATGACCTCTAAATGGAGCTAAATATCCTCTTGTGTTAGCATAACCAGAATCAACAAGATAGTACTTGGACGGCGGAGGAGTCGGAAATGTTGAATCACGCTCCATTGCATACGACAAAACTCTAGCATCATGTACTGATCCAGGACAGCCTACAAATATGTAAGTGAATAACATATCATAATTGCATATCGCCAAAACATTAATGCTTGTTTGGGAATGCCTGTTGTAAAATCGAGCTGCTTCACCACCCGTCACCATGACTGTACAATGAGTGCCGTCCATTGCACCAATAAAACCATTAAAATAAGGCCAGTATTGACGATTGTCTCGTAAACCTCGGGGTACTTGTCGTAGTTGCTCTGGAGACTGCTTTCTTAATAATTTTCCACTTAGTTTCTTACATGCTTTTAGACACTGTTGAAACTTGCGTCCAACCGTTTCTTGTGCTCGTCCAAATAAGAGCCCAACCGAATGTTGTGTCATGTTATGACCACATATCACGAGAAACATTGCCACGGTTTCTTCCACCGATATGTTTTTTGTGCTTTTCACTCCAAAATCTGCACGCAATGTCTCACATAGACGTGTAAAAACTTCAATGCATCCTCAAAAGATGCAAGCAATCTCTTGGATAATTATAAATTCTTGTTTCAATGTTGCTCCATCCTAAACCCCATTCAGTACCCATTGGCTGTCGATCAAAATACATTTTATAATAATCTATCACAGGCCTGAAGAGTAGTTCCATGATATCCACATGTTCCAGAAAAATAGTTCAAGTAGCTCATCATTTGTGAGGTTATGTAATCCACGTGAATACAACTCGAGAATACGAGAAACCTGGAGATAAAAAACAAACTCATTAATAAACACATTAAACAACAACAAAAATAATAGTACTTCCAGAAAACAATATATGGAACATATATTACACGTTAAAACTAAAACATTAATAGATTTAATTGTCTCCATTATTATCATTGTTTCTAACGTTACGATTGAAATCAGACAAATTGAAACGTCCGAGTAACTCAGATGAAGACGCAGGTCTATATTCAAACCCTTCATCAGAGACAACTCGGGGATTTAAATTCTCATCAAATTGTTGTTGAGAATTTGGAACTTGAAATCCTTGTCTTCTTCTGAATTGATTCGGAGAACCGGAACCACCAAAATTCGAAAACCCTCCCAAGTTTGAAGGACCTTCACTGCCAAAATTTGAAGTTCCCCCAATGTTTGAAAACCCAGCATTACTAAACTGTGAAAACCCTCCTACGCCAGGCGAACCAGATCCACTACCAAATGATCCTCTACTACTTGGTCCGCTAGAACCACTGAGTTGACGTTTCCACGGACTACCCCGAAATGTTCCACTACGATCATACCCTGTCACACCTTCAAGAAAACGAATCCTCTCTTCGTTATCTTTCAAAAGCACAAACCTCTTTTGCTCGAACGGGTCTCTTAAAATCTCCGATGATGCCCACCAAAAATCTGTAAATTTTTCTATGTTGTAATTATTTAGTTGCAACCAAGATTCACGCTCATAATCTTCATTCGCTTGGCTACGTGCATTGAGCATCTGGATTGGCGTTTGCATAGTTGCAAGATACGACTCAATATTTGTTAGGTGTGTGTCCATAACAGCTCTTCTTCGCGGGGTTTGTGTTGTCTGGCGGCTAGATTGGTTTCGTCCCCTACTATTAGTTCTACCACCTCTGTTACCATGTTGCCTAGATCGTCGGTTATGTGTAGGTATCTCAATCGGCACTGATGGCTGATTTCCCATCGATTGATGTGGTCCTGATTCTGGTATACCATAAATATCGTCTTCTTCATTGTTATCACCTTCTTCTGCAAACTCTTGTTCTTCTTCGTCATCGTCACTTTCACCAATTTCATCTATTTGACTTGCTGAAACCATATTGTCATTCACAGCACAATGAGGACCGTACACCTTATGCATCAACTCTATGCATGGTAGAGGATTTTTTCTTAATCTTGATGCTCCTTCGGTATCCTACAAAATATACATGGTAAAAGTTGTTAAAAAAAATTAAAACTATTTTTCTTTAAAATACAAATATGAAGTCAATTCTTGAAAGAAATAATCATACCTTTACTCGATCTTTCCACCAACTTGTATCCATAATTATTCTTCCGGTTTCGCGATCAATATTTGTACCAGTACGACGAACAAGTCTTTGATATACGGCATACAATGTTCTAAAATCATCATGTTTACTCTTACATTTATCCCAATCAATTCTATGCCCTGTTTGCTCGCAGAACTTTCTTACTATATTGTTTTTACCCTCTTTATATGGTAAAGTTGAGATATAATTTATTTTTTGCAATTCTTCATCTAATAATTCAATGAATAAGGAGTTTAATTCGGGGACCATCTAGAAAAAGTCTACAATTATAAAATTAAAAACATAATTAATTAATTGTTTATAAATAATACATTAAAAACTCAAAATCATTCAAATAATATTACCGCATTGTTTTGGTTTGATGGTCCAGCACCTGTGTTTCCCGCACCGCTCATTTTTGTTCTGATAAATAAACAAATCCACATGAAAAGAAACAATTCAGCAATTTGTACTTTAGTATTTTTTTAAAATACAGAAAATTAGAAAATAGTCCATTTAAAAAAAACTGTATAAATTTACATCCCCATATTTCGATATTTTATTTCTTCATGGTAATAAGAAATATCTATTAATACATATTAATAATCTTTTTTTTTTAAGATTTAACACAATTTTTGTTTTTTAAAAAACCACATACGTTCTAATAGAAAAAAGAAAAATCTTAATAATAATTTGAGCATATAAACATATATAATATATATACCAATACATTTCTAATATAAAATTATATTTTTTATCAGGTTTCATAAGTTTTTAAAATTTGCACCATTTTATATGAAAATAAAATCACTTACTTCTTTTAAAATTTAATTAGAATGATAGTTAGTTTTAAAAATATTTAAAATTTTGTTACTTATCTATACACTGTTTTCTGTAAATAAAAAAGCATCAACATTAAAAGTAATTAAAAGTTTATTTTTACTTTAATATAAAATCTGGGATTAGTTTTTTTAATAAATATAGTTGAAAATGTTTGTTATAATTATATATAAACATGAACTTTGAAAAAGAAAAGAACTTACTAGTTTGAAGTCTCTGGTGAAGAAATAGAGTGAATAAGTGAGAGTGAACAAGTGAAAAAATAGAGTGAACGAAGTGAAGAAATAGTTTAAACTTGTACTACGAAGTAATAGAGTGAACAACTGATATGGCTTCAAGAACATAGAGTTCTTCTTTTATAAACGCAACTAAAATACATCCGTGAACCTTTTTTGTTTTTTTGTTTTTTGTTTTTTCCAATTATAGATCTTGATTCTCTCAATTTCTTATTTATAGAAATTAATAAAACAAGAAGAAACTGTAGTATTGTGTCTTTTTGTGCATTTATTGATATTATTGTGTTCTGTTTCTTTTTCTGTAAATGAATTGGGTCCCACCTGTCTTCATTTCTTTTTTTTTTGGACAACGAATTTTAAACTATTCTGTACTTATTCTACATATGTAACTGGTAACATCTTTTAGAAATTAATCTGAATTCATCCAGATTCTTCAATTAATCTGTTACCATTTACACCCCATATCACGTCTATTTTCGTTGATATGATTTGATTGAGGGATTTGGTTTTATCTTATTTATTACTCTGTGTTGAATCCGAGATAGCACTCGTCAAGACGGGCTATCAAAGATGTGAGTTTAGGAAACTGGAATGCTTAATTCGACTCTTAGATTATCAAGAAGTTACAAGAGAAGCAATCTCGCTAACAAGCCTAGCGAGATTGTGATGAACAAGAGGAGAGTAAAAGCTAATGTGAAAGCCTAGTGATTCTAGATGATTTCGGATCCCTTTTCCCCAATGGGGGGTCTTCAATATATAGTGTTGATAAGTCGGCCGAATGATGAATATTCTCCTTCAGGCGAGATGGAAAACTTCCTCTTTTGCGATATGGAAAATTCCCTCTTGTTTTTGGATCTTTTCCATTCTTTAAGTCGGCATGAAGATTATTTACATTTCTCCATGGATTGTGCCTTTCTCTTCAAGTCTTGCCTTTTTCTTGAAGATGTTAGGCCTAAAATCGGATTGGGCTTTGTGACTTTACTAATGATGACGGGCTCAGGGAAATGTGCTAATTTCTCCTCTAACAATAAGTCCCCCCGCCAGCTCGGCAGGTCAAATGTAGTTTGATCTCGGCGAGCTTCATGAATAGAGGACGAGCTTGAGAATCATTAGTAAAATACATCACTTCCAATCGGTGCATGCTGAATGTAGATTCGTGCCGCCTCATTAAAACCTTGGTACGGAAAAACCCAATTGGGACAAAAACCATAAAAAGGAAAAAGAGTACGTTGACGTCATCTAATTCATGAGTAATTGCTTCGAATGATTTTTGCCGCGACCAAAAATGCTTTCTTTCGTAGAAATCAGTAATGGGTTTTAATCGGCCCATGATCTGGTTCGAGTTTTTGGAAATCGTTTGGGCGGGAACAGGAAAAAGTCTCGGAGAAGCCTTCTCTTCTAAGAATCGTGGAATTCTTATTTAAGGAAACGATTAGGATTTCCTAGGGTGCTTATTCCTTTTTCGTGATACCGATTTCACCAAGTGCCCTTCGAGGGAGAGCGAATATCTCTTGCTGCTGGCCTGCATTTCCTTCCTTCTACCTTCTTCTTTCGCGCTTTCGATGGCAAATCGAGATTAGTTCATCGACGTCGACGTCGGCCCTTGAGCATAATGCTTCCCAAGGAGATTTGCGAGACGTGGGTTTGGCGAAGGCGATGAACTCATCCGTTAAAGGGGAATCCGAGGTTCTAAACGGGGAATGCGGCGACCGTTCTTGCGAGGGAATTCCGCACGAGGATACGGGATCCGATCCTGAGCTCGGTGAGGAGAAAGTCCCTGATTGCGCTAGGCTCGATGGTATCCCTCAAAAGATTGAGATGCCGTGGAGATCATCGTCAAGATCTCTGGCTCGGGATGGTCAATCGGGGATGACCGAAGATATAGTCATCGCTTTGCGGGAGAGGGTGGGAATCAGTGACGCGGTCAAGATTCTCGTTCCCTTACCTGACCAAAGGCCGATGGACGCTCCACCTGGATGGTTTTGCCTCTACGAATGCTTCCTCACGGAGTTTGGAATACGTTTTCCGGTCCTCCCGTTACTTCTCGAGTATGCGTATGAGCGGGGTGTAGCGCTGAGTCAGCTGACCCATGGTGTAGTGCGGCATATGGTCTTCTCGGCCGCTCTGGCGAAGGCAGCCGGGATGAAGCTAGACAGGGAGCTCTTTGAGCGTATAACTGATCTTCGTGCTGGGGTTAAGGAAGGAGGTTTCAAGCGTTTCCACACATCGATGAAACATGACATCGTTTTTGGTGATCATCGAACGAAGATTCATCACTGGACGCGCTACTACTTTTTTGTCAAGGTCGACCGTGCTTCGGTCGGGGATTTCGATCCTAGTCACGTCTTAACAGAATGGGTCCAGGAGCCGGGTAAAGTGGTGTGAATTCTTCCTTATTTTTAGATTGCTTCGTATGCTAACTTACGCCCCCATTATCTGATATGCAGGAAGGATTGTCCCAAGGAAAGTAAATACTACTCTAAAGGAGAAGTTTAGAACTTTACGCGACTTGAGTAGAGAGACTTGGGCGGATGCGTTTGCCGAGACCGAAAGGAAGAAGAAGGAAAAGAAAGGAAAGGCTATTGCTATAGCGATTCCTCTCCCTGGTGAGTGTTATCATCGCCTTTGAATTTTTACGCCTGGTCCGGCTTTAAATTGCGCTCCCTGATGTCTTCCAGATAAGTTGCCGGGTGTTGCTAGGAAGACAGGCTTAAGGAAAAGGGCTCCGGCTTTGGTGGATGATGATATCCTGATTTCTGATCCCTATCCAAGCGGATGAGGTCAGATTCTTGCGAGCTAGGTGATCTTCCTCAGTCACTGGGGTCTCTTGGGGGTGTCACCAGTGGCGATTTCTCTTCTCGGACTGTCATGGCTTCTACTGGTCAGGGCGGTATGAGTATCCTGGAGTCTGGAGGTGACGGGGTGATGGGTTCTGCCGGGATAGACTCCGATGCTGTCTCCTTTAAGTGGAAAGGTGGTGCTCCTTTAATGGATAATGGCGACTTTAGTGGAGAGATGGTTTGGGGTTGCAAACCTAAGCCATGCTGGGGGGTTCCGCGTGGTGAGCTTGAGTTCAAGGGTGCTTTCGATGAGGCTTCTAATAATCTTATTAGAGCCGGAGGGAAGTTTGCTGCGTTGATTCAACTTTATGACGGAGCGCTCAAGGGTGCTCGGAGCGGAGTTGATCAAATTAAAGCCGATTTGTTTGATAACTTTGATGGTGATGCTGCAGTTAGGTTTCGAGAAGAAAAGATTGCTTTTGAAAAGAAGATAGAAGCTCTCAAAGGCGAGGTTGCGAAGGTGTCCGGCCTTGAGGTTGAAAATAATCAACTTCGGGACAAAATTACGCAACTGGAGGATAAAGCCTGTCGGGACATGGAAAATTCGATTGCCGAGATGGCTCGTCTTCGCAAGTCCCGGAAGAAGTGGGCTGAGTTGACGGCTGCTCAAGTGTACGAATCAATGCATAATTGGTATACTCCGAGGTTGGATCGTATAGGTAGATACGTCAGTCAGCGGGATGCAGTGGAGAAGGCGGTGATTAGGATTCAAGTCGACGAGGCTCTTCTTTCCTATGTCAGGAAAATAAAGGGGGTCGAGCAGGATTTTGATGCGGTGGAGAAGATGCTTGCGGCCCGGTTGCGGGAGAGTAAGGCCGCCGGGACTTGGTCGAGGATGACGAAGTTGAAGCTGATGACTATGCTCCGCCCTAAGGTTAGATCTCGTTTTCATCTTGCTGAATTTTGCTTTGACAGCGCATGGATTGTTCCACGGAATTTTGATCAATATGGGTCAATATATCGAACTTTCAGGCCTACCCTAGCTGAGCTGGCGTTTCCGGGATCCCCATCGCGTCATCAATCGAAGTAGGGGAGAGAGGAAGTCGAAATTATCTTTCTTTTTTCTCTTTTGATAGTTTCCCATTTGCTTTTATCGTGACAATTACCCGGGAGGGCTTTTATCCTTAAACTTTGGGTTTAGTTTTGGATGTTATTTGGTGCTTTATTTGCTGCTTTGTTGGCGAAACAAATTGGCTTAGACATAGTTGATAATTTCACAGCGCGATGAAAGAACCCAGCTTTAGGCCATGTCTTTTAATGAAGTGATAGTGAGATACTCTTTCAATTGTTTGAAAGCGTCTTCGCACTTTTCATCCCACTCGAACTTCTTGTTTGATCGAAGCAATTGGTAGAAGGGGAGACATTTGTCGGTTGAGCGCGAGATGAATCTGTTCAATGCGGCGATACGTCCGGTGAGTCTTTGGATTTCTTTGGAGGATGTCGGCGATGGGAGGTCGAGGATTGCCGAGATCTGCTTCGGGTTTGCCTCTATCCCGCGTTGGGTCACAACATACCCGAGGAATTCTCGAGGTGACGGCGAATGTGCATTTCGCGGGGTTCAGCTTCATCCCGTATTTCTCCAAGATTCGGAAACATTCGTCGTGGTGCTTGACGTGATCTTCGGCCTGGCAGATTTGACTAGCATGTCGTCGATATAGACTTCCATGCTATACCGAGCTGGTCCGCGAACATTTTGTTCACTAATCGTTGAAAGTGGCGCCGGCGTTCTTCAGGCCGAAGGCATCACTTTATAGCAATAGGTGCCACGATCGGTAATGAATGCCGTTCTCTCGATCATCGGGATGCATGAAGATCTGATTATATCCTGAAAAGGCGTCCATGAAGGATAGTAATTCATTCCCTGCCGTGGCCTCGACGAGGCGATCGATATGCGGTAAAGGGAAGCTATCCTTTGGGCATGCTTTATTCAGGTCTGTGAAATCGACGCAGACTCTCCACTTTCCGTTCTTCTTTTTGACGACGACTGGATTTGCTAGCCATTCGGGGTATTTTACTTCGTGATCGATCCGGCTCTAAGCAGTTTTTCCACTTCTTCATTGACTGCTTGAGCTTTATCGGCGCCGAGCTTGCGTCTTTTCTGTCTCATGGGTTTGTAGGTAGAGTCCACGTTTAGCTCGTGGGATGTGATTGCCGGGTCGATCCCTTTCATATCTGCCATTGACCATGCGAAAAGGTGCACGTTCTGTTTGAGCAATATGACCAGTTGCTCTTGATCTTTTCGTCGAGGTCGCCACCGATGCCAACGCGCCTTTCCGGATGCGATTCGTCGATATTCACTTCGTCGACGAGGGCTGGCTTTGGTCTCTGGTGGTATGGAAGGCGTGGATCCATTTCCTCGTTTGCGGTGCATGTTGCTGCTAGGCGGAGCCGTCGCTCATAGAGGAAGCATGACCTTGCCGCCCCTTGATTCCCTCTCAGTGTGTAAATTCCTGATTGCGTCGGGAATTTCACACATTGGTGAAAGGTCGAGACGACGGCCTTCATCTCGTGGAGCCATGGGGTGCCCAAAATGGCGTTGTAAATGGCTGGTTTATCGATGACGAAGAATTTGGCGGCTTTGGTTGTTCCTCCGACGTGGATAGGTAGGCGGATCGTGCCTTCACTGGAAGTGTTTCGGAGGTGAACCCGGTGAGGGAGTACAACGAACGCTTGATCTGGTCTCTGCTGATTCCCATGCGGTTGAGGGTCTCTTTGTAGATTAGATTCACCGTGCTCCCGGTATCGATCAGGATTCTTGCTACGCTGGAGTCACTGATGTGCAAGCTGACCACGAGTGGGTCGACGTGAGGGGTATCCAGCCCCGCCGTATCTTGATCCGTGAAGATGATAGTGGGGATTTCTTCGCGGGTCGGGTTGCGATCGTGCTCCACCGCTGCGTATTCATGCTCCGTGATTGTCGAGATGGAATCGCGATGGATGGGGTTGCTCATTATCATGTTAATCTCTTGCCCTGATTCGTCGGAGTAGTTCGTGTCATCCGGCGTGTTTTCCGGGATTACGGGTTGCCGGCTTTCGTCTGTGACGAGAGCGGTCCCCCTTTTATCGGTGGTAGTTCCCCGTGCTGGTATCTCCGAAGGAGATCGCGAGTTAGGCGTCGGCAGTTTCTTGTAGAGTGGTCACCGGTTCCGTGGAGGCGGCAAAACGTGTCAGAGTCGTCGAGATCGGGCGTCGCGACATCTGTTGCCCGTGTTTCGATGTGATGCGGTTCCTGCTCGGGCTCTGTCGGCTGCTGCGAACGCCGTTAGGAGTGATCTTTTTGGATTGTATCTTTTCGTGCCTCCATGGGTTCCTCTCTGGGTTTCGACGAGGTTGCCCTCCTATCTCCATGCTTCTCGGCGTAGAAGCGCTGGTCTTCCTCGAGGAAGATGTAGTTCCGAGAGCGGTGGAACGCGTCCTCCAGAGTCGCAGGGGGTTTTAGTGACAAATCCTCCTTAAACTTGGAGTCGTACCAGAGGCCGTTGCGGAGTGCTTCCAGCGGGACGCTATCGGGCATGTCGCCAGTGTCGCGAGCTGCTTGTTTGAACCTTTCCATAAAGCTGCGCAATGGTTCGCCTTGGGTTTGCGTTGTGGTGAACATGTTCCGAGTGATTCGGGTCATGTGCATGGAGTAATGCTTCAGAAAAGCATTGGTTAGGTCGTCGAAGTTATCGATCGACTCGGCGGGGAGGTTAGAGAACCAGGTCAAGGCATCTTTCGCCATGTGCTCGACGAATACTTGACAGTAGTTGGCCTCCCTTTCATCGTAAGATTTGTATTTCTCCCTCCTCATGGCGAGGTTGAACGCGGTTAGCCACTTCTTGGGGTCTTCTTCGCCGGTGTAAGAGTCGATTTTGAGTCGAACTCTTTCGTGTAGTTCAATCTGGCGGAGCCTGCGGGTGAGCGGGCTTCTTCGGGTGTCGGCGAGTGCTTTCGTCAATTCCGGAGCTGAGCTGGTGGCGCGATGAACTTTCGAATCGACCTCGTCGAGGCGACGATTCATCCGTTCGAGTTCTTGGGTGGTAAGTCGCCTGAAGTGCGCGGACGGGGGTTGTTCCGTCAGGTGGGACTTGACGGATCTTCATCGTCTTCTCGTGCTAGGGCTTCCACCTGTTCCTGAGTCTTTTTCTGCTGTGCTCGCATTGACTCGAAACCGTCGGCGAGCGGCTTGACGAGATTCTCCATGAGTTTGAGGATCTTCTCGCTCGAGGAGGATTTCTTCGAGCTGCGGGGTTTGTCGCTCGAGGAAGATTTTCTCGAGCGGCGTGGTGCGGACGGAGGGGGCTCTCGTCCTTTCTTGGGGAGATCGTTGCGGCGAAGTATCTTCGCGGCGAGACGATCTCTGTGGCGAGAAGATCTCTGGGTGAGACAGATTCCTTGTAGGGGCAGGCTTGTCCCTGCCTTCAGCGGGTAGCGACTTGTCTATCGTGCTGGTAGACTGTCGCTTAAGTTTTCTTCTGAGGGAGACGGGCTCCCGGTGGGAGTGTTCTCTTTCGAGTTACCATCGTTGCTAGTTCGTGAAAATCTAGATATCTTCGAGATGAATAGCGAGAAGCGTTTCCAGCCCCACGGTGGGCGCCAATTGTTGAATCCGAGATAGCACTCGTCAAGACGGGCTATCAAAGATGTGAGTTTAGGAAACTGGAACGCTTAATTCGACTCTTAGATTATCAAGAAGTTACAAGAGAGCAATCTCGCTAACAAGCCTAGCGAGATATATGATGAACAAGAGGATAGAGTAAAAGCTAATGTGAAAGCCTAGTGATTCTAGATGATTTCGGATCCCTTTCCCCAATGGGGGGTCTTCAATATATAGTGTTGATAAGTCGGCCGAATGATGAATATTCTCCTTCAGGCGAGATGGAAAACTTCCTCTTTTGCGATATGGAAAACTTCCCTCTTGTTTTTGGATCTTTCTTCCATTCTTTAAGTCGGCATGAAGATTTATTTACATTTCTCCATGGATTGTGCCTTTCTCTTCAAGTCTTGCCTTTTTCTTGAAGATGTTAGGCCTAAAATCGGATTGGGCTTTGTGACTTTACTAATGATGACGGGCTCAGGGAAATGTGCTAATTTCTCCTCTAACACTCTGTGCTTTTCGTTCTCGGTTTTTACCTTATTACTTTACTAATGATGACAAGCTTAGAGAAATGTGCTAATTTTTCCTTTTAACACTCGCTTTTCGTTCTCGGTTTTTACCTTGTTACTTCGTCTTGTGTACTTTCCCCTCAAAACTGTCAACCGCATCATTATCACTTTTAAGGGCACGTGTTTAAGCTGTTTTCCAAGTTGGGTTGCTTTCCGTTATAAATAGACTAACTTTGTTTCACCAAAAAAAATAGACCGACTTTAAAACCAAAAAGAATAAAATTGACTAACTTCGCAGGGCAAGAGACTGATATGCTTCCTACAAAACCCTGTCCTGTCCTATTGTTTTCTTAAACAAAACTCTCCAAGAAAGTGCAAAAGCAATATGAAGGTTAGGTGCCACAACAGTTTCGAGTGCCAAAGACAAAACTAGTTAGAAGTCGCAAAACATACATAATTAAGGAGTAATGATTTTGACTACTTTTGCCCAGCAAACTCAAAACTAACGACAAAACTTAACGATTGTACACATTTTCAGAAAAAGAAAAAAAAAAACCATTGTCTTGAAACATTAAAGTTGAAAAAAAAGGTACTTAAATATCTGAGAGATCACAATAGATTCTCTAAGTTTCGTTTCATCTCTTAGGCCTCGGTTATGGGAAACTCAAAGACGACATCTCTGCCGGTCAGCTTCTTGTAAACCGCGGTGAAAGCCTCAAGCTTGTACTCTGTGTTGTTCTTCCCCTTTGGGTCCAAGAAATCCTAGGGTCCAAGAAATCCTCGCCAGTGCCATCGAAAGGTAAACTATTTATATGCATCAGTCCTTGCCTTAACTCCTCTCTACAGCATATGAATAAGTTCTGTAGGTTATGAATCATATAACTTTATATGAGACTGTTTTCATATTCCACATTAATTATAGCTATATTATGGTCACCATCATTAAAATCCTTTTCAAAATCTATCTCTACTTTTTTTTTTACGGCAATCTGATCTCTATTAATGATTGTTAAGTGTTTTAAAGTTAATAATACAAAGACTTAAGTCACCTTTGATATTTCAAAATCTGATTTTAAGGAAATTTAAATTTCATTTGGATTTTTAAATCATTTAAAATCAGTGAACCAGTAATTCCTAAAAAGAAAACTACCTAATAAACTAATGTAATATTAAAATATGTAGTATATGTAAATATATTGATTATTTTTAGATTTTATTAACATAATATAGGGTATTTTACATAAAACCCCAACAAAAATGAGGACGGCTACACAAATTGATAATGTAGGTGGGATCTCGATGATCATGCAATGGATGGACTGCCAGATTATATGAAACATGTGGTAAAATTTGTACTTGATACATTCCAAGAGTTTGAAAGGGAATTGGGGTCAGAATTGGGAGGATCTTACGGCTTGAAAGCTACAAATACAATTGAAGAGGTGAGCAATCAAACTATTCAATAACCAATGCTAAACTATTTTTGCAGAACATGATTTCACTTTGAGTCTTTTACAGTTCAAGATTTTTATGAGAGCCAACCTTCTACTGGCGAAATGGGCAGTAGTGGGTCACTTGCCTAGCTTTGATGAGTACATAGATGCGACTGGAGACGAGTTCGGTGTATATTTAACAATGACAGGAATTTTGATGGCTATGGACCAAAATATCTGCAAGAAAGAAGCTTATGAGTGGTTGAAATCTAGAGAGAAACTCGTTAGAGCAATGACTATAAAATCACGAGTGGCGGATGATATGTTTGCCTATGAGGTAGGACGAATGAATCCACCACTTTTATTTATTCTTTTTTTAAGAATAACCTTCTTGTTTGATAACCAAACTTAACATGTCGACATGATTAGGATGACATGAGCAGAGGATATGAGACGGGCTCCGTCAACTGTTACAAGAAGCAATATGGAGTTACGGAAGAAGAAGCCTTTAGAAAGCTTAGTGAAATGATTGCAGATGGTGATAGGATGATGAACGAGGAGTTTTTGAAGCCAATCAATGTGCCAAACCAGGTTCTCAAAATAGTCAACAACACTTTACGTGCGATATATATTTTCTACGACAAGGACGATGGATTTACTCGTCCTGCTAAAATCAAGAACCATATCACGTCTATGTTCGTTGATATAATTTGATTGAGGGCTTTGGTTTTTATCTTATTTGCTTTATGGTTTGTCAGTTTGTTACTGCGTCTTTTGTACTTTCCCTACAAAACTCTCTACCCGTGCATCATTATCCTTTTTGAGCAGGTACTTTCCTTAAAAATGTGTCATGTAATTGGAAATGAGCAAGTATTTATTTAAGAAAAAGTAACTTGGATCATGGGTTGTCCACTAAACAAAAGTATTTGCACTGTCGTATTTAAGAAAATGCAACTCAATATCATGAATGATCACACTATAGACGATCATGGGTTGTCCACTAAACATGGTCAAAATAATAAAAAAGATAATGATATAGCAATTATTTTGTTTAAGTGAACAAGAGGGGATTCCGAGTATTACAGACGATTTTATCTATTTTATTTAAATATTAAAGAATGGATTACTTTTAGTTGTGTACAAATTTTAATATTTAACCACATTTTGATATATAAACCATTCATCCCAGTTATGGCGTAAGCTTGTCAACTAAATAATAGTTCATCACTGGTATATATTTAATAATATTTACGAACTAATGAAAAATTGAGCATTTTGTTCTTTTCATTCTTAGTTACTTAGTATATATATTGACAGCTTGACGAGTTCAGATTTGGCAGAAGCCGAAGGATAAGCAAAGTTATCTTATGAAGGATTCCAATATTAAATTTGCAGCTGGAAGTAAACAAATATCATGTTGACTAGTGCGTGCCATATCAGACGTCGTCAGGCCACGAAAAACTAAAAACATGTTAGTTGATTCGAAAACCAGAAGAAGCACGAGCTTAAAGTTTGCTAACCTTACCAACTAAATTAAAAATTAAAAAAAAAAACTTAAATAAATTTGATTCTTCTAGGTTACTGCTTTCTTGTGACAAATTAAGAAACGATTTTTCAGTCACGTGAAAATTACTGGTTTCAAGTAAAAAATATCTATTACTTTTTGGTCCAGTGGTAATCACAGTGTGCCTATAAATTTGGTGGTGAAACCTTGAGTCCCGTATCATTGCACGTGAACATGGAAGCCATAAGAACTTTTGGACCAAAACTTGGATCTAAAATCTCTATTCGTTCTCAGACCAATCTATTCCCGGCATGCAAACTCTCTCGCTTTCCAGTGACGTCATTTCCCGGTAAGTCGCTGAAGCTTGTTCCTTTGAAAGCCACTACTCATGCTCTGGCTTCTGAAGATGAAGCAAATAATCGCAAGTTCAAAAAGTTGGAGCCTTCTGAATGGAATCATCACTTCCTCTCTGCTCATGTTGATTTCTCGGTAACTCTCTCTTTCTCTCTTAATCTCTATATATATGTAGAGTCCTAGAGGGTATGAAGTCACGTATACATTACTTCTTTGTTTTTAAGGAAATCGATGTGCTTGGGAGAGAGATAGAGGCACTAAAGCCAAAAGTGAGGGAAATGTTCATGTCTTTGATAGGAAGTAAGAAGATAATCCTTTTTATATATTTGCTCGTGAGCCTTGGTCTCGCCTATCATTTCGAAGATGAGATCGAAGAGTGTCTCAAAGATGGCTCCGAGAAGATACAGGAGATGATGGAGGGTGAAGATGACTTGTACACAGTTTCAGTCATCTTCTGGGTTCTTAGGAGATATGGTCACAACATTTCTTCTGGTAAGGGTTATGTTTCTGATTACACCGTCTTTTAGTAAATTGCCGGATTGGGAGTCACTAGCTTGTAAAATATATTAGGTGATGAGTTAAACATATTTTTCATATTCTTGTTAAACATATTAAATGAATGAAAATTATTATGAAAATTAAAAAAAAAAAAAAAATATTAGATATTAAATTGTTTGCGCTGATGTGTCACAATTATAGCTCCATCTTCTGCTGGTGTGGAATTGCATGAACTTTATACATAGATAGATAACAAAAGCGTATTCATTCTTTTGTCAATATATAGATGTTTTTACGAAATTCAAAGAAGACAATGGAGAATTTAAAGAATGTCTTGCCAAAGATGCCAAGGGCACGACAGCAGATGGGCACGACAGCAGATCATATATTAGATGAAGCCTTGAGCTTCACATTGTGTTACTTGGAGTCGATAGCTGCAAGTGAGTCATGCAAACTTAATCTCTCAAGGCGTATACGAAATGCTTTGGACATACCGCAGAATAAGAAAATGGATATATTGGTCGCAAAGGAATATATCTGGTTCTACGAAACAAGAAGATGATTGCGACGAGACACTACTAAAGTTTTCGAAGCTTAACTTCAAATTCCTACAGCTACATTACCTTCGAGAACTCAAAATCGTTTTAAAGTATCTAGTTTATGCTCCTCAATATATAATTATTAATTTATTATATAGTATTTTACTATTTATTATTCATTTACATCGGAGTTTGACATAACTCTAATGTTTGGTTGCAAGATGGTACAAGGAACAAGACTTTGAAACTAAGTTGCCACCTTACTACAGAGACATAGTCGTGGAACTCCACCTCGCTGCGCTAGCTTACATGGAGCCGAAACACTCACGTATGAGGATTATGATCTCTAAGATATACGTGGTTCAATTATTTATAGATGATACGTGTGACAGATATGCTTCTCTACGTGAGGTCGAAGTCCTCGCCAGTGCCATTGAAAGGTACATTATTTATATGTATCAGTTCTATAGTCCCTCTAGAGCAGATGAATAAGTTCGTTAGGTTATGAATTGTATAAATTTAGATGAGACTGTTTTCAAATTCCAAATTATCCAATTATATTGCCTAATTATGGTCGTGATAAAACTGCCTCCAAGAATGAACGAACATATAAATCATTTAATATCCATGAACCAATTAGTCAAAAAAAAATATATATGTAACCTATAAATAAATTGATTATTTATTAGATTTTCTCAACATAAAAATAGGGAGTTTTACACAAAATCTCAGGAAAAAATGATGACGGGCTACACACATATTGATAATACAGGTGGGATCTGGATGATCATGACATGGATGGACTACCAGATTATGTGAAATATGTGGTTAAATTCATAGTTCGTACATTCCAAGAATTTGAAAGAGAATTGGGGTCAGAAGGATCTTACGGCGTGAAAGCTGTAATTGAAGAGGTGAGCAATCGAATTGTTCAATAACAAATAGTCTCTCTGTTTCAGTATATAAGTATAGTTAAAGTTTGTTGCACATGAATTAAGAAAACATATTTTGTTAGTATACTAAATAATAAATAAAAATTAACACTGGAAATTTGCTCTAAATTTTACATTGAAATCCTAAAAGTAACAAAAAAGGTTAAAAAGTTAAAACGACACTTATTTGTGGAAGTACTGTATATATCTTTGGGAGAACATGTTTTGACTTTTGAGTCTTTTAAAGTGCAAAAGTATGATGAGAGACAACGTTATACTCGCGAAATGGGAAGCAGTGGGTCACTTGCCTAGCTTTGACGAGTACCAAGATGCTACTTTAGACGAGTTCGCTATATATTTGACCTTCACAGGCCTTTTTATGGGTATGGATCATGATATCTGCAAAAAGGAAGCTTATGAGTGGTTGAAATCTAGAGACAAACTGATCGTTAGAGCAATAACTCTAATATCACGAGTGGCGAATGATATGTTTGGCTATGAGGTAGCATGAATAATTTCCCCCATTTTTATTTATTTTTTTTCTTTTAATAATAACCTTGTTGTTTGGCAATCAAACTTAACTCGTGAGTCGTGACATGATTAGGATGACATGAGCAGAGGATATATGACTGGCTCGGTCAACTGTTACAAGAAGCAATATGGAGTTACGGAAGAAGAAGCCTTTACAAAGCTTAGTGAAATGATGGTAGATGCTTCTAAGATGTTGAACGAGGAGTTTTTGAAGCCAATTAATGTGCCAAACCAGGTTCTCAAGGTAGTCAACGACCTTTTACGTTCGATCAATGTTTTCTACAACAACTATGATGGACTTACTCGTCCTGCTAGAATCAAGCACCATATCATGTCTATGTTCGTTGATATGATTTGATTGAGGGATTTGGTTTTATTTTATTTCTTACTGTGGTTTTCGTTCTCGGTTTTTAGCTTGTTATTGTGTTTCGTCTATTTTCCCTACAAAACTCTCTACATTTGCATCATTAATAAGTGCAAGTTGTGTTTCGATAGATCTCTTTTCCAAGTGTTTTTTTTTTCCTTGTTTTAGAGTTTAAGATACAAAAGGTAGAAAAGGCCATAAAACTTCATATTTCAAGAACATAACTTTTGGTAATGTTTTTCCCAACAATTCAACCTAACGAACATTCACGCATTAAGAGTTAGGCAAAACATTGTTGCAAAGCCAAAACAACTTTGAGCTATTGACAAAGCTGAATGCAAAAACGCAAACCATATTTAAGGACAGTAGTAATGACTGACTTTCTCTGCCCGCAACTTCATAACCACCGACAAAATTTGACGATTGTATTAAAAATTTAAAAGTATAACCATTGTCTTTAAACACATTAAAAGTAAACAAGAAAAAGGGACTTAAATATCTGAGATGACAAAGACATTCAGCACACCTTTGCATGGTCATAGCTACCTAACGATGGTTTTGCGGCCATAGACCAGCGTTGGGAACCATTTGCTGGACGAGCTTGCAGATTATATCGAGGTATGGGCTTGGGATTCAGTTCATCGATCCTTTGCTGTACAACTGGTTTCAACTTCTCAAGCTCACCCAAGACATCCAATAGTCTCTAGACGAGATAAAAAGCTCACATCAAACTACTGATTGATTGGATAAAACGGTTTACAGGGGATCATAAGTTTATATATCACATTACCATTCTCAAATACTCTTTGTTTCTTTTAAGAGATGTTCTATAATCTCGATGGGAGGGTATAGTCTCGAGAGCCAAGCTAAAGAAAAAAACAAAAAAACATTGTTGATTTCAGAAAGAAATGAAGGTATTAAGAAGATCTTGTTCTTTCTACAATGAAACCAGAGAGCAAAGACACCTCGATGGAGTAACCGTAAATCAAAATCAAAGTCGAGTTTGAAGACGGAGAACCTGTTTGAGGATATTATCTGCGATCCTGAATTAAAATTTGAGAGAGATACGATTGTCGATATGACAAAAAAGGATGCCCAAGCTTGTATGAAGCTGCTCACATGAGGACGACATTAACATATTATATATTAGATGAGGCCTTGAGTTTCACACTTAGATATAATTTGTGTACAAACTGAAAAATGACTATCCAATAAAGATGAGTATTTGCAATATGACAAAAAAAAAAGATGCCCTAGATTCTGATTTTGTAGTCCAATGATACGGTAGTGGAAACGGAAGAGGCTTCTTCTTCATTGAAGTAACTTTTTTTAAGTAAAATATAAAAAACACGTGTCAAACTCATATGTTTCCACTTGTCACAAAAATGGAGAGAGATGGCCCCTATTCATATCCTTTATATATTAAAAGAGAAATCCTTTATATATTAAAAGAGAAGACATTTATAAAAATCCCCTTTGTTTTCAACTTAATTTCAAGTATGCCCTGAGGTGTCGCAATTTGCCACACTCTCAGAATATTCTAAAAATAACCTCTCTTTATTAGGCAAGTGCTGAAATATTTATTATTAATTTAATCAGAAAAATAATTATTAATTAAAATTATTTTTTTCTATTTCCTTATCTGAGTGACGAAAATTATAAATAAATTTAAAAGTATTTATTAGTCAATCAATCAGTAAAATATGGAAAGTTTTATTCAATTGTATTATATTAATTGTTTAAAAATTAATTTATTATCTTATCATTTTTTAACTTTACTTTTTCAAAAATAAATTATATCATTACATCAAAATATTTCATAAAACAAAATTTTTTTTCTGCATATGCTATGATTTGAAAATTTTAAAATGAAGCAAATCTCTAAAATTGTTAAAAGTCTCATATCGATTATATTTTGGGATGATAGTTCAAAAACCTATTATAAAAAAAGATCCAAATAATGATCAACCATAGTAAAAAAACTGATTTATTAGGTTTCCAAACTTTAATTTTTTTAATTTGATTTAATTTTGTTCTTTAATTGAACTAAATAAATAAATCATAATAAAATCTAATAACTTAATATATAAGTTAAACTATTTTAGTTATTTAAAATTGATCAAAAATATTAAATATATATGCCATATAAAACTATTTCAAACTTATTAAAAGATATATATGTGGATTCAACTGTGTCACTTAATATTTCGTCATGTTCCAATCAGGCTAAAAAAATATACATCACTCAAAATTTCTAATGTAAACTGACATATTTTTTATTGTCTAACACCCTATTTTTCTAGAATGATACTTATGTAAAAAGATATCTAAAAATAAAACTAAATCAAGAAAATATCACCCCGTGCAGGGCGCGGGTCCAACCCTAGTATATGATTATTCCTTTTTCCAGTGAATAAAATTGGTTTACCCCACTATCAATAAATTTTTAATCCTAAATTTTAAAATAAATTGGTCAAAAATAAAATCAACATTAATTATTTACATCTAAATTTTAAAAATGACATCTATCTTTTTAAAAACCTTTAGTTTGAAGAAAACCGACATATGGGTTGTGATTTGACCCAAAAGAAGAATACGGACTTTACTGGGCCATTTAGACCCAACATATAAGCCAATTTGATACATTTCCGAAGGTCCACCTTTAGTTTTACTCTGTTTTGATTTTACGAAAGGGGAGATTTGGACCCCGTCTGCCTCTGCCGTTTAATTCTATATTCATTGAGACTATGGTTTTATCTTGTGTTAGAGAATAGAAGCTCGCTGTGTTGTATCAACGCACGTCTAAGGTGATGGAGATTTTGATTACGAGCGAGATCGAGCCTAATGTGGCGTTGTGGAGCAAGTTTCTGAATGTTGATATGAATAACACACCGCTCAAGGGGTTCAAAACTTCGAGCTTCTTCATTGACTAGGAGAAGAAAGTCGACGTGGTTTTAAATTGGTACCAAGAATGTTACATGGAAAGTTTAATTCTGTGAAAATCAGAAAAGACCCGGATCTTGGATATAGTAAGGCACTTGCAAGAAATGTGGTAAAGCTGGTCACAACTCTCGTGCGTGCCCGTAAGAGATCTCAACAGGGGTTAGTTAGTTAGTTTGTTTTGTACATCATTGTCTTCTTCTTTTTTGGTCCTTTTGAACAATGCAAATTGGTGAAAAGACGCATTTATGCAATTTGTCCACTTGGACAATCTCCATATGAAATTCACAAACGACTAGTTATCTCAAAATGTTCTGAGATAAGACGTGCCCTATATAACCAGTTACAGATACCAACAAACTCTCCTCATTTACATTTGTAAATGACTTTGTAACATATTCAACACCATAACAATTTTGCAGCACAAAATATAAAAACTCCAAAGAAGCACCATTCAAAAATCTAGCATGGAGTTTTCTCTTCTTTTTTTTTTATTATTGATTCGGTTAAGGAAGAATTACATAGATGGATGATAATATTCATTTAGAAGAAGGTGGTGGTTGTGCCTTGGAGGGATCTCCCTTTTGATCTTGCTTAGATCCAGACACAGCTGCAGTTGCAGCTGCGGTCACCGCTGTAGCGGCTGCACCAAGCTTTACACCACCAGCTGCCTTCATTGCACCTGCAACTTTGGCAAATATCGCCACTCCTCCTACCAGGATCCCTCTCAAAGCTACCGTTGGTTTCACCACCATTTTTTTGTTCTTGAAACCCTGCTCATTTTCGTATTTGTATCAAAACTTTGTTCATAAAGACATCATACCTTATAAGAACAGAAACTTGCAAAGCTAAACCATAAGAATCAAGAAAATAAGGTTATTTACTTATCTCTACAAAAGCTATGTCAAAGAGTTTCAATACCTGTAAGATGCATTCCTCATGGAAAATTACAGCACTGGCATTTAAAATTTAATCCGAGGAAACAATTACAAAGTTTTCAAATCAAATCTGATATTTTTTTCACACGGCCTGAGTCTCTAACCAAAACTGCATTGAAAAATTGGATCCTTTATTTTCACACAACCAACAAAATTCATCCATTATTGTTTGTCGACCTAAGAAGCTGGAAATCGGCTATATATTATCCAATCAATAACACAATACAATCCAAGAATCAACTACGAAACAACAAGCAAATGAGATTGCAACGAAGATATGTAAATTATAGATTCGTCTGTATAATATACCGATAGAGAATTGCAGAGAGTATTAGTTGGGAAATTTTCGAGTTTTGTCGGAAAACTCACCGTTCAATGCCTTCTCTGTTGTTGTTGTCGGGATGGGAATCGATTTCTCGGCGACAAGTTCTCGTTTTTTTTTCTTTCTTTCTGAGTTTATAACACCGTTAAGACGTCGTTTAAATAAAGAATATTCGTTACGGCGTCGTTTTGATCACTTCTTCTTACCCGTCGACGACGACTTCGTTATTGAACATTTTACGACATCGTTTTCTATCACGGCGTCTGTAGCTACAATTCCATCAACAATGTCGCCGCCTCCAATCCATTCGCCGGCGATTCATGACCAGTGTCTAGCTTCTCACTTCAACATATTTCCGGTTAGAATCGATTTCATTCGTTGTTGCCCTTGGGTCTGATTGCGGTTCATTGTTAATGAGTGTGAATTTTGCAGCTGATAGAGAAATTATCGAAAGAAATCGAAACCGGAAGTTCTGATTCTCTGGTTTGTTTCCCTCCCCCATTACAGTTCTTGTTTTTCCTGTGATTGTGGTGCTTGAATTGATTCTGGCTTCGCTATTTTGGAATTGCAGGTGAGTGAATTGAAAATCCAGTTTGAAAATTGTCAGCAGATGTTGAATTCGATTTCAGAATCGCTTGGATCTAAAGCTATGGTAACAACAACATTGACACTCCTCACAATTTGCTTTCTCATGAGAACAGAGTTTTGCTGTGTTTCTGCTTTAGTGTTTTCGACTTTGCACTTACACATAGATTTCTTTTGCATCTTTTTGATTGGATCTTGGTATGTATGTTTAGACTGTTGATGGACAGAAACGGAAGCTAGAAGAATCCGACATGTTGCTCCAACAAAGAAGGTGCAATCTTGTTCCTACCTTTATCTTTTTCAAATTTCTCATGCAATTTTGGGGCTTTCTTTGAACATTAACCTTAGTCATTGTGTTTTGTGTTTATATACATATTTATCTTGAGTTTATGAGGCATTTAACGTTACGAAAATGTGTTGCGTTTGTTACTGTTATGACCAATTTGTTTTTATGGTTACAGTCTTACAGAGTCTTGTACAATACGAAGATGGTCTCACATCCTAAGACAAAGAACCAAGAAGAAGAAGAAAGAAATTGAAAATGGCAGTAGTTTCCTAACCATATACTTTTACCTTGTTCTTCTTGTTATTATTACATCCATACACATAATCATCTCAAGTAAACCTATACATAGCCAATTTTTAGTAAATTCCAGTCGTCTTTTCTATTTTTTCACCATCAAGAGGACACGACCATATTCACTTTGTATCACTTTCTAAAAATAGACACTAGGCCATGACTTGAATTGGTCAAAAACTCTTTCTCTCTTTTCTCTCTCTGTTTTATATGAGCTTTGTCTCTCCTCCCTCATTTCTCTCCATTCCCCTGCATTTCCTTCCCACCAGGAGAAAACTAAGGGAATCCAACTCTCGCCAAACCCGTCAAACACAACAACAAAAACATGCCCTCAGGCAAACCTTCTTCTCTTGTCTTCCCTTTACATCCCAAACCAACACCATTAAAACCTTCTTCAAGCAGCACCAGCAATAGCAACAGCAACAACAGCACAAACCAAGCCTGCGCGGCTTGCAAATACCAGCGGAGGAAATGCGCTCCTGATTGTCTTCTCGCTCCTTATTTCCCTCACGACCGTCACCGCCAGTTCCTCAACGCTCACAAGCTCTTTGGAGTCAGCAACATCACCAAGATCATCAAACACCTCAGCCCTCCTGACAAAGACGCAGCCATGCATACCATCATGTTTCAGTCCGATGCTCGTGCCAACGACCCCATCGAAGGGTGTTATAGCATCATAAGGAAGCTTTATAACCAGATCGACTACACCAGAAGCGAACTGGCCTTCGTTATTCAGCAGCTGGAGGTGTGCCGTGACCGTGCTCACAATCCTCACCATCAACATCAAGAAACGCATATCCAGATGCAAGAACCTGAAGATCTCTCAAGTTTTTCGAGCTCTTGTGATCTAAACAACAACAACAACAACAATTCGATTCCTTTCAGTTACCCTCTTCATCACGTCCAAGAACCTAATCAACAGCTACAACAAGAACAACAACAACAACAACAACAATATTGTTCTTCTGGCACCTTCAATGGGTTACAAGAAGACATGTGGTGTCTTCAACTTCAAGATTCATCAACGACAGTGAATATCAAAGGTGGCTTCATTGATGAATGTGAGGACGTTAAGCCTGTGGAAGAAGTTTCTAGCGAGAGAATCGAGTTTGAGCACCATGATGGTTTCGTTGAACAACGGAAACTAGATTTGCCTTCTGCACAATTCATCATTTCTTCTTAGCTTTTTTCTTTCCTTCCTCTCTTGCATTTTTTCTTGATTTAAGAATCACTTTTCTAGCCTCCATTGATCGATAGATTTGGTATTTTTGTGCTTTTTTCGTTTGGATTTTTTGTATGTCATTTGCTAATTTGTCCTAGGATTAGATGAGAAAGATGTTTGGAATCTTCAAAATAGTATGTTGCACAAGAAATTGATGGAATAAATAAAACTTAGCCGAGAAAATTAATTATTCTCGTTTAATAGCTTAACTCATAAAGAATAAAAACAGGCCCATGAAGAATCATTAATAGAGGCCTTGTCATCAAAAAAGGCCCATTTAATACTGAAACAATAGCATTTCTCCCACATCGCTCAGATACAGAGAAGAAGCTGTTTTTATATAGCGTTGGAGTGACATAGATGATTGTCCCTTCGGTGACATCCGATAAAATTGGAACGATACAGAGAAGATTAGCATGGCCCCTGCGCAAGGATGACATGCACAAATCGAGAAATGGTCTAAATTTTTATTTTTTTGCCAAAATTTTCCTGATCCATTTCTTCTTCCTCTGTTTTTCTGCGACTGTAACTTAAGTTTTCGATGCAAATCTGATCGATTTCTTCACGTTCTGTTATTCTAGGTTTCGATTTGTATCATTTTTGTTGTTTCTGGAAACGTAACTGAAGTTTTGGTTGCAAATCTGCGCAAAAGAGAAAGGCTCGAGTTTTCTGAAACCATTGATATTCATTCATTCACGATAAAACAGAGGTTTCGCACTAATTCATTGGTTTGGTTTTTGATGAAATACTTACACCAGCAATCTGATCTGTCCGATTGTCGGAAAGATCTGAGTCTCTTAAAAATAAGATGCATGCAATGATGCAAGTTCTTGAGAATTTGCAGCAAAAAAAGAATTTCTCTTGTTAAAATCAAGTCTCTGTGATTTGTAATAACACTTTTAAGGCTCGAAACAACCACGTGATACAAGTTTGCATCCCACAAAATTCATAATCAGACCCACACCAAATTAAATCCAAGAATGTTTCTAACTTCGTAGGAGAAAGATTTAAGATTCTTTCGCAGAAGTGGTCGGTCAGTCACATCACATGCCCATGGCGGACATATCAGGGACATGGCTTTGTGTTTTCTCGTCTGCACTCACAAGCACCGAAGCCTCTGTTGTTGTCAAAAGCAAAGAAATGCTGCGTTTTGGGACACAAAAGCAAAAACACATGAGTCACATGGTTAATCTAATAGAAGCAAATCAAGCAATAACGGTTTGAGTTTTGGGACACTCTTCTTACCTAGCGGCGTCGGTTAAGGCGGATTTGATAACCTTGACCGGGTCTATGATTCCAGCTTTTACCATATCAACATAAGTACCTAGAAAACAAAGCAGGCAGACAAATTCAGAGACTGATGAGGTTTGCCTCTTGAGAGACGTTTTTAAAAGATACTATTTACTCTCACCTTTGGCTGCATCGAAACCGTAATTGAAATCGTCTTGCTCCAATAACTTGCCAACCACTAAAGAACCATCGTAACCAGCATTTGCAGCTATTGTTACTGCAGGAGCCTACACAAGATTCACAACTTCTTGTCACGGTTTACACTTTTTGGAGCTGAGAGATTTTTTTCAATCAAAGAAGTTGGAGATCAAACCTTGAGAGCATTCTGAACTATCTGAACACCTCTTCTTTGATCCTCGTTTTGAGTTTGAAGGTTGTCTAAAGCCTTTGTAGCATACAATAGAGCCACACCACCACCTAGGATTTCGAAATTACAACAGTTATACGCAACATAACGAAATTATCATCAGAGGAAATATAGAGAGAAACGAATAAGATTTACTTACCAGGTATGATGCCTTCTTCTACAGCTGCTCTTGTGGCATTCAAAGCATCAGTGACTCTGTCTTTTCTTTCTCCAACTTCAGCTTCGCTTGATCCTCCCACCTAAACAAGAAACCAGACATACATCAGCTACTTTGGCCTGTAAGAGTTGAAAAATGCTGATTGATGGTTGTGAGTTGTGACTAACCTTGAAGACAGCAACGCCACCTGATAGTTTTGAGAGTCTTTCTTGCGTTTTCTCTTTATCAAAAGCGGATGTGCTCTTTTCATTGGCTGACCTTAACTATAGAGCATGAGAATAAAAACGGAGATTTATATTTCTGTATAATAGTGAGCAAGATTCATGATAGAGATAGTGTAAGAAATAATCATATACCTCTTCACATCTTTCTTCGATCAGCTTCTTATCGCCACCACCGTGCAGGATGATAGTGTCATCACGAGAGATAGTGACCTTAATTCAACGAATTTGTATTAGATTCGGATCTTGACAACAAATCACAAGCAGAAACCAAATATATTTGTCTCCTCTTACCTTCTTCGCAGTTCCTAGCAATTCAGGACGAATTTTGTCAAGAGTTAGACCGCGCTCCTCAGAGATTACCTGTGTGTAAACCCCCGAGTTAGAAAATGAAAAAAGTGAGACAAACATAACTACCTGTTGTTCCTGAGAAATTTTTACCTCTGCACCAGTAAGAACCGCAAGATCATCTAAGCTTGCTTTCCTGCTGTCACCAAAACCTGGAGCCTTGATAGCGCATACCTTGAGCCCAGCATGATGCTTGTTCAGAATAAGCATAGCTAATGCATCACTTTCTACATCTTCGGCGACAACAAGAAGTGGCCTGCTGCTCTGCAGAGCCATAATCAATAAGAGAAAGAAATGAGCACTATTTCTTAAAGCAAAGTTTCGAAAAACCGGAATTCAGAACATAGTAATAGATAATCACGGAAAAGCTTTACTTTCACAGCTGCCTCTAGAACTTTCAACAGCGCGTTCATGTCTGAAACCTTCTTCTCGTGAATGAGGATGATGGGATTCTCAAGCTCCTGCAAACCAACGCCATATTTAGTTCAATGACCTTTCTTTTGCCTTAGCTTTCGGGTGAGACATATTAATTCCACATCATACCAACCATAAAGATATGAACTTACACATTTCTGAGTCTTCTCATCTGTGATGAAATAAGGAGAAATGTAACCTCTGGCTAGCTTCATTCCCTCCACTACTTCTAGCTCGTTCTCTAAAGTGTTCCCATCCTGCGTATTCAAAGAACAAAATAAAGAGATATAGCGATAAGTCAATCATCCTCTGATCCAGTTACAAGGCATGAGAAGAAAAGTAAGCTTACAGCAACTGTGATAACCCCTTCCTTTCCAACTTTCTCCATGGCTCTTGCAATCAGTTCCCCAATCTCACGCTCTCCGTTTGCAGATATAGTAGCAACCTATCAAAATTCCATATGCCAGAGCAGTAAGGGATCAACTTCTGGCACAGAGAGTTGTGACTTAATGAATCTGTTTCTAAAATCACCTGAGTGATCTCTTCTGGGGTGCTAATCATAACGGCCCTGCTTTTCAAATCAGATACAACTGCAGCAATTGCCATATTAATGCCACTACGCAAATCCATCACATTTACACCAGCAGCTACTGACTTGCAGCCTTCGATGAGTATCGCCTGAGTCAAAACAGTCGCACAAGTGGTACCTATGTAACAAAAGGAAGCATACATGAGAATTTCTCCTATTATTATCAAAAACTCATTCAATATTTATAACTCAAAAGAGGGAATTTAGTCATTTTACCATCTCCAGCAACCTTGTTAGTGGCACTTGCAACCTGTTTCACGAGCTCTGCACCCATATGCTTAGCTTTACCGTCAAATGATATGCTTTTTGCCACGGTGACACCGTCCTTTGTGATCTTTGGTGCGCCAAAACTGCTCTCAATTATCACATTTCTTCCCTAAAATCACCCAATTATATAAAGATATTGAATTTGAACGAAGAGCAACCTCCATTTCATTGATTTAAACCTTCTGAGAACAACAACAAAGAAAGAAAAAAATTACCTTTGGTCCCATAGTGACTTTCACAGCTTCTGCAACTTCAGATACACCTTGCAACATAGCTGCTCGAGCTCCAACCCCGAAATTGATATCCTTAGCCACATAGTTTCTGCTGCTTATAATCCGCCCAGAAACCTTTATGGTAACAGAACAACAAAACAAAATCAAAACCGTAAATTTATAACTTTATATAGGTTCGGCCAATTGAAGCTAATCGTTCTGGAGCTAGAAGATCCTGTACAGTATTTGGAACCGATCAAAACCAGGAACTTCGGCAAATTCAGACTCAAAGGTAGAAACTTTTTGATGCAAAGACCTAAATTTTTGTTTCCTTGCATCACTGATGCAACTATCTGGACTTGTAGTTTGATTTGTAATTCGGCACATTTCTAACTTTTTTTCTCGATTACCAACCAACACGAATGCTCAATAAACCAAAAATGCAATCAAACTCGTAAGAAGACCCATAGAAGTTCACGAGACTCACCAGTTTCCTGGAAGCAGACGAGCTGGAAGACCATCAAAACCCAGAAACAGAAAGAAGAAGAAAAAGCTCATCAGTGCAAATTGATGGAGAATATTATAAGTTTTAAGTAAGCTCACTGAATGAAAGAACGAAAGCGTACCCAATTGAAGAAGATAACTTTGACAGCACTCGGTACATTTTCGCTTGCAAAGGAGTTTAGAAAGAGAGGCTTCAAGGGTTTAGGGTTTTAGTATGACGATCAGTGGAATCTGCTAAGGAATTCAAGTTTTTTTTTTTTTCTCTTTAGAGAAAAGAAAAGCAAAAAGTCTGGAACTTTCTGTGTTCTTTTGGTTAAACTCTGTTTCTGCAACTCCATGGTTAGGTTTTAACTTCATCCATTTCAAAAATTAGGCCCACAATTACTTTTCCAATGGCCCAAAACTCTCATTTTTCAAATGATTTGCGACGTTAGAAAATATTTTTAGCTGAAACTTCAATCAACTTCAATCAACAAACCAATCTGAATTTCACATATAACCAAAAACCGGTTTTTTCTTCAAGTAACATTCTTTCATCAGATACAATAAAACCACATCACTACAGAACTCGCAAACAAATCATGAGTATATTTTTGTCTGCATCAGAATCTTTGTCTAGGAACATACAAGAACACTTTGGCACATGCAAGAGGAACCAATGCCTTCGGAGACATGCAAGATATGGCTCTCGGTGAATCCCTCTCTGATCAACACCAAAAATGAGAGCTACCCTCTTTATAGGTAACGAATTTTAAGTTTCTAGGTTCGTGGGGCTAGCACAACAGCTTGAGCTTGTCTAGTTCTTCGTACTATGCACTCGTATCAATGGGAACGTTTTTTGCTGGAGACGAACCAGAGCTGCTGCTACTGCTGCTTTCCCCATTGGTTGTAACATCAGATTGAGCTGAGGAGTGCATCGAAGTCTGATTGCTGTTTGTGGATGGCGCTTGTCCTTCTTCCGCCAGCTTTCGTAGGAGGTTCATGACTGTTGGAAGGAATTTGGTTGATAAGGAAAGAAGTCCAGGTAGCTGTTGTTTGATCACAGATGAAACATTGCCATTTTCAGAGAGATTCTAATTGAAATCAAATGAATAACAGGTGAGAAAGTGGAAACAGTGATGTTGAAAAACTTGCTCATACCGCTCCATTGCGGAATTCTCCTGAAATGTTTAATTGCACCCACAAGGCTTTGGAAACAAGGTATCCGACGAAAAGAACACCGAGCCATAGAGGATTTCTGCCACAAGAGATGCAGGCAAGAAAAGCCAGGTAAGTAGAGAATCTTATTTATATGAAAAAGCTGATAGATTTTAAGGGTAAGAGTACCTTAAGAGAGTCATAAATTCGTTGAACCCAAGAACAACCAGGGCAAGGATTGCCCAAGGAGGTGGCAACCAGTTGTTATTCCGTCGGTTAGCTTCCTGAAATTCAATGCGACTTTGTTCAGATCTAAACCTCTAAATGAGCAAGGAGATAAGAAGCTAGAACAACATGACCATTTTATAACTTTTTATAGCACTGCCAAATTTTACCATCAGCACAGTAAATGAAATGGCCTGAAGTTTATTATTTACCTGTGCAGAAATGGCCTGTGTAACGGTATATTCTGTCTCGTTCTTGAATTGCCTCCACAGTGATTTACACTGTACAGGCGTGATTAACGTCTTTTCTGCTGGAACCTGATAATACGGATGTAAGAGTAAGAATCTTTTATATCTCAAAGGCGTGAGCAATAAATGTGGGACATTTGTGAGGTGTTACTGTAGTCACCTGCTCCCAAGTGCTTGAGGCGAGTGAATCAATGGTGCTGATGCTCTTGCTTGTAGCATTGTTGCCAGTAGAATTAAACAGAGCTAGAGTCAATGTCTTCTCAATATTGTCGAGTTCATCATCCAAGCGGATAACAGCCATAACAGAAAGCAGCTTCAAGGACTAGCAAAATAGATAACGAGGGTAACATCAAAATCTCAAGAATTTTGCAATCGAGTCATAGAGTAGGTGATGGGATATTGCTATATCAGGGTAGGGTTCATACTGCAGAACGAGCCATTTTGGTGATTGCTCTGATGTCCTCCTTTCCAGTCCAAACACGTGGCATTGAATCAGAATCATGGCTGAAGATTGTAGCAAATCTGAATGGAAGTTTATATAAATAAGAAAGCTGTTTAAGAGATGGAAGTTATTGGATAAAGAAATTACGAAAGACTAGTAAAATGGCTGTCACCTATCCTTCATGCGCATCAACGCTCTTCCAGCCTCTTCCTTTGCCTTCGTTTCAACAATACCTCGTGCATAGTTCTCAAGGTCAGCGAGCATTTTATTCCGTAGATCTTCATCCATTTCGAAACCAGATAGTGCGTCGGAGAGACCATAGACAGCCAATTCTCCTTCCCGTCTTAGTAGCTTTCTTATTGCTGGCCATGTTTCATCATTAGCTCCATCGAGGAGAGCTTCCACCGGTCCGGATAATGCTACATTTAGTTTTGACTGCAATGAAAATTCTTTATTAGAAAGGTCCAGATAAGAGTTTAAGCCTGTTTGGTGCTAGATTATCCAGCCAAATATATGTATGGCTTCCGCTTGAGAATTTTATTTACCTGGTACAGAGTCGTCAGTTCAGACAACTTGGCTGTACGGACAGACGAGATATGGGCTTCAATATCACGCTGAAGCTTTTCCCGAGTTTTCAATGTATCCCAATTTGCTTGTTCAATAACAGCCTCTGCAACAAAACATTTCGTTTATGATTCGCATTGATGTCGGATATTTTTTCATGCTTCTTTCGTATAATAATCTTCAGGTATATCACAATATTTTCAGCCGTAACATCAACAATAAGCTATACCTTCACATCCTTTATCAAACATAGACAAGCATGACCGAGCGCAGGAGTCCTCTGAGGATGAAAACCCTTCTCCAGCATTCAAGGCCTTCTCAAAAGCATCCTTGAAGTTTTCAAGTGCTCCAGATCTCAAATGTCCAAGCAAGTCTTGGAAAGTTGGTTGAACAAGCTGGATAGGACAACAAGAAAATAAATGACTAGTACCAGGTATCTGCTTTTACAACGATGCATCTGAATGTTTCCAGGCCACGCATGATTGCGACAAAACACAAATATAATAGTCATAAGTTAAGAGTATATGCATTACTTGCAGTAACTTTTCTTGCAACTGTTGTCTCTTGGATGATCTTACACTTTCCTCAAAGTATGTCGCTTCTGTGTCATACCTATGAAACAAATATCAAAAAATCAGGAAACGCATGACAAGGAAATTCCTACCCTCCTAGAATCAAATATTTGCACACAGGAAAAATTTTGTACGGAAAATTCAGCACGAGATTCTTACTCTGATAAGGAAGACTGGAGAATTGAGCTCAGCTTTCTTCCAAATCCGGAAACAGGACCAGACTGTACAGCTTCTTCCAACTCACGCCAATTCTGTACAAAAGTTTAGATGTGAATATTAAGGAAAGAGCCACTGAAAAGGATAAAACGTAAATCAGAATTAAGAAATTCACCTCATTCTCGATAAAACTAGAGAATTTTTCATTAGCAATTTCCTCACATCGCACAGTTGCTACCATGACCTGCGTGTAAGCAGCGCGTAAATAACAAGACCGTAAACAACAATGACATAAGGGTGATGTGGAGACAGCCTTAAGCAAGCAAAATTACCTTGTGTGCTGGAAGATCCAAGTCTTTGTTTTCTTTGATGACTTCCCACATCTGCTTTGCACTAAAAGCAAACGCATTGGCAGGGACAACTCCTCGTCGATCACCAGCAAGTCCGCCAGGTGCGACAGAGTGGAAGAACCGTTGTCTCAAATTATAGACCTTTTGTTTACAGAAACAAATTATTGGAAAAGCATTAATATAACCAACAAGCCATTTGTTGAGCAATAAGTCACGTAAGGTGACCCTGGATTTTCTCCAAAATGTAAAGCTAATTGTGAAAGAACCTGCTCTTTGAATAGCTCTTCCTTTTCTTCATAACTAGAGAGAGCAACTACTTCAACCTGTTACACAATAAAAGACTCCATTCATTGCTCCAAGCAAAAGAAGTATGATAAAGTTCTTATCCAATGATCAAGTAGTCGTACATTGAAGAAATCACTGAGTGGAGTTTCTTTGTGTGCTTGAGGCTTGGGAACTGAATCCCATATCTGCATCGAAGGACAAAATATAAGGGATTGCACTATTAGTTAAAGCACAAATAGCACATAAAAGCTTATAGTCTGTCTCTTCTTTTACCTTTTGAATGTCTTCCCTTAGAACTGGTTCTAAATTTTCCAGCGGCGTCTGCACTTTAAATTTCTTGATTATCCAGATATGATTTATTAATAATATATGAGCAAATGATTATCAGTTATCAATAATCTAAAATTTTGGTTTGTGCCGTCTTGTAAGACTCTTCTAAAAGGATTATTATTATTATCATACATTTCGATGAAAAATTCAGTAAACCGATTGTTTAGGGAATTATATATAAAATTAATATACAGGTGTTTAGTGAATTGCTATAAGAAGGAAGGTCAGGGTAATTTAGATGTTTTAAATATCAGTAAATCTATTCCAGTGTTTTCACATGCATATTATGGGGAATTAAGTAATATTGTAATGATATAAATAATTATGGATATATAGAGTTTTATTTTTAAGGAGCAGAAGAAAAGCAGGAGGAGGGATATAGAGGCGCATGTGACAGTGTGGGATCCAATCCCATTGGGATTTAATTTCATTGTTGGTCCTCCCCAAGACACCATGGTCCCTCTTCTCTCTCTTTCATTAGTTACTATCATCAATACGGAAAAATATCAATGTGGTAACTATATATTTTATAATTACGTACGAAGAGGTATATAAACATGTACAATAAGTACAAATTTTATGTACTCCTTAATCTCTGTGGTTAAATATAAAATATGTATTGTCGAAAGCATGCATGAGCTTAACTAACTACCTCTAGTTTATGATAAGTTTTGCTGTTAATTCAGTTCAAACACGATCATAGCATAGGTACTAAGATTCTGACTAATCACAAACTAGCAGCCACAAATGTATTTAACAAAAAAAGCAGCCACAAATGTCAACTCTCGAGTGAACAAAGTTTTATACAATGAGAGAATCAATCCAATATTCTACACCAACGAAACGATGTCACCAGACTAGCTAAAATCAAGATTTATTAAAACATTATATTTTTCATGTAACTAGATCTTTTGAACCAACAATAGACCAATCACGCGATTTACAACTACCATAGCTAGCCTGATTTTATAGGACCTAAAGCCAGACATATTGCCAGTTTCACAATTGTCATGTGACGAACTCCAAAATAACAAAAATGTAACCAAATGAAATCAATCTAATGGTCTTGAGCAACAAACAAAACTATTAATTACAACCATTTGGTTAAAAAATATCTATTTGAGAGAACACATTGTGACAAATGCATACAAAAAAAATCCAAAAAACTGAGTAAGATTCGCCTTGACTCTTGTCTGCAAGTGGCCGTATTTGATTACAATACTTTTGAAAATGTTCGATAGTTATATATGCTTATAGACAATGGCATTTATTAGATCTTTGTTTCTGGTCGTAAGAGGTTAGGGACAGAGAACATGTAAAAAGTCTCACGATCTCGAGCTTCCCATCTTTGTTAACTTGTGATGTTCCTAATCCATGGTGCCGGCGAAATAATGCAGAGATCGATTAGAAAGATAAGCAAACTGTAAATTTTTAGGGTAAATTAGAAAGATAATGCAGAGTTTAGGGTAAATTTTTTTATATGGCAAATAAGGGTTTAGGGAAAATCAGGTTTAGTGCAATCAGGGTTTAGGGCATATAAGGTAAATCAGGTTTAGGGCAAATCAGGTTTTAGGGTAAATTAGGTTTAGGGCAAATAAGGTTTTAGGGCAAATCAGGTTTTAGGGCAAATCAGGTTTAGGGCAAATAAGATTTTAGGGGAAATCAGGTTTTAGGGCAAATAAGATTTTAGGGGAAATCAGGTTTTAGGGTAAATAAGGGTTTAGGGCAAATAAACCCTAAACCTGATTTGCCCTAAAACCTGATTTGCCCTAAACCCTTACAAAAACCCTAAACCTGATTTGCCCTAAAACCTTATTTGAGGAATAACAAATAGAGAACCATGGTATATTTACTATATAGAGCAATTCATGGTATTGTTTAATATAAAATGGTTTAACATGTAGAAATTAATACATATTTTTTTTGGTTTTCCTAAAGTTTTAAAATTGAAGTCATTTACCTAACTTAATATTCTTGGTCATTTAATTACCGTATATAATACTTTATTTCGCTTAAGCAATGGATATTCTGAAAACCCTAAAAATCCTATAATCAACACTTGTTATTTGTAGCACACGTAACTCTGCAAAGGTTGATCTCGAGGTTATTCTTGTGAGTTGCATCCAAAATCTATCACATCGACCAACAAGTGAATGAGAATAATGTTTTTTTCTCTTATCAACCACAAAAATGGAGAGAGAGAGAGTTTGGGGTCGTTGTCAGGGAGAGAGGCTAGCATGTTCTGCGAAGGAGAATTGTTGTGGAAATTTCAGTGAAAACGAGAAGAGGATTAGGGAGAAACGTTACGAATCTTTTATTGAAGGGACAATTTCGCCTTACGGAATGAAAAGGACATGTCTCTCGTCTCGACCAAGCACATGAAAGCCCCATGTTACTCTTGCCTC